AACTCTAGTGCACTCCTAATTTAATTATACATCGTAGAATAAGAATATGGGAAAAAGCTCGTCAAGAAAAATAGAAGGATCATGTATATATATATTAGCTGTATTTCTCTCTTTCGTTTCATACACATTGATACGTGTACATTTACTACAATGCTCATTTTATAACCCAAACCAACAACTATTATGCTCATAAGAGAAATGTGTTTTCTGTTTGTTTAATATGAATGTGTTTTATGTTTAGTTAAAACACATTTTAATACGTTCATGTATTTGGTAATTCGTCTATTACTATTTTTTCAATTGTATTTGTTCGGTGGTTCAGCCGCATAATAACATTAGATAATATATACAACTATGATATTTAGAATCTAGACAAAATAAATTTGAGATAGATGATCTAAAACAACTGAATTGGAATATTAGGAGTGACGTGTTCGTATATCTTTTAAATCATTACAAGATTGAAAATTTTTGAGTATTTCTTAGCGTTCATTAAACGATTAAGTAGCCTTAAGGGTAGCTAGGGTTTATATGCTTTTGGCAAAAGAAAAAGATGTTTGCCTTTTTATGATAAATAAAAGTGTTACATAATTAGTTCAACATGTTTGGGTATATATAGTTTTAGCGGTCCTATATTTCAATTCGATAATAAAATTATGTTTCTGCTCTCTCAGACTAGCGTTACGATCACATGTATAATCAACGGCTGATATCGAACATATAAACAAACATTCTTATCGAAGGTGATAAACTTATCACACGACAAAACGATATGAATACACATTTTAGGGATTTAAGTATCCAACAAATAAAACTTTTCATTAGGCCAAAAATAAGTGCAAGTTGCTTTCTCACATCTCTTTCATTCTTTAAATTTTCCATATTCCCCTACATCGATTCTTGATATCTCTTTCATTATAGATATGATTGATCCATCACAAGCACATTAGAACCAAAGGATCAATGTGAGAAATATGAATAAATAAAATGAAAATTAATTATGTGGTCACAAAAAAATGTATGCTTTCTTATAAGATTCACTAGGTAATTAGCTAATATATTATATATAAGGTCTTACAATCGTCAGATAGATGCTTGATCAATATTTAGGTATATATCTATAGAAAATATATATTTGAAACATGATGCTTAGTTATGACCGCAAAACACATATGCAAAGGAAAAGTTTTAGACAAATTGTACAGTTAAATTGATTGTTGTTATATGTATATAATCATGTAAGTTATAGTCTCCATTTTCATTCCATTAATTACTACCACAGTACTTACTTTGTTTGTTATGTTTAGATTACTTTTTTGGATTGTTTGTTTTAATAGCATTATTTAACTTTCTCAAGAGAGCATGTAATTTATATTATCACTTAAAAGCATTCTAAATTATTTAGGAGAATCTGCCTATAAAAAAAATCACCCTATGTACGAGCATCTAGTATTTGATAGATGTTTTTTTTTGTCCAATGTTTAAATTAAGACTATTCAACTATGACTAGTCTATTTTTGAAATCTGCATTCATTCCAACAACTATCATAATATAAGATTGTATACTTAAGAGCTCTCTTGGATAATCTCTGCCTCTCATTGGACAAAAGAATTGGATCCTTTGTCTTAGGGTTGTAGACACTAATTAGATCATTAATCTTTATTTTATTTTTGCTTTGATGATCTTTCAAGTGGCTCAATTAATGATTACGATTCTTTTTTAAAAGCCGAATTTATATGCTTTTGTTAAAGCCAGATATTCACTTGCAACTTATAACAATCGATGATTACCAAATTTTTAATACTTCAAAGCCCAAAAAGGCTATGTATTTTTCTGCGCCACTCATTACTCAATAGCACTCTCAAGAATAAGTATATAAGTTGTATACAGTATATATATATGGCTAAGTACGTAATTAGAAATCTATAATTATTTAAGCCTTGTTTATCTTACAAACTTACTGTATTCTCGAAATAGATTTGGATTACTTCTCATTAGATTCGCCTCTAGTTCCATAGAGTACAACAAAAAAGTTATATTTAAGTAGTTAAACTTTAAAAAATTTAAAATAAAATAAAATGATGAGTACAGTTGCTAGTGTACATGAGTGTTATTTTTACTCTAAGAGGTTTCAAAGTTATATTTTATTTCATTGTTTTTACCCTAAAATGTTACAATTTCTCAAATTGCCCTTGCAAAAATTCGATGAAGAGTTGAAATGAAAAAGTGATACGGAAGAACCTAAAAAGACAACTTTTTATTTTGCAAGAAAAAATTGGGAAGTCGTCATTTTCCAAATATCATTAAATATAAAAATTGTACGATATATAACAGAATAAAATTTGTTAAGATGTTAATGGGCTCTCTTATGAAAATCAAGGCCTTCAATAAGAGACAATCCATATGCAGCCACATAGCCGATAAATAAACTAATCGAGGTCCTAGCACCTTGCATGGATCTAAGTAATTAATATTCCAGCCTAAGCTTTGTGATGACTTGAACTACAACAACCTTCGTAACGAGTAACGACGACACACTACATAAGACAATGTTTTATTTTTCCTTTAATAACTTTCATTGCGGCGCAATCACCAACATACATACGGAATGAAAAGAAAAATTATAAGTAATTTCTGGTCTTAAACTTGTGATAGGCCTCAATTAATGTGTCTAGAGCCCACTAAGACTATGATTGATCTACCAAAATGAAATTTATAAACTTTTCTAAAACAAATAGCCCTATATTTTCAGCTGCTATAACCAAGAATCCTAGTATTACTAAACGTATATAATATATATATATGTTGGATAGCTATTAAGGTCATGCTATTAAGATCACTATCATGACCTTAATGGTTTAGGTGTGGATCATTAAAAATCCAGATACGGAATGAGTGGTTATTTAAGATGGTTTTATAATTATTTCTTATGTATTCATCATGAATTCATAATCGGTGTTCATATGATTTTGATCTGACAATAACTTTTAAGTCTTTGCCAAAAAAACCATACATCATCACAATCAAATATACTTTTGGATCCATATGTTACCATATACTTTCGTTTACATATCATGTTGCGTCATGAATCTGATAGTATTTACTTATTATCTGAAAGATAATCATTACAGTTTTTTTTTCTTTTTTCAATTCAAAATGGAAAGCTCTAATGTAAGAAGGGGAAGTCATGTGTCCCACAACTTGGGAGTTTGTCTGGTCTCTTTAACATGTCAGGGAAGCAATGCGGTGTTGTTTCCATGTGCTACCAATTTTCTAACCATATTTTTACAATCATTGTACTTTCTTTTTCCTGTTTCCTATATTGTTTTCTTTATATATAAAAAAAAATTGTTATATTTTTCCTTGTTTAATTAGTATAATACTAAAAACAAAGTTATATGATTCATCTTCAATAATTTTAGTTATGCAGTTATGTCTCTAGGAATATAATTGGTTAAACACTTAAACCCATCGGTGAGTGACACAGCATGATTCATTTAGGTGTGTTATCACGACGTGATGGTGACAAGAAGAGTGTGTATTTTTCCCAAAAGATATGATCTTGCTGGTACTAGTCTCCATCTCGCTATCTCAATATTGAGTGGCTCTTTCACATTTGTTCCAAACCATATGTACACACATTTTATTGGGTTGGTTTCTCCTCTTTCAGAATGAACGAATACGGATGTCATACATTGATGAATATAAATATAAGACAAAACTAGGATCGTTGCATTAATTCTTCCTCAAAATTTCTAGATAATGTAAGTAGCAGAGTGGCTTACCCGTTAATATTCAATCCTTTATCACTTCGAAAAGAAAAAGAAAGAATAGTAAAACATTACATTTATGCTAGCATATAATTAATAAAGCTTTACTGGTCCTCTTGATGTAGTTCATACGTAACGATCACGAACTATTCATTTTAGTGGTTCATTAGATATGATTAATTATTATTATGTAAAGTTTAACTTTGATAAATATGGCTTATTATTGTCAACATAAGAAGTGATTGAGGTTCGTAATCACAAACTGACATGATAGAAAAGAAAATTTTAAAATTGAAGATATTGTAGTTTAAGAAGTATAGTGATCTCGATTAACTACTTTACTTTTCCACCAAAATTTTATGTATTACTTAAAATATGTCATTGGTGTTAACAAAAACAAAAGAAAAAGATAGCATAATATATATAATTAAACTATTTAAGCATTAACATGTGTGTTCTCTTGTTTGTTTTCACCAAACAGAAAATGGAATAGTGTAAAAAAAAACAAAGGATACATGGGTGACCTAAACATTACTAGTGCTTTTTGGGTCCTTCGTGTGATTTCAATTCCTAAAATGGTGTAAAATCCAATCCTCACCGGAAAAGATAGTTACCCATTTACCCTTATCAACCACATTCACATCAATCTATTATGGTGGTGTGCCTAAGATTCCTGAAAAGTGGGGCAGCTGATAAGGTTAGTGTTCATATATCAATTTTTGTGGAGCTTTCGATATGCCCGTAATTTCGTTTTTATCATTAGCTTACGTATAAAAATAATACTTCTCTTTATCAACTTTAGTAGGCTAGTAGTAGTCTTGAGTCTTGACGAATTAACTAAACTTGATAAGCGAGATAATTACTATCAGTAAGCAACTCTTAAAGTCTGAAAATTATAGAGAAAAAGAAAGAAGAAAAAACGAAGTTATCCACACAATTACTTTGCTTTTGGACAAGACATAAGAAGAGATTGGTCCATTTGTCTTTTTTATGGAACTGACAGTTGTTTGGTTACTTGTTTTGGATTTCTTATATTTATTGTATTCACATCTACTCTCCTTATTATTATTCCATGAAAAAAAACCCTCCAAAAAAAAAAAAAGAAGATAATATAATGGCACAACTAATCTTCGTCTCAACCCTTTAATTCTTTTAAATACCAAACCAAATCTTCTTCTTCTCAAAAACCTTAAAATTCATCAAAAATTTTGCAGGTAATTCCATTTTCTTAATTATCCTATTGTTTTTAACTAAACCTTTTGTTTTTCTATGTGTGTGTGTTTTTACTTTTATCACGATATGCACGTGGTAACCCAGAAGGTAAAATGAAATCTCTTGATCTCTCTGCTAATTCTTCTTCGCTCCCAAGAGGCATTTTCGTTATTAGTTTATATAAAAGTCCTTTGTTTACACACACAACCCAATATATATAATATCGTGCATATCTATATGAATGTATATAGAGATGTGGCCTATCTGTTGTTGATGATGGTGCAATTATATAATCATTATCATTTGGGTGCTTTTGTACAAATCTTATCTATCTATCATTAACCTGTTTCACTCATATCATCATCTCTCTCACTCCTTTGTAAGAATCCTCTCTTCCCTCTCTTTTTTCATCTTAGGGTTTATTTATTTATTTGAATTTTTACTATGATTTATTGAGTTGGATAGTTTCATTGTTTATGTAGAGCTTTGATGGTATCTCTGTTTCCTTAAAAATGTGAGTGTTAGTACTTCTTACAGTCCAAAGCTGATCTCTTTCTTTTCTTAAGAGTTTAGATTCTTGTTTACATGTAGAGTTGCTGAAAAAACTGAGGTGGAAAAACAGAGGAAGCATAATGGCACTTACTTGGACTCATAAAGACAGAGGAGAAATTAGGGTTCATGAGAATTTGGAGGAACTAAGTATTGACTTGGTAGATTATATAGCTGAGATATCAGAAGCATCAATTAAAGACCATGGTGCTTTCTGCATTGTGTTATCAGGAGGCTCTCTCATTAGCTTGATGGGGTATATATATATTCAATTTTACCTTACAGGTTTTTGAGATTTCATTTTCAGTCTCATTGATTTCATCTTCTTAATGGACTGTTCAACAGAAAATTGATCGAGCCGCCTTACGACAAGATTGTGGATTGGGCGAAATGGTATGTTTTTTGGGCGGATGAGCGCGTAGTAGCTAAGAGTCATGACGATAGCAACTACAAGCTCGCCAAAGACAATCTCCTCTCCAAGGTTAGATGTTTGGATAACTTCTAGGTGGAAGAATCGTGTGGTTATCTGCTTTTCTTGAATCTGCAATCTATTGACTTTTTTTGCACCAATCATCGCTTGTTTGAGAAGAAAACTAATCCAATCATGGTTTTGGTCAATGCAGCTTTGTGTGAGGTTTGTCTTGTTATAATCTTGACTTTGTTTGTTCTGAGAGTGTTCTAACTTTACTTCTTTTTTTTTCAGGTAAATGTGTTTCCAAGACATATATGTTCCATTAACGACACAGTTTCAGCAGAGGAAGCTGCAGCAGAGTATGAGTTCGCCATCAGGCAGATGGTGAGAACACGAACGGTGGCTGCGTCTGATAACAGTGATTGTCCCAAGTTTGATCTGATCTTGCTTGGGATGGGTTCAGATGGGCATGTAGCCTCGCTCTTCCCAAACCACCCTGCACTTGTGGTGAAGGACGATTGGGTCACATTCCTAACTGACTCTCCTAAACCGCCACCAGAGAGAATTACATTCACTTTGCCTGTCATTAACTCAGCTGCTAATGTTGTTGTAATAGCAACAGGCGAATCCAAAGCTAATGCTATCCACTTAGCTATCGATGATTTGCCCATATCAGAGAGCTCTTTGTCCCTGCCTGCAAGGCTAGTCCACCCAAGCAACGGGAATCTGATCTGGTTTATGGATAAACCAGCGGGGTCTAAACTTGACCAGGTTTAAATTTTCCGAGTAGGATTTAGATTTTCTTATTTGTTCCAAAAGAGAATGGTCCTTTTATATCAGTGATGACCCTTTTTGTATGAAGAGCATCCGGTTTAGAAAAATGGTTGTCTTTTTTTTTACTTTTCTAAAGAAGCAAGTTTCTCAGAACTACAAAATCTATTAACTATAACAATCACATGTTCAGCGAGAAACAATCTAACCTCAAAACTCTATGAGGTGATAGTGTGACACACTCAGGCGAAAACACACATCTTATCCTACAGGGCAAGGTGCATTAGAGAATCCGGTAATGCTTACTTTCATTAAGCATTGTCATTGCTTAGAGCATCAGCCTCGGCTCTAGCCATAGGATCGTCTTTGACATCTGTATCTTCTTCCATCTCCCCTTGTCGGTCTTGCGCTAATTTCTTCCTGTGAAGTTCCTCAGCAGTCTCCATGGCAGCCTTATTCTCAGCTTGGATCTTCAGCATTTCCTTTTCCTGTTGCTGCCTCTCAAACCATGTGTCTGCATCTGCCCAAACTGAAAAAAAAGCAACAAAACCAAGCAGTCACAATTGTTAGACAACAAGACTTAAATAAAGAAGTCTCTCTGCCTACCTCATTAGTTTTTTAAAAACGAACTATCAAGAAGCAAACAGATCAATCATGTTGTAAATTTTACATATAGCAAGTAAACCATCATAGACTTTCAAAACATGTGGAGTCATGAACGAAACTAACATCACAATCATAGACATGAAGCTCACCAACTTCTTAACATCGAAGAGCATATTACTAAATCTAATTTCAGAATCTACAAAAAAACAATAATTGCAAACCTAATTTTCAACAAGTCCCCCAATGCCAAACTCATTCATAAACCCCAACGAACACAAATCAAAATCACCAATAGCTCCAAATTTTCACAAAATCCAAGGAGAAATCAAAAGGAGAAGAGGAAAGAGTAATCAGAAACGTACGTGGATGTGCAGCCCAACCCTGTTCACCACCTTTGATTTTCTCAGGAAGAGCATAATTAACAGTGAGAACACGACCATAAAGCTCAGCTCCATCCATATTATCCATGGCAGCAGAAGCGTCTTCTCTCTCAAGAAAAGTAACGAATCCGAAGGATCTATGTTTCTGATTCGCCTGATCCAAAGGCGTCTTCACGTCTTTGATATCACCGAAAGGTATAAACGCAGCGTGAAGTATCGATTCGTTAACCTCATCAGCTAAACCTCCTACATACAACGTGTTCTTCTGCATCGCTTGCTGCTGTTGAACTGCCGCCATTGTTCAACCCTTTTTTCTCCGTAACCTTTTCAGAGAAATTGGAAAAAGTAGAAGACAACAACAATATCGATTTTTTTGTTTCTCTCTCTCTCTGTGATATAAATGGGCTTTTAGGTGGTTCGGCCCAATAATACAGCCCTTCGAGATCCTTGAATCTACAATCTATTGACTTTTTTTCCCCAAATCTTTGTGACGAAATCTAATGTATTGGTCAGTACAGCTTTGTGTGTTTTGTTTAGTTATAATGTTGACTTTGTTCTGAGAGTTGCAAACTGGGAACTTTTTCGGGTAAATTGTGCGTCCGAGACATATGTTCCACGGTTTTTTGTTTTTTACTTTTCTAACCAAGCAAGTTTCACAAAACTACCAAATCTAGTAAGTCTATTACGGTAAAACGGTTGATGTGGAGAAAAAAAAATAAAAAAACAATTCCAAGAAAGCTTCTTGTTATTATTCAACTGTCATCAACTTCAAGAAAAAATCTACCCTCAACCTCTATGAAGATAGCGAGAGGCTACATGCCCATCCCAAGCAAGATCAGAAGTTGGAGGATTGTCTTACTTGGTTAGATTGAAGTTTAATTAAACTAGAGGTTCTGTTCGTTTTGACATTTTGTCAAGCCGAAAGAGAAACTGAAAAAAAGAGGATTGCACATTATTTTCGTTAATTTATATCTTCTGTCTCTTCAAGCCCGCATATGTTTAGACACGTACTAAAATCTGTTTGCCCAACCAAAAAAAACGTATTAAAGAATCTAAAATTATTTGTCAAATATATGATCTGTAAAAATTAGAAAAAATATTATAACCAATCAGAAAGTAAATTCAAAATTCACACAAAAATTGGCACTGGTTCATTAAAAATTCTTATTTTCTTTATTTGTTAAATTTTAGTACTTTAAATAACTAGAAATTCCTAAAATTTACATATAGGGATAATAATTGTTAGGGAAAAAATCTATTTCACCAAAAATAAAGATCTATATAGGAATAATAATTAGGGAAAAACTAGATTAACCCAAATTTAGAAGTTAATTACTAAACTAACTCATAAAATGTATGGGTTAATTGAATTTTTTTCATGACTAAAATATTTTTTTTTTGCTTTGTTAGGAATTTTACCAAAATTATTATACAATATTTACTCTGTAAAAAATAGAAATATCTATATAGGTTTCGGAGGGGAGAAAAAATGCAGAATTTGTGGTTCGTTTCAATTTTTAAAGATATTTATTTTGCTTTATATACCAATTTTTTTTTTATATAGATTTGCTTCAATCCAGTATCCTTTTGATTTGAATCTAAAAATCTATGTTAAGCAAATCTAAAAAATATTGGATTGAAGCAAATCTAAAAAATATTTTGCCGACCAAGTTAATTACTTGTTTCCTCTGTTTTCCCTCTTTCATAAGAAAAAAGGTTTACAATTGTTTCGTAGCACTACATTTTTTGTAAATATAACTAATTTTTTTTATTTTTTTTTGTGTTTTTGTGAAGCCATAGCTATTGGTCTTCAGCCCAAATGCAAAGCAAAGCCCAAATGATAAAAAGGAATAAGACAATATAGGGTTGCAAGAGATGTGTCTGAGTTTCCCGGTAGATATCTCTGTATCTCTCCTCCGCCTCTAAGATCCTGCACCAACATCGAATACAGATTATTCTAATGAGAGGGGGAGAGCCCTCGGGATTGGAAAAGCTGGAGGAAGAAGAGTTTAATACAAACATTTCCTAAGGTACACTCAATGTGATTACAATTAAAATTTTGATTTGATTTGACGAAATCCGTATCATTTTTGCTTTGAGATATTTGAGTTTCGATTTATTTATTTTTAAAAAATAACGATTAAAATCTTCGATAGAGATAATAAAGAGTGGAGATTATATATATTCCTTTTTGAAAGACCAAAACTGACTTGGAAGTTTTCCCTTTTTTCCAATTTCAAGCTCGAGCTCACGTATAAATCCCTCGAGATCATCTCTTTTGATCAGTTAAGAGGCAAGAGACAATGCTGAAAAGACGTCGCTCAAGCTCGAGTTTTGTATTAAAAAGACATCGCTCTAGTGTGGAATTGCTACCACACGATGTTGTAGAGCTCATCCTCGAGAGACTTCCTGTGAAGTCTCTGCTGAGATTCAAGTCAGTATCCAAGCAGTGGAAGTCCACAATCGTATCCAACCGTTTTCAGGAACGACAGTTGATCCGTCGCAAGCAATCACGAGGTCCAGATGTCCTTTTCATCTCCCTTGAAGAAGGTGAACCTCCTAGGAGAATTGACTTTGGTCCGTCCATAGTTTCTACGGTCAAGCTCCCTACTAGTTGCAGTGCAGTTTGCTATGGTAGTTGTGACGGCCTCGTATGTCTCCATTGTGTCAACACACCGGGTGTTGTAATCAACCCTGCAACTAGATGGCAACAAAGTTTACCTCTTTCCAGCTTTCAACAGCTCAAGCTCGACAAGTTCATGAAAAAAGATTTCCCTATCCTACATCATAAGCTTGGATTTGGTAAAGACAAAGTCAGGGGCACATACAAACCCGTTTGGTTATATAATTCATCTGAATATGGCCTAGACAATGTTACTACTTGTGAAGTTTTCGACTTTAGCACCAAAGCTTGGAGGTACCTTTCCCCTGCTTCTCCTCTTCGGGTGCTTTCTTACCATAAACCCGTGTATTTGGATGGGTCACTTTATTGGTACACCGCCTGTGAAGAAGAAACCAAGATATTATCTCTGGATCTTCACACCGAAACTTTTCAAGTCATCTCTAAAACTCCTTTTCCCCATGTATCTAACCCACACAACTACACCATGTGCATCCTCGATAACCGCTTGTGCGTAACGGAGAAAAACTGGTCATCCCAAGTCATATGGTCGTTTGACTCTTCTTTAGGCACATGGAAGCAAATATGTTCGTTAGATCTCACCAAAACCTTTTCTTGGTTGGGGGAACCCGAATGCGCACTCATTCCAATAGCAATTCTGGAGAAGAATAAGCTATTACTTCATGGTCGTGAGAACTTGCAAGCAATGGTGATACATAATCTCCATACCAAATCTTATGATTTTGTCTTTAAACCTACCACTGGCGGAGACAGTGTTTATTATTTCCAAAGTTTATTTTCTGCTCTATCAAATTAATTTATTTAACCATTGTAATCTAACATTAGTGCAGTTTAATTTAAAGATAATTTTCTTCTCATGTTTTCCAAGGCTTCTTATTATATTCAGTTTTTCTTGTGTTTTGTTACTTGAGTAAGTTGCCAATCATACATGTCTTGTAGAGACCTTGTCCCTGTCCTATCTTGAAAACTTGAGGGCTTATGATAAATAACAATAGTATTGACACGATCCAGAAGAATCTCACTTTACTTCAATTCAACGGTCATGCTCTACAATTTTTGATTTAAGTATAACTATTTTTCTCGTATTTTATTATTTTTTTAAAAATCTTTAAAACAGAAAATATATTTTCAAATTGGAGTTTCAAACTTTTGGGGCTAATCTCTTCATTTAGCTAATATCATTTATTTTAATTTATTTTTAAAAATTTCCGCCAATGATAAAAAGATGGCCATACAATATCAAATGTATTATATTGTACATATAGAGATGTGAAAACATTTTATATTTTGAAAAAAAAACTTTGAAAAAAAAATCAAAAACATTTCATATTTTGTAATAGAGATAATCTGTAAACTAATGGGAGCTTAAGATTATTGCGTGTTGTTTAATTACTGTTAAAATGAACAAGCATGCACATCATCACGTCCACATAGAAGCTCTCCGTTTAGTTTATCAACTGCTTGAAATGTTCCTCCTCCATCACTCCTCTGTTTCAAACCCAAGCAAAAATAAAAACATAATTAAAATTCATAACTCCATTATGTTTTTGAACCATATTAATATTAATATATATATATATATATATATACTATAACTAATAACCTTTACCTTGTAAAAGTTGACGGCGACATAATTGGCCCATCGGTTCCCTGCGGCCACGTAACATGTCTTAATCATATCGAGAAGTTGTTCAGAGTTTTCCTCACAAGTCAACAACTTAACCGGAACTGTCTTGAAATGGTTTACCAAAACCAACGCTTTGGTTTTGTCGGTTAACAGTTTAGATTCTCCTCTATTGCTACATTCATCTGGTTTAACTCCATCGTCCCCATCTGACGACAAATAATATCACATTAGGATCAATCAACCGGTTATCTCTATAAAATTAAACCGGATATTTGGTATCTTCATCACACTTACATTGGTTTTCCACCACGTAATTCCACTGGTAAGCTATTCCTTCGGTCACTTGCTTTGATTCAGCTGAAGTAAAGACAATTAACCGGTGGTTATTGGCGACCATGTCTTTAACCAACGGCCAATCTCGGCCACCCAAAGCCATATTTTGAACCGGAAACCAAAATTTCTTCAAACCGGAATCGGTAAACACTTTGGTTAACCCGTTTGGCGATTTGACGTAATCTTCCAAGAACAAAGTCACAATCTCTGAGGGATTCGCTGTCAAGAATGCGAATAGCTCCTTGAATGTGTCTATCGCCCGATTCTATTAAAGTGACATAATAATAATAACAAAACAAATCATTTATACCAAAACATTGCATGTTACGATATTTTTTTCTCTTCCAATGAAAAGACAAATCTTAAAGCTACAATTGTTTTCAAAAGCAAATATATTTGTGTGCCTTCCCTTTTTTGGTTAATGAAATATAGAAATTGGACTTACAAACTTGGTGAGCTCAAAGCATTTTTCGTCAAACGAATGGCAAAACCATACATCTCCTTGGTAATCGTACGTATCTAACATCAATGCTCGAACACCACTCTAAATAAAAATAAACATTAAGATAACATTCACATTATAGAAGTATGATAATAATTAAGAAACAGACATTGAATTATAAAAACGCACGTTGAGTTGTTGAACTATAGTATCTTCTTGGGTCGCAACATGAAGTGGCTTCCCTTCAATGGCATATGAATTGTGGGTCGTCAAAAATGCATATTTATTAAACGGCATTGAATTGTTCTGTTACCCAACAAAAAAAAAGAAAAAAGTAGTGTGTAAATTTATATTGAAGGAAAAAAAAAAAAGCATTGGTCAAAAGTTGTGTGTTTACTTACCACAACGGAGAATGGATCAGTGATGTTTGATCTAACGCATGTTGCAATATCTATGCCGCATTTAAAACAACCAAGTCCAACTTTGCAATCTTCATCCGACGAGCATTGATCGCCGAGCTAAATTGAAGTAAAACCTTAAATTTTGTAGTAACATAAATGACAATATCCCTAGCTATATCCCTAAATTAAATGTGGATATAGATTATATTATGATGATGAATATCTCAGATTTTTTCAGAATTTGCATGACATCTTAGGATCTCAAGATTGATTATGAATCTGGGTGTGGGGGAAATAACCAGATTATTTTAAGAAAATTGTAAAGTAGATAAATATTTGCTATGCCTTACCTCCAATGAGCCACTGGAAGAAACAAAAGAGATTGCTGCCGGATGAACCATAACCAAAACTGCGACAGCGAAGACGAACTTGAAACTGGCCATTGTTACTGACTTTGAAGATTTGACCAAGAAGATAGATGAAACTTTCGTAGCGAAAAGCGTTGCTATAAATTTGACAAAAGAACTGATTAAATATATTTATTACAACTTTGGAAGTCTTTGTCAAAAATTTAGAATACTTTTCCTTAAGGTTTAATTTTTTTTTTGGTGAAATGTTTCCTTAAGGTTTAATAATTCTTCTTTCTTTCTTTCTTTGGGTAACCTCTTAAATAGTGACTAATGTGTTTTTCTCTAAATTGGAAATCAAAATACAATGATCACACTTAGTCAAATTTATCCTTAGAAGGAAATAAACCATATTTGACTAATTTTCAAATCACTGATGTGATAGAGTAAATGATAACAATATATTAATTCATATATAAACATTTTTAATTAGTCTTATAAATTAAATTTTAACTACAGATGATGATATAAAGTTGGTATCAAATACATTTATATTATATATATTTTCTTGCATATTTGTTGGTTTTATTATGGATAAAATTACGGATATAGTGGTATTTATTTAAGATGCAGTATTAATTTAATATATGAGTCCATGACTAAATGTTGAGTATATTTATTTACCAAAAGATTACCAAAAAGAGTAAAAGACGATGGAAAAATCGTAAACATATAGAATCATTTATGGCATCTATGTCATGAAATTCATTGCTTGATTTAGTCAAACTGATTATTATATGTTATACTATGAGTAAAAAAAATATCTCAATTTTTCAATAATGTTTTTTTGGACCATATACTATTATTTAACGCACTCATCAACCAAAAGAAAAAGAAAGCAATGCAATATTGTTTAGAAGTTAACAGTTCGTGGATATCTAAAGGGTTCTTTTCGGTTAATCTCTAAAAGTTGCATAAACCTTAATCAAGATTTTTCTTTTTTTTCTACCTTAAATAAATTACACATTCACAAATTAAGATTACCGAGGACAGAACAAATCCATACGTTTCATTCTTCAACCTTTTTTTTTACAACATGCTCTAAAGCTGCTTTTAAATTATTAGAAGCTATAGTGCTTTTTACAACGTGCTCTGACAACTGTTATGAATATTTAGTCATGTATATAAGAAACTGTTAGGACTACTCATTGCGTATTGTAGAATGTTAGCAGTGGGGATTGGGACATGATTGAATGAAGATTCATGGTTCGGGGAGGTGACCCATCAGCTTAATTCACTAAAAATTTATTTAAGAGTTAGAGAAATTGTATGGTTTATGGTGAAAATATGATTGCTAGGGCTTGAGTCTTTCAGAAAAAAAGAGATGTTGGGTGCCATTGAGTTGTTAGGGCTAAGTATAGAGTTGTAACTTATCTGCTATGTGTTTTTTGTTGACTATTAGTAGATTCCCAACTGACTAAAGTTTCAGAATAAAGTATCCCACGAGTGCTTCCACACGAATTCACCCCTAAAACATATGAATGGACTAATCTATAACTTTGTACTAAGGTGGAAAATAAAAGTGGTCGAGAGTGTTTTCACATAGAAAACACGATTACATTTTTTTTTTTTTGGTTTTCTATCGAGGAGCTAGCAGAAATGTGGTGTAAACTTTTTATTTTATGTCATATATTCTAGAATGAAGTTGTAATAACGATTCATAATAATGTTTTACATTAGAGGATTATTTTTCGGAGACCGTTCTTAATTTAAGGGTTTGATTTAGCAAACAAATCTAACTCAAAAAGATCAGATTCAGAACTTGAATCACTGTCGCAATCACCGTTTACATCAGTCTCATGATCTCCTACATTTCGATCTTTACTCTCACAAAGCCTTACGTTCAACTTCTCATCACTCTTCTTCAAAGCTTTCACGTGTTTCTCATCAAAGCTTCTCCTACGCGCGTTTAAACGCCACACGCCGTTACCTGGAATAGGAGAAGAAGCTACGACGTGTGTGGCCGTCACTACGCAGCTCTTCCTCCTCATCCTTTCTCCTCGTGGAGTCTCTACCTCCGTCGTTGACTTCGACTTTGACTTCTTTAGACCCGCTGAGCGAAGAAGAGAGTTCAAGAAACTTGTTAGCTTCCTAGCGCCGACACTTGTCATCTCCTTCTTCTGCGGCTTTGTGACGACAGCTCTAGGTTTCGAGAGCTCCTCCTCTGTCTCAGGATGTACTCTCTTCTGTCTGTTTTCAAGAACAATGCTTTGTTTCTGGATTTGGATTCTTGGGGACTCGATCGTAGTTGGTTCGTTGAAGTCGGAGAAATATCGAGTGGCTTCAAAGACGTCAAGTTCGCCGGAGACATTCCTCTCGCGGTTTGGTTTATTGATTTTCTCTTCTGATGGTGGAGAATCTCCGGCGATCTCGGACATTGTTGTTTCTTGAGTTTCAAGATTTGACATATATGTGTTTGGTTATTAGAAATTGTTGTTTGAGAAGAAAGATGGTGCGTCAGCTTTATAGAATGAAAGAAACCGGTTAACTGAACCGGTATAAACCCGGTTCATATCTTAGTTATTCATCATCCAAGAATTAGTATCTCACTTGTTTTTGTTCAAGTTATATCTTCAACTAATAGCATTTTTATCTATTTGGAAAATTTTACACCTAAACCAAGAAAACAAAATATCTCATACCATAGACTTATATATGTCCACGTTATAAATGTTAGAGTAAAGATTAACTATTATGAACGAATCATTCAGTTTCATATTAATGTTGTAACTCTTATCAATATTATATATGTTCTTATGTGTTCATAGTGATGCCACGTTACCATCAATGAATATTCACACCTTTTTGGGGGTGTCATGATGCAAATTCTCAAATCCTTTTATGGTCACAAAGGCAAAAGGGAAAAGGCGATAAAGATAAGAGTGACCCATTGATCAAATTTGGTGGGAGAATTTATATAATGATAAACAGTTGGTACCAAAAAAAAAGTAAAGGTCCTAAAATGAAGTTTTTAACGGACTCTATATATATAAATATATAACTCTCTATGCTAATATAGAAAAGAGCTTATGAAATAAATATTTAAAAGCATGCATTATAATATTGGTTCATTATTTCGTAATATCTAACATCCTAGTGTCAAGTTATATTATTTCGTCTATGTAAATATTTCTGAATTAGTTCTAAAATAATACAATGTAAGCTACTTACCAATATTATAACAAACTAATTCACAAACAAATATTATAACAAACTAATTCACAATCAAAGTGTGCATGTAAGTTATATATATATACTCACACACTGGTCACATTTATTATTGATGAACTAAAAACTTAATTATTATTTTATAGTACATGAAATTTTGAGAACAAAATATGTAGGTTCCTTTATCTAGTTGGATTTCAACTGTTTCGACAATTACGTCACAGGCCAACAAACATAAAAATGACCATAATTGATTGATCCAACGCCGTTGGTGTCCAAGTTCAAAGATTAGCAGTCAAAGAATTTATGGTGTACATGAACAAGTGGTGCTGGATCACTTACTTTTTTCTTCTACACTGACGACATCTCTCCAGTGTTTGCAAAAGAAGGAACAAGATGGAACTTGTATGTTTGTGGATTCTTTCTTATCCAAAAATGAAATTTAACCAATTAGAGAAAAACATTTACACACACGAGCGATACTCAATGGGTACGTTACGTAAGTACATACAATTATAGCAATATTTTAAATTAATAAGTTTATTTGTAGTACATGTGAATTATGTTAACACACTCCTTAAACTTAAAAGTATTACGATTTCTGACAATAAATTATAATCTTCCAAAATAAATATTCTTCAAGACGTCTTCTTTTGATGCTTTATTCTTCGATAGTATTACTTGGAGAGACAAAATATGATTGATAAGAGCAATATTATAGGGTATCTTGCACCCCCTATAATGGTGGTCTTACGATCATCTTTATGGACTATAGTCTAGATGGTCTTGAGAGGATGTGCATTATGTGCATACGTATATTTATTTAAATGTGGCGGAATCGTTGGTATTTTAACATCCAATGGGCTTGAGCATACATACCCATTCACCCTTATGGTACGTAGTGTGTGTTTTATTCCCAATAGTATGTTATATCATAATGAGATTTTTACAGAGAGGCCTCAAAGAGTTTTCGAAACTTATAAGAGTTACAAAAAGACAAGCAAACGAGTGATGAGAGGTAGTTGAAGCTTTAAGACAATCGATATCAGTTGAAAATATGAAGAGAATCAAACAGCTTGAACCAAGAAAGGGTTAAGGCTTCTTCCTACTTCGTTCAATCAATTGGCTAGTTTTAACTTGACGACACAATAACACATGATTAGGTTACATTCTTACCTGCAATATTATGATCTTCGATATGGATATCGAGAAACCGATTAGAATTATGGTTTGCCTATACTTTTTTAACTTGGAAAACGTTTACTTAATTAAACAGAAGGCAAATTATATTGTTACTTGGTTTGAAACTACTTTTTGGTGGTTTTATATATGTGTGATAATTTGAAGAGAAAACTTTGCTACTTTAATATAAAACATTCATCAGGTCCATATTACGACATGAAAAACTTGACCCACCACTGCAGAATTAAATAGCGACGTTCTCATATTAAATAGCGACGTTCTCATATTGTAACAAAACACAAAATTAACAAAGGAAATGGCTGAACTTCCAATGAACTTGAGAGATGACAACATAAGTGAAGAAACAAAGACTCTGATCTCCTCACTTCCTAGAGAAAGAGACTCTCAAGGGAAGCTCTGCAAGTACCAAGGATGTTGGTATTACTACAACACTCTCCAAGCACTCATCAATTTCCAGACAAACTTCCAGCCGCGAGACTCGGACATAGTCCTGGCTTCATTCCCCAAATCCGGAACCACTTGGCTCAAGGCACTCGCCATCGCAATCTTGGAGCGATCTAAACAGAATTCTGATGATCCTCTGACACATCCTTTACTATCCGACAATCCTCATGGCATAGTCCCCTTCTTCGAGATCGATATGTATCTCAAAACGGCAACACCAGACCTAACCAAGTTCTCTACGTCTTCTCCGAGTCTATTCTCGACTCACATGCCTTTGCACACCATGAAAGAGGGCCTCAAGGATTCTCCATGCAAGGTTGTGTACTTGTGCCGGGACGTCAAAGACGCGTTGATATCGCGTTGGTATTTCAGGTGCAAGTATCAGAATAAACAAGTGGCTGGAAGCATTCTCGAGTCAATGTTCGAGTCTTTCTGTAGCGGAGTTAGTTTCTACGATCCGTTTTGGGACCATGCTCTTAGCTATTGGAGTGGCAGCTTGGAAAACCCTAAGCAAGTCCTTTTCATGAGGTACGAGGAAATGAAGACAGAGCCTTATGTCCAGGTCAAGAGGCTTGCAGAGTTCCTGGGTTATCCTTTCACTAAGGAAGAAGAAGAGAGTGGATTGGTTAACAAAGTCTTGGAACTATGCTCTCTTCGTAATCTGAGCGGTTTGGAGGTTAACAAAACCGGGAAAACTTGGATGAACGTGGATAACAATAGCTATTTCCGCAAAGGTGAAGTTGGTGATTGGAAGAATTATCTAACTCCCGAGATGGAGACCAAAATCGACATGATCATTGAGGAGAAATTACAAGGTTCAGGCTTGAGACTATGATATAAAAAGTTATGTATGCGTAAGTGGGTTTTAGTTTTGCATCTTAATAAGACCGTTGGTTCTGTTCTGTTGTTATGTTCCTTTGATGCAATATTAATTAATGTGCTTCATTAACCAATGTAAGTTTAAAAACGAGTACAAGACAAGGCTGAATTGTACAAGGTAGTAGCCACATCAACAAGTGTCTCTAAGAAAGCTTTAACCTTGGGAGATTTTCTATCAATGGAGGATTCCCAAACAACGGCAACACTCATGGACTTGAAGAAAACATAGACCGTGAAACAAAACATGAGATAACAGAGGAACCAATGGAAGCAAACTTGAGACATTATCTGCTTTATAAGTGCCTTAAGAAACAATTTACATCACACACAAAAACCTCATATAGCCTTGATGATCAATAATCAGATTTATTATCAATAGAGATTAAACTCTGGAAATACGTAACAAACAGGAAAACCGATGGAGTAAGCATTGAAAGCAACATACAATATGATTTGGTTTCAAGACCATCATTGTTTGACCTAGCCCATGACAGTAAAACAACAACTTCTTCTTCCCATCGATAAACGGGAGCTATTGGTAAAACCATTGACAAGTTACATCCAAATCAATTAAACTCAGAGACACCTCTTCGAACCCTAACTTTGTTTTTTTTTTTTTTTTTTTTTTCTTGTGGGCTTTTGATTTTTTCTTAAGGCCGCTGTCAGAACCCAATACTCGAGTTTAAACCGACGGTCAGGATCTTAGCTTATGTGTTTTTTGTGACTAATTTCTATTTCCATCTTTGGTTCTTTACGAGGTTTCAACCTAATGATTTTTCCATTGTGCCATTTCTTATCAATCAAACCAATCTTTATTTTCATTTTTCACTAATTTATTTCACATATATGTCCTATACTCTTTTGTCCCAATAGACGTTTTAAAAACCATAGTTTAGGCATTCTCCAGACTCAAATTGTATGCATTTGTTGACTTTTGGGACATTACATAAACAAAGCTATGTTTTGTACTTGAAAAACCTGGCTGTTCTTATAGAAGTTGACTTTGTTTGTCTTCTTTTAAAAGTTTTAGGGATCATATGAAACGAACAAGTCAAATCCACACGATATCGTAAAGATCCGATTCTCCAAAAGTTTCTTCATCTGCCAGATTTTATTTCTTTACTTGAAACTTGGAAAGGCCTTGTTTAGCTTTCCCGAGAACTAAAACATATATACTTTCTTTTTTCCCTTCTCATTCAGAAATATTCATATCTATTCATCTGTTGACTTCTGAAGGTTTTAACAAATTTCCGAGAAATTGAAAAGGTAAGATGGAGCAAGATGCATGCTAGATATGATCAAATTCTAGGACTTAGAGACCTTTATATATGTGACTCCATCGTTTAGTATAATGTTTATAATTTAATTTTCTGAGATTCTTCAGTTGCTAGATTCATGGTAACCTTCATGTGAAGTATTTTGATGATTAAATGTTTCTCTGTGCATTTGTTTAATCAAACGGCTGTTTAATCTTTGCTAAAAATAATTGAAGTCACATTCCTTTCCTTAAGTCTTTGGGGCCATTCATCATTGGCTGGATATATCATGAGTTTTGTCATTTATACAGCTTCATTTTTACTCTGTTTCTCTCTCAACGACCCAACTCAGAAAATTCTCAATATACATTTCGTTTATTTTTCCCTGTAGACACCATTCAAATATAGTGGTGGCTGTTTGAAGATATTATAGCCTCTGCTCTGTGAAAGATGGCAATGAGATCAGGTTAGTCCATCCTATTTGTTGTTCAAACCTTTTGAATGTTTTGAAAAAATGAGTACACCAAGTAGTTTTCTTCTCAACTGTGACTGCCAGACAAAGATCAAGTTTTAAAAAACTATACTGAATCAAAGATCTTGGACAATGGGAAAGAAACTGGATGCGAGTGCTATGGCTCAATAAGTGAAGAACAGGACAAAGAGAAGGCTGGAAACATGTCAGGACATCAAAATTCATCTGAATGCAAGATTGGCCCTAAGAATGAGGCCATAAAAGACAACCGTGGTAGTCTAGACGATCATCCGGTTTTCTATATAGACAAGAATGTAATGGCTCGCGAATTGCCTGAGATCGTAGTTAGTAACTTCAAGGATGTTACTTATAATGTCTTCAAGGATGTATGTCAGGATGAGGGTATGCCTATGATGCAGGAGAAGTTATTATCCAACGAGAAAGACTCTGTCAACATCAACTCGAAACCTCAAGAATCCAAATCCTCAGAAGACAGCAAGTTTGAAGAATGTGTTGGCATTCAAGATTCTAGTAAACTCAATCAAGAAAATGTGATTGTGACAGAAAAAGAAGCTAAAGATGATTCAAAAGTGCCACCGTGGGATGTAACAGCTACATCAAGAAGTGTCTCTAAGGAAGCTATAACCTTGCGAGATATTATATTAATGGAGGATTCCCAAAGACCACCCAACACAAACAACATTAATGGACCTGAAGAAAACGTAGACCGTGAAACAGAACAGGAGAAAAAAGATGAACCAGTAGCAGAGAGCTTGAGATATCTTTCCTATGAAATGGCAGAATCAGAGAATCAACGACTAAACGATGTGCTTGAGGACGCTTATGATTACCATCTCTTCTCAAGCAACGGTATTAAGGAAAGGAGTTTCTCTGAAGCAGAGTCAGGTTTAGCTCATATTACTTACTTTGGACCAATCTCAGTCTCCGGAAGCATCTCTGTTCGATCTGAAGGAAGCACAGTCAGCGCAAGCTCCTTCGCTTTTCCAATGTATAGATATGCAGACATCTTCTCACATACATATATATCTTATCAAACTTATTATCTACAAACTCTATAAAACTTTTGTTAAAACTCTGTTTCAGCTTGCAATCGGAATGGAACACTAGTCCTGAACGAATGGTGAAATCTGATAAGACACAACTTCGAAAGGAGAAAGGATGGAGACAATACTCTCTTCTTCTCTGTTGTAGATTCTGATGGAGTACTCTGCCTTTCACAGAGGTTTTTTTTTTTTTTGATAAACTTTTTGGTTCTATTCAGTTTACAGATCATTGAAAAACACAGACGAGTGATTTTCTTTTTTGTGTATTTCAGTAAATAATTATATTGTAAGTTTCAATAACTTCATCGTGGGTTTGTATGTTGTGTTCTCAGTTCTACTTGTTGCTTCTGACACAAGGTACAAAACCTAAATACATTTTGTAATGTGACATTCAATTTAGTAATGGGCTTGAGTTCCAAGGCCCGTTTAGTTGCAACTTGTCTGTCACATACGTCAGTAAGTCGGTCTAAGTGGCCACACATCATCACTTAATCCCTCTACTTGTCATAACGTGGTACTTGTAGACACCCGCCACGTATCATGTAGTAATCAAACAGCTTTCGTTTCATGTAGAGGAGAATCTGTAGATCGGACGGTTCTCTTTGCTTGTTCTAGACCCTTCTCACTCAGAGTTATGGTAACATCTTTCAAATTTTACAATTTTATGTATTCTTTCTTTTTATTTTGTCAGCACTTAATTACAAAAAATTTCATAGATTCCTCGATAAATTTATATACTTTTTCGGTTCCAAATTAGTTTTTTTTTTTGATAAATTGATAATTTGGTATACTCAATTAATATATTAAATTTTTAACATTAATTAAAGAAAATAAAATAACAAAAGGACTTTTTTCTTGTAATATTTTTTTTATCTGACAGTGAAATTTTATGTCACAATCATCTATATATATAAAGTTAGATTTTTCTCTCTTCTCATAATGCCACCTAAGCATCCATATAAGCCACATTTTTTTTTAAAAATTAAAATAAATTTAAAATATTCATTTAGTGCATATTTATATTACTTATTTAATTAATAAAAAGTTTATATAAATAAAAATAAATTATGTAAAAAATATGAAATGTTAAAATAAGAAAAACAATACTTTAATTGTTTTTATTAGTGATAATAATATAATTCAACTGTCATTTTAAATTGATCGTAATTTAATATTTTAAATATGTTACTAAAACGGAAGTAAAATTTAAATTTATGCTAGACTAAAACAACATTTATGTAATTGTATATATAAAATTATAAAGAGGAAAAAAAAAGTGAAATATTAGTTTATAACATGATAAAAAATAAAAAAATGATATTTCATAAATTGAATCAAATGCTTTTAATCCAAATTTGAGTATTGAAAGATAATAATTAAAGAGAAAATAATTATAATATTTTTTGAAAATCAATTAAAATTTTTTTTATCACAATATAAATAAAAAATCAACGAAACAAAATTATAAACCTCCCGCGCGGAGCGTAGGTCAACTGCTAGTATTTCAATAAAATATCTATAATCTCACAAGAGATGGAAGGCAAAAGAAATATTATACCTCGAATTAACTAACATACAGAACATAATTAATGAATTGACAAACAAACAAAAAAAGAATTAAAACTGTAAGGTGACGTGGCACTGGTTAAAAAATGAGATAGCAATGGATATGATGTAACTTTTTTCGCTGAGAAAAAAAAAAGAGCGTCGTTGAGAGGTTGACGAAGGAGGCAGAGCGATAGAGAGATAGAGAGAGAGAGAGCGAGCGAGAGGCTAATGGATCAGTGACTCACTGAGTCAGATTTTTACCGATTCATTGCCCTCCATTGAAGCCTCTTTTCTAAGATTCTTCTACGCTTTCATTGTGTTCTTCTTTCTCTGTCTTCCATGTGCGTGTCTCCTCTTCAGATCTTGCTTTCCGGTGAGTTCTTCTTCAATTCGTTTTCTTCTCTTTCTTTCGAAAAATCTCTCAATCCATGTATTTGATTCATTGTTCGGTTTTGATCTCTTTAGTTTTTTTTTTCCGTTTGGTTTCTCGATTTTGTGTAAAGTGAATAAATTTGCTGTAATCATTTCTTCAAACGATTGTGTAAAGTTTCTTGGATCAAGATGTATGTTATCTCGTGGGAAGTGTGGAGAAAGAAGAAGTTTTTTTCCAAGTATTTTACGGATTCGTGTAAAAAGCCGAGAAAAAAGAAGGTTGCTTTATAAGTTACAACTGTATAAAGTAATCAAATCCTTCTAGATTTCTGATCTTTGTATCCATTTTTTAATGCAGATTTTAATCTTCTTTACTACCTACAAAGCATGGCTTACCTGATGTAGTGCTAAAGGATTAAAAAGTTTCTGTTTTTCACTTCTGCCTTGTTGAGCTTAACCGTGTTGGTTGGCGATTGAGTCTGGAAGATGGCCATGGCTGTGTTTAAGGCTCCTCTTAAAGGGGAATTTCATGGGGCTAGAAAGATGGAAGGGAAACAGTATAAGCATCCTTTGCTTCAACAACAGTCTTCAGGAAGAAGACGTGTTTTCGTGCAAACCGAAACTGGCTGTGTTTTGGGGGTTGAGTTAGACCGTAATGATAATGTTCACACTGTCAAAAAGAGGCTTCAGATAGCCTTTAACTTACCTACTGAGGAAAGCTCTTTGACCTTTGGGGATATGGTGTTGAAGAATGACTTGAGTGCTGTGAGGAATGACTCTCCGCTGCTCCTTAAGCGTAACTTAATGCACAGGAGCTCTTCTACTCCGTGTCTTTCACCTACTGGAAAGGACCTGCAGAGGAAAGATCTGAGTGGTCCTATTGAGATACTCAGTCACTCGTATTGCTTTCTGTCGCTGAAGCAGACGGCGAATGACATTGTCAAGGCGATGAAGATGGGTGTTGAACCAATCCCTGTCAATGGTGGGCTTGGAGGGGCTTACTACTTTAGGAATGAAAAGGGTCAAAGCGTTGTAATTGTCAAGCCTACGGATGAAGAACCATTTGCCCCTAACAATCCTAAAGGCTTCACAGGGAAAACACTTGGGCAGCCTGGTTTAAAGCCTTCTGTGCGAGTTGGGGAAACTGGGTATAGAGAAGTTGCAGCGTACCTTCTTGACTATGACCACTTTGCTAATGTTCCTCCCACGGCTCTTGTTAAGATGACACACTCTGTTTTCAATGTCAATGATGGAATGGACGGGAACAGATCTCGTGAGAAGAAAAAGTTGATCAGCAGCAAGATTGCTTCGTTCCAGAAGTTTGTACCGCATGATTTTGATGCCAGTGATCACGGGACGTCAAGCTTCCCAGTCTCTTCTGTGCACCGCATTGGGATATTGGACATAAGGATTCTCAACACAGATCGGCATGGTGGAAACCTTTTGGTGAAGAAGCTTGATAATGGTGGTGCTGGGAGGTTTGGTCAAGTTGAGCTTATTCCTATAGATCATGGACTTTGCTTGCCAGAAACACTAGAAGATCCTTACTTCGAATGGATTCATTGGCCACAGGCTTCAATACCTTTCTCTGAAGAAGAACTTGACTACATACGAAATCTTGATCCAGTGAAAGACTGTGAAATGCTGCGAAGAGAGCTTCCAATGATTCGAGAGGCTTGTCTCAGGGTCCTAGTTCTGTGCACGGTTTTCCTTAAAGAAGCTGCTGTTAGTGGACTTTGTCTTGCAGAGATTGGTGAGATGATGACTCGGGAATTCCGCGCAGGAGAAGAAGAGCCAAGTGAACTAGAAATGGTGTGTATTGAAGCAAAGAGATTAACAGCGAAACAAGACATTTTATCTCCCAAGTCAGAGTTTGAAGGAGACAGAGAGTTTCAGTTTGATCTCGACTATAGCGACATAGACATGGTCTTTGACTCTGATGAATTACTCATCAAAAACCCGTTTTCAAATGGACAATCTTCACTTGGAAAGCTCAAGGAGAGCATCATTGAAGAAGAGGAGGATGAAGGCGACGAAGAAGAGGCAATACTTACTCGATCTCTCACAAAGCTTTCAGTATCATTGAAGAACCACAATCTAAGCAACAACATGGGATCTGGATTCCTTATTCCTCCTAGAGACAAGACAGACAAAACATTGGTAAGTCACAAGAGTGCAAACGTGCAGCTCCCGGTGAGCGCAAACTTTGTGAAGTTAGCAGAAATGAAAGAAGTAGTATGGGTTGTGTTCTTGGAGAAGTTCCAGGAGCTGCTTGGCTCGGCTTTCACAGAACGTAAGACCATGACGTTGAGGAATAGACAGAGGCTTGGTACGTCGTGCAAGTTTTGAAAGATCATATAAGTAAAAACTTTTAAGAGTTCACATAATAGAAGATCAAAGATTTTACTTTTACGAGTTTGGAAACAGTGACTTGTTAACTACGTTAAGATTAAAGAAATGTTCTTTCGTTTTCTTCTCTGACCTGCTCTGTAAATATTCTTTTACCATTTTCTTTACATTTGTTGTTTTGATACGCTTTTGCCTTCTCTTTACAAGAATAAGCAGATTAAAGAGTAAGGTTTCTTTCATTCATTTGTTTTTTTCTTTTCAAATTGATTGGTCCATGATTTGCTAAAAGCCTAAAACTAGTAGTAGTACGTTCTTTTGCTATTCCTCCAGATTTAAGATTTTAACTTGGTTGATATTTTATATGAAATCGCGACGTATCAATGAAATTATTGTTATAAAAGTAGTATAAACAAGGGGGTATACAACAATCAACATGATGTTTTTTGCTTTTGTGAATTTTCTTTTCTTATGCCAACTTGTTCATCGTTTGGTCTGAAAAGATGAGATGTGTTTGTGATAAACTTATCATTTTAATGGACACCATTCATTCATCAGTGCTACATCAGTGACCCATTACATGTCTTGTTCTCAATGTCTTACATAATCATGCACAACTTGTAAAGCAACTTGTTGAACCTATCAGAAGCTTGGTAAGTTTCCGAAAAAACAATGTTTGTTTTTATCTTTACTTTAAATAATTTGAAGGTTTTTCTTTTTCTTTTTATATAGGCAATTAGGCATATTTGGAGTTACTTTGTTCCTCATTATGTCAGTAGCCGACGGCTTTACAATGATTGATACTTCACAATTTCACAAAAAAAAAAAAAACTTACAAAATTAAACTTGGATAGTCATCCCATAATCAAGAAGACAAGAATAACCATTTTATTGTAGTACTCATCCCTATGATCTAAAAAACTTGGAACAAAAAAAAATCAACTTGGTTTTATTTTTTACATTAGAAACCAAACCAAATCAAAAACAGAAATCGATTTACAAGATATTTGTTAAAATAAGTTAAATCCAAATCAAAACCTGAAAAATATCAAACTAAATAATCCAAAGAAATTTTGACTTCAAATCAAATATATCCTTTGTATAGTCGAAAAAGCACTCAAAAAGGGAAATTCTTAAGCTGAAAACCAAGTTTTGTTGTAAACCGAAAATACTCAAAAACCAGGATAAGAGGGTATGTATATGTTTAAGGATTAGACTTTCTCTCTTCACGTAATCATATATGCCTCCATGGCCTCTCAGCGAGGCTCACACAATCACCATGTCTAAAACAATCAACGAGATGATCGATTGTTAAACCTGCAGCCTGCATGAACGAATGTACGATCACTGGACCGACAAATCGAAACCCTCGTTTGATCATATCTTTGCTAATGATCTCAGCCTTGGGAGATCTCAATGGTACATTTCTTGGATACTTGAATTTGTTAATGATAGGTTTGTAATCCATAAACCCCCACATGAAGCTGCTGAATGATCCAAATTCATTGACCACCTGTAGGTATATATTTTTATTAGGATCCATATTTAGCATTTAATAGAAAATAAAAGTATAAGGAAGAAAAAAAGTTTAAAACTTGCCTTGATTATGCATTTGGCATTGTCGACTACACACCTGACTCTACTCTCTTGTAACATTATTGCTTTGTTTGATGCAATCTCTGTGATCTCTTTCTCTCCCATATTGGCCACCACATTTGGGTCGAACTCACAAAACACCTCTCTAAACAAGTTACATTATGATAACATCCATAAATTTTTATTTTCATGTATAATGTAACAAAATATGAATATTGGTATGAGAGATTTTACCTAAAGAGTTCTTTGCGTTTTAGAATCTCAGTCCAATTATAGTCCATTAACATCCCCGACATGGCAAGGAACTCAAATAGCAGGCTGTTTCAAATTATCAATCACCATGCAATTCGAATGACATTAAGCTAAATATATATAAGCATATATCTAGCATAACATGCATGAGGGTTATCATTTAGATGTATAAATTAATTATGTGGAGTTAATCTCATAAGGTTGCGTAATCATACTTATCATCATAGACAGGGACTCCCCATTGCTGGTCATGAAACTTTACGTAGACTTCATCTACAAACAAAAAATGCAAAAGAAGTTGTATATACTTAACTATATTGAGTTATTGACTATTTAACTTGTATAGATTCTACTTAGCTATAGTCTTATTTTAGGACAACGATCTTGCATCTTACCACTTTTCTTGGTGATCCAATTGCACCTCTTTGGTTCATCACTATTGAAATCCTGACATAGTTCTTGTTCTAGTTGTTGCGGGATACTTTTTGGAACAAATGTTTCTCTTCTGCGGGGAGATGAGATTAAACCAAGTGCTAGAGATATCTTTTGTTCCAACGTCGAGTTTGAATCCGTGGAAACAGAATCGGTTGAGTTCTGAGAGAGTGATAGAGATATAGAAGAGAGTGAGAATGAAGAAGAAGTACTTCGTTGAAGCGTGATTGGGTATATCCTCTTCAAGTGTTTGGCAAAGAAATTAGAGTTTTGCTTAGTCTCCTTTTCCCTTACACTCTTGCTTTTCTCCACAATTTCTCTTCTTTTAGGACTTGATTTGTACATCTTCGATTTTTTTGGGGTAAGCCAAAACAAAGAATAAACCACAAGTACTTATAGGAGAGCATACAATGAGAGGTTTTAAGTTAATTCATGTGGTTACTAGTGATAGAACTAATTATGCCTAAGTTGGTGAAATGTGGACTTCATGTTTGTGAAATTTTACCATATTTGAATAATATCCTTACTATATTACAAAGAAACTGCAAAAAATCATACATCGGTTTTTTTTTTTTTCCAAATATTGAAAAGCTTATTAAAGTTGAAAAGGACATACTACGATTTTGCTGATTAATTTAAGTTGTTTAAAGATCTAATGCATGTATCAAGAAAAGTGACAGATAACCAAATTGGTGAAGTGATGATCCATCTTATTACCTTTTCTAAATCGATTTGCTTTTAATATTCAATTTGTTGGAGTTCTCTTTCTGTACTTGATTTGAAATACTAATTGACAGATATGTATAATCAAATTTTGAGTATTATAACAAGGGCCTATGAATGATGCCCTTGGATTGAAAACCATATGTATATTAGTCCCTAGCTTGTTCGCACTCAACACAACGTTCTTTAGTGGAAAATATGATTACTGATATTGGTTACGATGAATTAAAATAATTGTTAAAACAGATTAGTCTTAGCTTCTACTCTTTGCTGCTGCATGAATGCTCATTTTAAATAGAGAAATGAACGTTTCTCCTATTTTAGACAAAGAACTCTCATCTTTCTTTATGCATGTATTTATCTTTTCTTACGACGTATGTGTTTACTTTGTTAAATTAGGTATTTGTGATGTATGTATACATATTTCAACATCATCAGAAATATTGATTAATTATGTTAACCGGCAAACAAGAAAATAAAAATTTGACACTAGTTTGAGAGTTTCTTCTACTCTTTACTAATTTTTGTAAACCGGTAAGAAAGTTGAACCGGAACAATTGATTTGCTATTTGAAAACCGGAGTTAGGTTTTATATCATAAACCCGAGAAGATTCCTAAAACCCTTTTCTTCTCCGTCTGTTTCTTCAAACTTGCCGGGAAAAGCAAACAAAATTATCTCTCCGACGACCCTCAATTCTCCGCCAATCTCTCAAATTGACGTCAAGGGCATCTCCAGAAATCCCTCAGTTGACAAACCCTAGTCCCCAAATTCCATGATCTGTAGATGGATTGCATCCAATTCAAGCAAAGTATCTCGTATCCTCTCTCCCTTTTCTTCTCTCTTATCCACTAAATCCTCCTTCTCCGTCGCCAAACTCGACGATGAGCCATTACCCACATCCAATTTCACTTCCGATCACAGAGACTTGCATCAAGAGATTCTCCTTGGAATGAAGAAGAATGGGTTCCGTGAGTTTCTTCACGGGAATCACTTTCGAGTTATGGTTTCGGAACTGAGACAGGTTCATGTAGAAGAGATCATGGCTGAATTGATGGCTGAAAGCTCGGATCTTTCGGTTTGGTTTTTCAAAGAGCTAAGAGATATTTATGGGTTTCGTCATTCCAGGTTTTCGACATTGTTGGTTTCACATATTTTTGCTGGTCAAAGACGTTTTAAAGAGCTTCAAGTGATTCTGGAACAACTGCTCCAAGAGAATGAACAATTGCAAGGCAAGTCTTTCTCTTTTCTTTTTTCTTCAGTGATTAAAAGAACAATTGGGATATGATTCTGTTTTACTGAGGGCTTAGAGGTATAACTGAAACTTGTGCCAATTACTTTTGAGGTTACGATATTCTTTGTTTTGTAGGAATATTGTTTTTGGTTTGATTTAGATATTCCTGAGTCTGATTTATTGCATCAATTTTCCACGATTTGCTTTTAGGCTCTGGTTCAGCTTCTTTGCTTTGTGAAGTTCTTTCTAGTAGCTTCAGAAAGTGGGATTCCACGGGAGTAGTTTGGGATATGTTGTTGTTTATTGCGTCGAGATCTAAAATGGTAGATGATTCTCTCTATATCTTGGAAAAGATGAAGGATCTCAACTTGAAAGTGTCAACACAGTCATACAACTCTGTTTTGTATAGTTTTAGAGAAACAGATAAGATGTGGGATGTGTACAAGGAAATCAATGATAAGAATGAGCACACGTACTCGACAGTTGTAGATGGTTTGTGTAGGCAGCAAAAGTTAGAGGATGCAGTTTCGTTCCTCCGAAATTCAGAGTGGAAGGATATTGGTCCCTCTGTAGTTTCTTTTAATAGTATAATGTCAGGTTACTGTAAATTGGGTTTTGTAGATATGGCCAAGTCGTTTATCTGTACAATTTTGAAATGTGGATTGGTTCCCAGTGTATATAGTCACAATATACTCATCAACGGACTCTGTCTAGCTGGTTCTATCACAGAAGCTTTAGCATTGGCTACTGACATGAATAAGCATGGAGTGGAACCTGATTCTGTAACATACCATATTCTTGCCAAAGGGTTTCATCTTCTCGGTATGATTGGTGGGGTTTGGGAGGTTATTCAAGAAATGCTAGATAAAGGTTTGAGTCCTGATGTTATTACATACACAATAGTACTATGTGGGCATTGTCAGTTAGGAAATATTGATATGGGTTTAAGATTGCTGAAGGATATGTTGTCGAGGGGATTTGAGTTTCACAGTATCATCCCCTGCAGTGTAATGCTCAGTGGTTTATGTAAAACAGGACGAATCAATGAAGCGTTGTCGTTATTCTATGATATGGAAGCCAATGGTCTGAGGGCTGATCTTGTGGCATATTCTATTGTGATTCACGGTCTCTGCAGGTTAGGGGAATTTAATATGGCTGTTTGGCTTTACGATGAGATGTGTACCAAAATTCTTCCGAATTCTAGGACAGATGGTGCTATTTTGCTTGGTTTATGTCAGAAAGGGATGTTGCTTGAGGCAAAAGCGCTTCTGGATTCTTTGAAATCAACTAGTAACACACTGGATATTATTCTGTACAATATCGTTATTGACGGGTATGCAAAGTCTGGTTGCATCGAGGAGGCACTAAAATTATTCAATGTAGTAATTGAGAGTGGGATACCTCCTAGCGTTGCAACTTTCAATTCTTTGATTTACGGGTATTGCAAAATCTGGAATATAGCTGAGGCTAGAAGAATCTTAGATGTCATCAAGTTATATGGATTGGTTCCAAGCGCTGTGAGTTATACAACATTGATGAATGCATACGCTAACTGTGGAGATACTGAAAGCATAGATGAATTGTGCTCGGAAATGAAAACAAAAGGAATCTCAGCAACCAATGTCACATACGCAGTGATTATTAAAGGACTTTGTAGCAACTGGAAACTCGAAAAATGCAACCAGTTACTCAGGGACAGGAAACTCGGAAAGTGCAACCAGGTGCTCAGAGACATGGATTCTGAAGGTATAACTCCAGATCAGATCACTTACAATACAATTATTCAGTATCTATGCAGAGTTAAACATTTATCCAAAGCATTTGAGTTATTGAAAGAAATGAAATCCCGACATCTTGATCCTACGCCTGCTACTTATAATATTCTAATCGACAGCCTTTGTGTCAACGGTTACATAAAGGAAGCTGACAGGTTTCTCTATTGGCTCCAGGAGCAGAATGTTAGTCTGTCCAAATTTGCTTATACCACACTGATCAAGGCACATTGTGTAAAGGGTGACCCAAAAATGGCAGAGAAGCTCTTTCATCAGCTGCTGGACAGTGGATTCGATGTTTCCATCAGGGATTACAGTGCAGTGATCAATCGTTTGTGTAGGAGACATTTAGTGAATGAGAGCAAATTCTTCTTCCGTCTAATGTTATGCCGGGGTATTTCGCCTGACTTAGATATTTGTGAAATGATGATCAAGTCATCAGATGAATTGCTTTCCTGGACAATCAAATCGGGTTTGTTGCCTGATTAGTAATCAGCAAATGCTTGTCGTTTTGTCACATCTTATCTGCTAACTGCAGAAGGCACACTTTCAGTAGAGAAACTGTCACATGAGGTAACTGTTGTTAGTATACTGTTACTGTAAAAAAGAATCCCATACAAGTTCCATAGTTAGTTATCTGGTGTTTTATTGTTGTTTCTCATTGTTCTAGTTAACAGATCAATCTTAGCTACTGGATGGTATCACCGGGCAACAGTTGTATCACATTAACTTCTTTGAAGGATCGCAGTAAGTGATGTTTCTTAACCATTTACAGAGTGTTTTTAAAGATACTTTCCATGGCTCCTCATTGTTGTCCATCTATATCACACAATGAGTGTGTTATAACCTTTGAAATCGATAATGTGAACTATGGGGATGTTTCGGTCAGATGGAAATCTGAACATGATATCTTACACTTTTTTGTCAAGCTTTTAGTTTCCCCAACCCAAACGCAAATGTCTTGGTCGTTTTGCTGCTTCAGTCTTACACTGTATTAGTTTTCGTCAGGTTCTTCTGGAAGATAAAGTCACTGGTTCTTGTACTTCCTCAGCTTGGTTCACAAATAAACGGGGAGGCAAAATGGTCCGGCCAGTGGCAACAACCCCCAATTATATGTTTATAACATGATTGGTAGTAAATAAGAGTAGTTGATGGAAGTGGACAAAAGGGTTACTTCAGCTTTCTGTGAGGGGCAAGGGAGTCGAAACCCATACAACTACAAACCAAGACTGGTGAAATAAAATCAAGCCTTTTCCTTTTTTAGACCAAATTTATATCCAAGATTCTTACTGTGACTTCTTGAAAGTTGTGTTGTTCTTGCTCATTTAAGAGCATATCTTGTCTGTCTGAAGCATCCTTTTGTATCAACACTTCTATTTTAAGATCAGCACATAATTTTTAGTGAAGGAATTTACATTCGTTCATTATGTTTTGGACCGGTAAGGAATTACAGTGTTCATAAGCAGAAAAAGAATATTCCGAAATTGAACTTGATGATAATAAATCACAAACATAGTTTGTCCAAAAAAAAAAAAAAAGAAAAAAAATCACAAACATAGTAAATTCTTTATTGTACAACATCATCGACTAATGATAACATTGAGAGAACAAAACTTGGTTGAAGACAAAAAAAAGAAAAAAAAAAAGAGAACAAAACTTGGTTATAACTTATACGTACCACTTTAGAAAATTTAGAACGATCGATGTTACAAACACAAAGCTTACAATCACTCATGACATATATGTATACTGATATCTTATATTATTGATATTGAATAATATATATAAGGAGCATTTTATATAAATATGGATCAGTTGTTCTTGGGAGGATGGTGTCTTGGTTTCCAGTAATCAGCAGTGTACGCAACGAGATCATCTTCTTCCTCAACAGTTGTCTCTTTCTTTGTTGGCTTCTTCATCGTCATCCTTGTTGTTTCCTTACGAAACTCGTCTCCACTTCTTCCTCGTATTTGCACCTTCTTCGTTGCATCACCATCATCATCAAGATGCTTCATAACCTGCTTATCATCAACCTTACTATATTATTTACATGTGTATTTGCCGAAACTCAAACTGAGATATATGTAATCGCTATGTAATATTCATAATTGGTGTGCCTAATATTGAACCCACAAGTATTCACTAATCAAGAGAACACATAAACGAGTATAGTCTAGGGAAATTTATTAATACCTTTGCATTTGAAACGTCGTCAACTCTTGACACTTCATCCTTATTTCCTGATGAAAAAAATGACATAGTTAATTTAACTGCATTTTTTATATACTATAAACAATGCATGAGCTATATATAATTCATGAAAAATGGGTGGGGGGAAGAAATGGATTTTAGGAAGTTCGATTCTCATAATGCAAGTTTTTACGTATAATTTCATAACACGTGAGTGATGAGTCAATTATTTCGAATATTCATGACCTTAAAAATGTAAAAATTAATATTGGAGAAAAAGAAGATAAAAGAGAGTTATCAACCATGAAGAGAATATCCAAAGGAGAGGCAAAACAAAAGAAGTATCAACAAACAAAAAAATCTCGAAGTGATATTGGTCATCTCAAATTTTCTTCTCTTCGATACGGAAATGTTTTCAAAATGAGTTATGAGATCAAATTGCGCAAGAATGATGAAAGATTAGAAGAAGATTAACTAGTGTTTATATAGGACAAGAAAAAAAGAAACCCAAGAGAATACCAAATCTAATCTATTTTTATTTTACCATAAGCCATGTGTCTCTATTGGGAATCTGCCATGCATAGACATTGGGACATGCGTAAAATTCCCGAAAGCTGTAAGAAACTGTGAACTACAACATGAGATCCAAGTTCACACCCATAACTAAAGTGAGCCAACCCAACTAGATAGATTAAAAAGTATATAAATCAAGTACTGAATGAACATATAGTCTATCAATCAATGCGTTATTAAAATCTAAATATACTGAATGAACATATAGTCTATCAATCAATGCGACATTAAAATCTAAATATATTTGTTTGGTTTAACGAAATAAGCTTACAATACTAAGGCACCGTTCATAAAAAACTTAAAGAAAAACATATTGTTGACCAAAATTTTCTGATCTCAATTTGTTTTTTTTTTCTTCTCTCACAAGGTATATACACTGAAAAAGCAAGAATTTACGTGGGGAATAGCCCAAAAACATCGAATAAGGAGAAGAACATAACGTAAAATGCAATTAACAGATGAGCATGTTTTGTGTTGGTCTCTTACTATATTACCACTTTTCTCAATTTCAAGAACAATAAAAGTAAAATTTGCTTAATAATCTATAATAAATCTTAACATATACTAGGTACATTCACAAATATTTAGTTGACCAAAAGCCACAAATGTTATTTAAATCATATATACCTATCAAAAATAAAATAATGATCGGGCAATCGGCAGATTGAAGGAAGTCGGTAAAAGATATGAGTTATTAATTTAGTTTTTTTTTTTTTTGTTATTAATTTAGTTAAATGGATCGTAAGAAACATACCATGATGAATCAGTGGGAGTAGGAATGTGTAACCTATGGTCTATATAACTTCCATAATTGGAATTTGTGTATCTTTGTTAGTATCAATATTGTGTATGCTATTTCTCCCACATTGCACCAAAATTTAAGTACTTAATTGCTTTACCCGATCATAGTTCATAAAATTATATATATATATATAATTATTAGTATCATTACTGTATCATATGGAGGTAATTCGATTAAACTACAAATCTATAATGTGTGAAACTGCATAAAAAGGGTTAATCCGTGGATATGTATATAACATATTTTTTCTTCTCTATATACTAGTAAAAATTTAAAGATCTCAAAATCATTATCAACCATTTTTTACTTAAGAGTTTCTCTGTGAATTTTCAAAATTAGTAGTGCAAGTGAGTTTTGTTAAACCTGATGAATTTACATGGCTCATAATGGGCTTTCCGTATGGATTATAGATATAGGCCCAATTATAGGGACACATCATGCCGTTAAGCATGCAGTGATGCAAAAATAAACAAAGTGTGAATTTTATTAATCATTAACCCCAAAAAGGTATTTTTGATCGTGTCATTCCAAAAGAGAGATTGATTTGAATTAATCCTTAAGTAATGATGAGACTAAACTTTATTTCCCTCCAAACGAATTAGATTACTAATTAATTTAGAGCCATTTCCCTTTATTCTCCACTACACATCATTGTTTCCCTTTTTATTTATTTATTGTCGTCATTGTTTGCCTTTATAAGTTTTAATTTTCTTTTTTTTTCATTAATTAATAATTTTCTTTTTTATAATGTAAGTAGCATCTAGAAGAATAAAACAATGATCAGTATGTGGTCGTGTGTAGTGTGTATCCTCATCTAGTCATCCATGTCTTTTTATACTGATAAGTAACATACTTCTTTAGTTCTTTATGTTTCTTACGATTTGAAACGTGATTATGAAGGACAAATGCATTTTTGTTATATAACTTGTAAGTTAATGAGAGAAACTTATATATAGAACAACAATGAAAAGAGGAACATATTGCACAGTTTGAGGGATTTAATACAGTATGTTAAGCCTTAATCTTAGCCATATATATTTAGAGGGAGACATTACATAAAAAGAAAGAGCATTTAAAGGAGAAATCTTAGAATTTAATTTCTAACCATATTATAAATAAATCAATAAATAATAGCTCTAAGTAAATATCAATACATTATAGCATCTATCATTATTGCGTTGGTCATTGTTTTCTTCTTACCAATAATTAAAATGGGAACTGCGACGTCGACGATGGCGGCGAAGTTTGCTTTCTTCCCACCAAATCCGCCGTCGTACACGGTGGTTACAGAGGAATCTACGGGGAAGATGAGGATATCGACGAACATGCAACATCACCTGAGAGATGAGGACATCGAAGTTGCGAAGATACGGACAAGAAGAGGGAATGAGATCGTGGCCATGTATGTGAAGAATCCAACCGCTAAACTCACCGTTTTGTTTTCTCACGGCAACGCCGCCGATCTTGCTCACATTTTCTACATCTTCGCCGAACTAATCCAACTCAATGTCAATCTCATGGGGTTAGTTTTTATATCTGCATGACATAATTGTATACAAAATTTTCACTTGTTTTGATTCTATGTTTTTGTTTCCATACTGTTTTTTTTTTTTTTGCTTTTGAAAAAAGAGACAATATTCTAGTTAATCATAAAACAAAAAAAAAATGTGATGTTAGTACATTAGTCATTGCAAAATTTATGAGTATGTTTTCACATTATTAGGAATTTAGGATTCAGCATAGGATTCCAAATTATACTATATTCAATAAGTAGTAAGTTTTTTAATTGAAAAAAAAAATCATTTCGCCAAATTTAGTTGTTTTTTGTTTGTTTGTTGGTAATTTTTGTATGTGTTCTGTGATAATAATTGCAGATACGATTACTCAGGGTATGGACAATCTTCTGGTAAGGTAATTCATTTATTCCGATTATTTTTAAGAACAAAGAAACTTAGTTGAGTACGTTGTATCATACTATATATGTATTTCCAAGGAGGCAAAAAAAAACACATGATTGTTAAATATATGATTTTGTATTCGTAATCTTGAAAGCCAAGCGAGCAAGAGACGTACGCAGACATAGAAGCAGCTTATAATTGGCTAAGAGAGACGTATGGTACAAAAGATGAACGTATCATTTTGTACGGACAATCCGTCGGAAGTGGACCGTCGCTTGAGCTTGCTTCTCGTCTTCCATGTCTCCGAGCACTTGTTCTTCATAGTCCTTTTCTGTCCGGTCTTCGCGTCATGTACCCTTTCAGACATTCATTCTCATTCGACATTTACAAGGTTTGATCGTTCTTATATATTTTCCTTTATGACCTAATATATATTTGAGTCTCTATTAGTGTAAGTTAAATATTCCATGGTGTGTAAAAAAAAAAATATAAGATATATTTGACTTTTACATATATACAGCCCAAAATAAGGATAATTTCATTGTTTTGGTGAAACTGATAAAAATTTCGTTATTGCAGAATATTGACAAAATTCATCTCGTGGATTGTCCTGTTCTTGTGATTCATGTAAGTCTATTTTAACATCACATTAAAGATATAGTCCTTGTCATTTATATAATTAATAACAACTTTGTATAATTCTCCTTGCGTGCAATGCAGGGAACAGATGACGATGTGGTGAATATTTCACATGGAAAGCAATTATGGGAACAGTGCAAAGAAAAATACGAACCCTTATGGGTTAAAGGAGGAGGCCATTGTGATCTTGAGACCTCCCCTGAGTACTTACCTCACTTAAGAAAATTCATCTCAGCCATTGAGAAGCTTCCAATTCCAAATTTTCAGCGCCAATCACTGGCTGATGACCACAAGAAAGAGAAATCAACGAAGAATAGTATTTGGATTGGATCTAGGCATAGCACGGAATGTGTTACTACTGCTAGAGACAGATCAAGAAAGATTAGTACACATCATCGGTTTAGTAAGGCCAGAAACAGCGTGGATAGCTCAGATCGGGCTAGGAATAGCTTCGACAGGTTAGTACTTAAGCCGTTAATGATAGAATGATGCCAATTATTAAATTTATTTTTTGTTGTTTGAAGTCAATTTGTATCATGTTATACAGGAGATCTTACTATATAAATCTTTGGTTGTAGGTTGGGTGAAATAGTGAGATCAGTTCGGTTGTGTAATGTTGGTTGTGTGAAGAATGCAGTTGCATAGGTTTAATGATTGTTGTCACAGTTTTTTTTCCTTCTAATTCGTTCGTTAGACTCTTTGGAAAAGAGAAACATCTATTGTATGAACATATCAAATTTTTTTTCTTCATTTTTTAGTTATCCAATAAAATTGTTAATCGCATCCTTAAAATCTAAATTTGATTATGCCTCAGCGCCACGTCATTAAAGCCACATCGGCGCCATGTCACAACTGGTAAGTTGATTGACTAAGCTCTGTTAAAGAAGTGTGTGTGCAGCGGAGACAGCAACACAAGCGAGACACAAGTTTCCAAAATCCAAGTCTACGCCACTCTCAGGAGATCTTCTGTTGCAAGCTATACTCGTTCTATATAAAAAATCCCTATAACCTCACAATACACTAAAATCAGAAAAAGAAGAAACAAGATGGCTTCTTCTCATCAAATGTACAAGCTAATGGCCATTGCAATTCTCTTAATCTCCTTCACATTAACTACTCTCGCTGAGAATGCTGAGCTCTCAAGCGTTACACAATGCAAATCCGGACCACAAGCATCGCTTTGCCACAACAACAAAGAATCGAAGAAACTCAAAATCATAGCAATTTTTTCGATCTTAGTGGCAAGTATAATTGGTGTTTCTTTACCCTTGTTTACCCAAGGGGTTCCGGCGTTAGGACCAGACCGAGATCTTTTCGTAATCGTCAAGGCATTGGCCTCTGGAGTGATCTTAGCCACAGGTTATATGCATGTATTACCTGACTCTTTTAACAATCTCAATTCCCCTTGCTTGCCAAGAAATCCATGGAAGAAGTTTCCATTCACAACTTTTATCGCTATGCTCTCTGCTTTGATGACGTTGATGGTGGATTCTTATGCCATGAGTTGGCATAAGAAGAGAATATTTCTTAAGTCCCAAGAAAATGTCGTTGAAACCCTAGAGAATGGATCAAAAGAATTGGAGAGAGAAAACGGAACTATAGTTGAGGAGGACGCAAACACTCAGCTTATTAGGCATCAAGTCATTGCTCAGGTAGGCGAATATATATAATTATATATCGCTGATTTCATTTCTTGAGATTTGTTACATTACAATATTTACTAAAATCCTAAATTTGAAACTAATAAAATTGGTGTAGGTTTTGGAGCTAGGAATTGTAGTGCACTCTGTTGTAATCGGTCTTGCAATGGGAGCTTCAGATAACAAATGTACCATACGCTCTCTCATCGCTGCTCTTTGCTTTCATCAGTTATTTGAAGGCATGGGACTTGGCGGTTGCATTCTTCAGGTAGCTAAAATTGTACTCATCCATCACTTAGCGGATCAAGTGATTGTACTAGTATACTTCTCATTGTACCAACTCTTTATAATAAGATTTTGTTCTAATTATTATTTTTTTGGTTTTAAGGCACAATATGGAAAAAAAACAAACTGGATAATGGTGGTTTTTTTCTCGGTGACGACACCATTAGGGATCGTTCTAGGGATGTTGTTACAAACTGTATATAGCCCGGCGAGTCCAACGGCATTGATTGTGGTTGGTGTTTTAAACGCGTGTTCGGCCGGTTTATTGAACTACATGGCACTTGTTGATCTATTGGCTGCTGATTTTTTGGGACCAAAGTTGCAAGGAAATATGAAGCTTCAGACACTGGCTTATGTTGCTGTTTTTCTTGGTGCCGGAGGAATGTCTTTGATGGCCAAGTGGGCTTAGAACTTTGAGATGATTATTTTCTTAGGTTTTTAGGTTATTGTAGCAAATCACCCCTTAGAAACTGTCTCATCAACATTTGTTTGAGTGATCCAATAAAATTTTGTTTTATAATTTCCAATTAATTTTCCTTCTATCCAATAAGCTAGCTAATATAAAAAAAAAAAAAAAAAAGCTCATGTGTCATGCCAAGAATCACAAGGTTACGTAAAAATCTCAACTAACTCCAAATATGTGGAAAATTGGAACGAACATTATTTCCTTTTAATTAACTCGATTGTTTTGATGATATAATAGTTCATAAATTTGTTAATAATTAAGCCGGTTTGTTGCACAAAAAATAAATTAATTAAGTCGGTAATGTTTGATACGCGTATAATTTCATATTGCACTTGGTGTGATTATATTCTCTTTTTTGGCCTCTACGATAAATATTTTGAAACTGTCACAAAGAAGAAAATGAAACAAAACTGAACTTTGTGTTTTATTTTCTTTTACATTCTAGAAAAAGAGAACATTTAATAAGGAGAAGGATCGATGAGTTAATTAAGCGATTAGATGGTTAGTTTCTGTACTGAAACCATGGCATTTACACCTTCCGTTATCGCATCGACAATCAAGACAAGCCTCACACGCAATGTTCGATATATAGGAGCATCATGAGGGGGATCAAAATGGTCTAACTGGATAGTGATTCTTTTCGTATGTTCGGAAAATATAAATCGTTATATGTTTTGGTCAAAAAGAAATATCCATATATGGTAATTAGTAAACATAAACGAATATGCCAGATCTTTTGTTGACCAAAATATACTACTAGCAAGTACTATTAATTTGGGATTATTTTTCTAGTAAAATGATTATCGAGTTATTAACTTTATACTTGTCATGTTTTAGACTACCATGAATACCATGTACGTAATTAAATGTATTAAATTACTTGTCATGTGCTTAGATAAATAAAAACAATATACAGTATTAGCATCCGGATTCCGGATGGCCATGAATGTAAAGTTAGGAAAAACTTTATCTTTTTTTTTGTTTGAACAAAAGGAAAAACTTTATCTTTTTTTTTTGTTTGAACAAAAGGAAAAACTTTATCAATCTGTATTTATAAACTTTAATTAAACCGTAAAATAATGATTAAATCTGGAAGTTCCAGGCAAACGCTACGGTTATATGGTGCTACATGCAGGCACATAATTTTCATTCATTGTTAGTTTGTTTTTTGTTTTTATCACCAAACTACATATAAATCAGAATTTTATTTAATCAATTATATGTATTTTTTAATTATTCTTTTGGATTACTAGAAAAAAGAGAAATATTGAAAAGAAAATAGAAAAATTAATATTAAGCAGTTAATGGCGCAGCTTTGGGATGTCCAGCTTGTCCACCATAACCATGGCATCTACATAATCCTTTATCACATCGGCAATCAGTACAAGCTTCACAAGCAATGTTTGTGAAACAATCCGATTTCTTTTTGCATTTGAATGTGATTGTGATCGTTTTCTTAGGCTTAGCCTCCACCACCGAGTTTGAAACTGTCAGAAAAAAAAAGAAAAAATCAAAATCAAAATACGGTTCTTGATATGAAATAAAAAAAATAAAAAAGAACTTTAGTTTAAGAAAGAAAAAAAAAAAACTAAAAGTTACAAGAAGCGGTGAAGACAAGAGCGGCCAAAAACAATGCAACGGTTACTACACGAAGATTGTTCATATTTTCTCCTAGCTCTGACCCGATTTCGTTTGTAACTTATTAGTTTAGTTTGTGATGGAATGATGGAAGACCATGGTTTTATGTGTATATTATTTATAGAGCATGAAGGGGTCTAGAAAGTTACTTCGTTGCCTAAAATGTTTTACTTTTTTGTCAATGTTTTTAATGAATAACCAATCCCTATGTCACAATATATGGTATGCTTGTAATTGTCTAATTAAATCAACATAATTGTTAAATAAAGTGTCCTTTAGAATCTATGGCTTTTAAAGGAATTAAATTTATCACAAAAATAATAAAGTGTGATAGAATAATGTAGGTTACGTTACGTGGTTAGAAAAGTCTATGGCGTTAAAAAAAAAAAAATAGAAAAACCATATTGTATTATATGTAATTTTGTTATTCAAAACATGAAAATTTTAATTTAGAGCAAAAAAAATAATAAAAATTACTACAGATGTTGTAGAAAATAAAAAGTGTAAATGAAGAGTTATTATTATTATTATTATTATTTGTTATTGGTCAAAGGAGAAATTATTAATTTTTAATTCATAAATTTAAGATAAAGGAAACAAAATCTCACAGCTCCTAAAAACACTTTTTTTTGTTGTTGCAAGAATTTAGAATTCTAAGATTTACAGAAAATGTAAAGATTATTTTTATTGGCTTTGAGATTTTTTTGGAAAACTAAAGCGTGACTGGTTTAACTTTGGGGTAGTCTTTTCTTTTATTTTTTTTTGGCTGTAACAAGTCTTTTTTAACTTTGGGGTAATCATCTTTATAAGTTAAAGTTTAAGTCTTTAATATTTTCAGCCATAGTATATGCTATCTAAACTCTAAATTAACTACTGATGAGTTGTTTCTAGTTTTATGTAATGGGATGAACCAGCCAGCCACAACATCACCAAGCAAAATCCTTTTGCTAGTCTCGGCCACAAAATGTGTCATTTAATATAAAACTGTTGACATAAACTCTTCATTACTAATTTTCGAAATTGAAAACATTGCCAGTTATTTTATTAATTTTTTCAATACAAAAAATGATTACAAGGGAGAAAGAGGAGTTCAAGATGTAAAAGGATCATTAGCTCGAGGGTGTAAAGGCAGTAGTGCCAAGGCATTTACAGTTTCCATGATGGCATTTGCAATCGTAATACGAACAATGCCTACATGCAATGTGGTTTAAACAGCCCCGGTCCAATTTGCATTTGTATTCTCCGAATTTAAATATGGTGTCCATTTTGGGTTCCTCCAAAGAATTCGTAACTGCCACATGAAAATAAAAATAAAACCAAAACGATGTTTTAGTTAAAGCGAACACGAACCGATGAACAAATGTATAGTATTAAATGTATATATAATGAAGCTAAATACCAATCGCGTTGAAGACAAAAAAAAGCCAAGAACGCAACGATGGTAACGCGAAGATTGTTCATCTTTCTCTCTGAGTTTTGAAAATGATTTAGTCTAATGAATGATTTGTTGATTTGTGAATAGTTATCATGAGCTCTAGATATATATACGTTAAAGTAATATGTTATATATATACGTGAAAGTAATATGTTGTGAAAAAAAGAAGTAATATGTTGTTTATTTTCTGTTTTAATGATTTTATTATATATCATTAAAAACCTACCATAAGATTTAATTTGACTAGATTTACCAAATCAATGTGTGTGTTTTTTTGTTCCAATTCATTTAAACTCGCATAATATAGTCAAACTTCTTTAATTTGTTGCCGTTTTCATGCTTCAAACACATACATTTTACGCTTTTATATATTTGTTTTATAAATGTAACCAACCTAATTTAATGCGAAATAATCATTTTGTATATTTGTAAAAACCATGTAATTAATTAGCTTGATATTTCTTCTTTAACTATGAATGAAGGGATCAGAGTATAAGGGAAGATCGGCTTTCTATACGCGTCCACCGAAGCTGCATTACTAATCACTTAATCAGCATAAATAGCACGAACATGTAGCGAAATCACATGCTCGATTGTATATACAGACTTTGTATTTGCACTTTGGCGGACATATTTTGTTACAAAAAGAGTTTTTGTGGCAACGCACACACTGTTTGATGTGAGGGCTAGGGGCAATCACTCTGGTAGTAAGAACGTGAAGATCATCGCCACAGTTGCAGTTAGGATCCGTAGAAGGACAAAAGCATGGTTCATGCAAGTCTCTTACGATCGCATCAGATACCGATGATAAATCTGCATCCCAAAAGATTAGAAAAAAATAGCAAACGTTGTTAGAAGGGTAAAATGGATATTATACATTCAAAGCTATGCATGGTATGTGTGTGTGTGTGTGTAATGTATTCTTACAAGATGCAATAATAAGAGCAAATACAAAGTGAAAGAAAAGTCTCGCCATAGATTTTTTAAGTCCTCGCAATGAGAAACTTTGTTAGTTTGATTGATGGAGAGTACTGCAAAAACTTTTACTATTTGTAGCCAACTTCAGAACTTTTCAAAACTAGTTTTGGTAAGAACATTAAGTAATTTCCTTTTACTAATTTCGTTTCCAATACGGTGAGATTTGGAAATAAAATGTTGCCTTTATTACTTGTTAGTATATAAGAGCCCGGAGTCAAAGTAGGAATCATATAATATTTGACATTTATTATTTGATTAATAATATATTGACCAAAGTACTTAGATCGATCAACAAAGGGTACAATTTACATGGTCGTAATTTGACTTTGCATGATTGGTCACATACTTTCTCACAATCAGAGTCTTTGTTGCAATGGCTAAACTGCGTAACAGTATATTGATGACCAATCCTTGAATCATATATTAAGGACTTGATCACGCTTGCAATTGCAGTCTTGAATTTGAGACTTGGAGGAAACACATTGTTCTTTGTGTTCTTTCTTCATCTCTCTCGCATCAGATATTGAGGATAAATCTACATTCCAAAATTTTACAATTAATTGTTAACAAAAAAGAAAAAAAAAATATTTCAACTTTAAAGCTATGATATATCGAATTGTGAGTATTCTTAAGAAAATGCAACAACAATAGTGAATACAAAGAAAAATGTATGTTTCCCCATAGAGATAATCAATATTAGCTGTCTTCAATGTGAATAAGAATATATTTGCTCTGAATAACTCTCGTTCAAGTATATATATAGGAAACTAGAGCATTTAAATTTTAATGAATATCTAGCTATAAAACTATTTGTTTATCTTTTTAATAAGTACATATATACATATATATATATGTATATATAATTGTTTTTTTGTGGTGGATATGAGTTCTTACCAGCCTTAAAGGGAAATTTAAAACAACCTAAAGGATCAGCCACATATCACATTGATTAAATAAGGAGAGACATCATCTACAATTAGATCGCATAAGTAAAGAACAATATAAAGGACTTTTAACCCACAAAAAGTTCATTTTCTGCCGGAAAAGGAACATTATAAAGTTATATTTATTAAAAATATATAAATAAATCAAGATATGTTCGTACATACCTCTGTAAACAGCAGAATATGAATGGATATGTATGCCTTGATCTAAAAATAGAGAGGCATGATTTGACCTAAGCATAATGTTATCAAGAAAATGATTCGAGCTCTTACCGTGGTGATTGGTGAAGTTGGCTTGCCTCGTAAAGGGAATAACATAACATAACATATTTAGAAGTATATTTTTTATTGTTCGATCATACTTTGTATCAACTCTTTCTTTTCTTTTTTTCGAATTTGTTTTACATATCTAGGCATATAGGTCCATGAACTCCTATTACAAAGAGACACACTAAGGATTTAAGACCTTAGAAATAGTGGTATGATAATTAAAGGGTTTAGGATCTAATCCACTTCCCCCCAAATTGCTATCATTTGGAACTTTTATTTTAAAACTATAAAGCATTACACAATACATATAAAAATGATGATTATTTTTATATTAAATAAATCTTCTAATTGAGAGAATGGAGTTTCCAACGTTTTGATGTTGACATCTGCTGACGCCAGTTCGCAGCAGTTAGGTTCAAAGGTGCCAATGATTTATTTACACTAATTAAATAAACACAAATCCTTGTCCCGATTTGTTTTCTCCTCCAAGATCACTCATCTTCTTAAATATATATTTTACATTTTCTTGTCGCTTACCAATTGGTTTCTTCGTGCGTGGGGTTCATCAGAGATAAATTATGTGGCTCTCCTTCGTTGAAATTGTTTTTTTAGTTTTTCACCTACCTTTTTTCAGAACTGTTTGAATAAAATATTTTAAATTTGTGGTTTGATATGTAATGGTTTGGAGCTTTGGATAATCTGCCTCTTCAAGTCAAATTCCATCACTCTAATATACTGCCTCTTCTCGCTAAACTAAACACCCACTCCAATTATACAATCTTAAATTAAGTACAAAACCAATGTGACAATGAGCTATTTAATAACAAAAAATAAAATAAAAATCTAGTAAGTAGACTGAGGATGAGTTTTAGCTATATGTTTGTGTAGCTAAAAAATATATATTTCTTTGAGAATGATGTATGTGTTTTTATTTATTTACTCACTGGTAAGAATTCAATGTTTTTAGTAAATTTTGTTATCAATTGGTAGTATTCTTTTATAACAAAAAAAAAGAAAAAAAAAACAACTAATATCTAATGAAGACTGAAGAGTTTCTTTCAACACTATAATTATCTAATTGAGATTATAATTAAAGAAAAGGTCAAATTAGATTTATATATCTTGAAAAGGTAAAAGGCCCAAGTCCTTCATATTATATAAAAATACGGATGGATAGAGACACGTTACGGTATAATCGCACGTCTTCTGGTTTACAATATGAGACAAAGGCATCTTAAATACTAGGTTTAGGTAACACACCTGACTTGACCGTGACCTATTATTTCATCTTTAATTAATTAAACTCCCTAGTAATATGTTAAAATGTCACATAGAAATATTTAATTAATTTGCTACGGCGGACACGTGTCGACAAAAACACAGAAAGAACTGGCGAAGTGTTTTACGTAATTTAAAAAGATAGGTTAAGCCGTTTAGCCCCCGTATAAATTAAATCAATTGAGCAATTGGTTAAATTAATTAGTGGCTGAAGTTTTAGTGGATCACTACTTAATTTTGATTGCCTAACCAAGAAGATTAGAAGTTAATCATCAACTAGATGAGGTGCCGTACGCAAAGGGGTTTTTTTTAGCTTATAAAACTTTAACGTTGTAGTTAAACGTTTGTATTATATATAAATATTTATTTATCTATTCGTTTGCTCTGAAAGTGTGTCTTGATACCAACAACGTCCTTCGTAAAAAAAAATTATAACAACGTCATAAATATTCTATTAGTGATTTCATTATAATCGTGGTATAATTGTGTAAATTGCAATATACATACGAGACTGTGTCTAAAATTTATGATTACTAGTTAAAACTATGACGAAGAAGACCAAGAAATATTAAGAAGAGAAAAAAGGTATGACTACTTGATTGATTAGGTGTGGCCAGATCGAAACAGTTGATTTGATATCAAATCTTTTTCCAAACAGAGAAAAACATAGTGATCTTTAGCGATTACTTTTTTTTTTTAGGGTTAGTGACATCTTCTAGAGTGATATTTGAGGCATACAACGAAGATGGGTCTAGATCAACACAGAACACAAGTTGTTTTTAGCATGGAGGAAAAAAAAAACAGGCTTATCCTCTTTAGTCCAATCAAAATATTTATAGGGAAACTTTATGTAAAAATGGGAGATGCTTTGTAGTGAAGTGGGGGAAGTGGAGACAGTCGTCATAATGTTATTTGCAAATTGGTACTCTTCAATAATCTACAATTGTACCATAGGCTCATAGGCTCTTCTCAATGTCTCTCTAATAAATGGTTATAGTTGAAACTTGAAAGTTACTAAAACAAACATGAAACTTTGTTTTCCATTAATTTTTTCATATAAAATTAGAGAAAATTATCCGGTGACGCGTGCTCAACACAGTCCCTACTTGTGTTGTCCTATCACATATAAACTTTATTTTTTTATCCCGTAATTTCGACGGGACTTTTTTTTGTTTTTTATTTTCTATATTATGCTACGAACAAATCTTTAAATGAACATATGGTCAATGAAAAATGAAAGTATGCATCTTACCAAAAAAAAATTGAAAGTATGCAACCTAAACAAAATTTTGTGAACTTAAATATATACGTTTATATTATAACGCTTAAATTTTCTATATGTGAAATTTATGATATATATAATGGACTGCAATATCAAAAAAAATCAACAACAACATATATATGATATCCACAAAATGACTAAACACTGAATTTTTACAGCGGTAAAAGTAAAAAACTCAGGTTGTAAATTTGTAGTCGACATGACACCAACAATTTTACCGCTGAATTCGCCAATAATGAAAGGAACACAATATCGTCGGCTAGGGTCAAATTAAAGTAGGCTGAAGTCTTTTAAAGTCAATGGAAAGTATTGCACCAATTTGTGTCTTCTTTTTTAATAAGAACTCAATTGTGGTATAGACTATGAAAGCATGTAAGCATGTTAGAAGTAAAATGTTTAAGTTGTGTCTCGGTGAATTGGTGCGCCGGCCATGAGGCGTCACTACAAAATGTTTGGACCCACTCGTAACAATTTCATTGTCTGATTTATCAAATCACATCTTATCTGTGTTCCCATTTGTCTCTTTTTTGCCAAATTTTGTTCGGACAATGAACTAACGTAATAGATCAAACATGTTTTGGAATCTATACTAACACTCAGAACACACAGGATGCGATTAGTATGGAATGGATTACATAACTTCGTTAAAATCGTTTATGAATATTAGAATAATGTACGTGTGATTGGAGTCTAATGTTGATGGACGAAGCTGTGCTGTTAAATGCTGAATGGTGAGTTTGGCTGTCAGCACTGTTGGAGTGGAAGCTGGATAAAAATACATAAACTAGTTTCACTGTTGATTTTTTCTGAAATTAGGGTTTTATTTGATTATGGTATTGCTACTATTGAACCGTTGTTTTTGAGTTTTTTTTTTTTTTTATCTACAATAATTATCCCATCTGACCGGACTAACGCGATGACTCTACGAACTTTGCTAACTCGTTTTTCGATCAGAATTAGAAAACATTGTAATATAGAAATGCATGAAAGTAATTTGATTTCCTTAGTTTCTTAAAAGATTTATATGATAATTATTAATATACTTTATTTATTTGATGGACATATCTATAGAGCGAGGGAGAGATGGATCTAGGGGTCTCTCTTGTCTTCTACTTGTTGTAAAACTTATCCTATCGTTGATTTAAAAACGAAAAAACGAAAGCATGTATTAGTTAAGTCCAATAGTGGGAAAAAACCAAATTAATTTTAAATTAACTTGATTAATGATTACTAGATAATTTAGGAAACATATATGCATTGAAAAAGTATGGAGTAGTTGTGGTCTTGTAGATTAGAGCTACATAACTCAAGTAACATATACTTCATTCAGTCAAGTCTATCATGATAACACAAACACAAAATCATATCTAATTATACTACTATTAATCATGAATGGGAGAAAAAAGTTATTGACCTTTCTAAGTTATAAGAAATTTTCAATATTGATGTTTTTTAACTACTGCATATATTACATGTTGATAGATACAAATTCTTAAAATTAATCTACATCTCGGTTTAATCTCCAATCATAAAAATAAAGACTTCTTGAAACAGGGTCGTAAGTGGAAACCCCACCATTTTTCTTTTTGTTTCTTAAATTTTTCACAAACAATGGTAAAAGTGATTGTAAAGTGTTTGTACTCGGTTTCGTAAAATAGGTACGTAAGAACTATACAACAATTACGGCAATACAATAGTATTGTCTTGTATCATGAATACATTTATTTGTTGGCTATGATCACCATTACTAAACAATTTCTCAAGGACTATGATTGCTATACACTAGCTTCCACAGTAATTTATCTAATACACGAAGAATATTTATGGTTGGTGATATGACATAAGACAATCATAGCTATAATTAGTAAGAATCTCTGTTTTGGGGAAAAATGAGTAAGAGCCTATATTTATCTAAACCCTAATATCTATCACACCAAAAAAAAAAAAAGTGCTTGTAATTTTGATTCTCTAGAGAAAAAATGAAGTCAGTAAATTTTCTTTTGCTAGAAACCCATATGCAACAAAATAAAATATAAATTGGCTGAATTTTAGAGACATCGTCTCACAATACCATCAAACCCACCCAAAAAACAAAAGTTAGTCCACCTAAACACAATTAACTTTGTTATTCTACAAAACAATCTCTAAAGAAACAATACGTTTGTCGTATATAACTATATATAATCAAATTGCTTTTTTTTTTATAACACCATATTAATTAATTATATTTCTTTCTAGGGTATTTACAAATCATGGTACTACAGCTTCCTTTTAAAATTAACTAATCTTTCTGTATCTAATATATATATTTATTATAATATGATTTATATTCAACACTATTTTCTACATAACTCTTCCTCCGGCCACGTCTATAAAACCCTTGGCTCTTCTCTTCCTCTCACTTCAAAACCACTTCACACAACACACAAATCTACCACTCTCTCTATCTCTCTAAAAAACCACACAAAGGATCTTACAACAACGCAAGGCAAATCTCGAAACAAATCAAAGCAAAGATCATGAATACAATTCCGGCGGAACTCACCGGATACTTCCATTATCTACCACCGGATAAATATAATAACCAAACACCAGTCATGGAGTCTGAGTACTTCAACATGCCCTCTTCTCCTACCTCTTCTTCCTCCTTCTACCACCTCAACGGTCTGATCAACAACAACAACAACTACTCGTCATCATCCAACGGTCAAGATCTAATGGCCAGCAACAACTCAACATCGGACGAAGATCACCAACAAAGCATGATCATCGATGAGAGGAAACAAAGAAGAATGATCTCTAACAGAGAATCCGCTCGTAGGTCAAGGATGAGAAAGCAGAGACATCTCGATGAGCTTTGGTCTCAAGTGATAAGACTTCGTACTGATAACCACTGTCTTATCGATAAGCTGAACCGCGTATCTGAAAGCCATGAGCTTGCCTTAAAAGAGAACGCTAAGCTTAAAGAAGAAACTTCTGATCTCAGACAGCTTATCTCTGAGATTAAGTCAAACAACGAAGAAGACAACAGTTTTCTAAGAGAGCTCGAAGATTCTATATCGAACTCTAGATCAGATTCGAGCCAAAGAGGCAGAGATTTTGAGTTGTGTTAATGATCTTGATCATTGTTCTGCTTTTCTCAAGAATGTAGATTTCATAAGGATCATATTGTGTTATATGATATAATAATATTATTAATATTATTCTCTATCGCAGAAACAAAAATCTTCTTCTATATCTTTTTCTTTTAGCCAACTTGAGTTAGTTAAGAATAATATTAATGATCATGCGCATACGATACAATACATATTATATTATTCTCAAATTTAAAACCCTTTTCAAATGATAAGCATCCACAAATATTCTATATAATTTCCTCAAAAACATTCAAAACTTACAATATCATTGTGTTAATTACAAATTTTAGGTTAACGATGTGAATTTTAATTCCACTGGGACGATAGGTTCCCCTGATGACATATATATATATATGTTTAATATTTTTAAAGTATTACTTATGTTTGGTCGACACGAAATCTCGATCAGTTGAATGTAACTTTCAAGAAAACTAAAGAAATATTTCTGTTATTTTATAGTTTGTCCGTACTTCTACTTTTATATGATATTGTAAGAATTAAAGTGTACACGTACGCCTTGGTTACCAATAAATTCGTCTGTACCAATATTTTGATAATACGATTATCAAATATACCAAATGTGCTTAATTAACAATTCTTCAAATTTTTTAACTTGAACCTACAAAAAAAAAAAAAAACCCTACTCACAAAAATTTCAGTTCGCCGCATAAATAGACTTACATCATTAAGGACAAAACATTCATGGCAAACAACGATATAAGATGAAGTTTGATTTGCTAAAAATGGTGGACCTTCTTCTTTTTAATTTTAATCAACGGTTTAATCATTACCATCTTTTTCTTATTTTCTTGTACTTTTTTTTTAATAAATTTTTTAGCCATTTACGCATCACCAATTCGAGTTTGACAAAGCCACCTAGAAATTGTTTTTTTTTTTCCCTCAAAATTTTCACCTGACGAATTAATGTTCTTCTGAACCCAAAACACATCAAATCAAAAGAGAGAGAGGGTCAATGTGTACATCATAAAACACTAAACACTACTGAAAAAATTTATATAAAATTATCTTCGACGTAGTTTTATACGTACTTTCTTTTTTTGGGTAAAGTGCTTGGTTTTATACGTACGTTCTTTTGCTTTCATAAACGTTGAAGATAGATTATTCTATGGCTACGCACTGTTATCTTTTTTAAAGTTGATTATTATTCTAACTTTGGAAGTATATTTGGATCGATATAATTGGCCGAATAAAAGAAAGTTCAGTTTTTGCGGGTTCGTTTATATCTGATGTATCATATATATATATATATAACGCAACATATTGCCAAGAAAATGCATATTATTTGTTGAATCAGCAATCTTGGTTTTTTTGTTGTTGTCAATGTTTGAATATAAGACTATAAATCTTGGTGGATGGTATTGGTAGTTGAATGAATTTAGACAAAGGGAGGTGGAGGCTCCTGGTGATAGTGCCTCTGCAAAAATAAAAAGTTCAAAACAAAATATATATATTCCAAATTTAAAATGAAAAGAATATTATAAAAAATATACAGAAAAACAATTTTTTTTTTTACATATGTGTAATCCTTTTTCCATATTAATAGTTTGTTACATATGTAATGATATCACTCAGCCTTTATATTGCCAGACTACCTTCTTTTATATTCTATCCATTTAACCTTCTGCATGTTTTATTACAGGATGGCTATAAGCTTTTATTTAGGCCTATAACAATAAAAAAAAAGCCCAAATTTTTTTGTTTTGTTTTCTAGTCCGAACAGCTAAAGTTTCTTGGTCATCTAGCCCAGTTAAACTTTGACCAACCTCGGAGAAACTAATGGAAGACTAGAATGAAAGAATAAAGAACATGAAGTCATGAAAACACATGGTCAAGGAGACCTTTGCTTACGTTTATAGTTTGTTAAATAAAAGACAAATAGTAATAGTTTTTGTTTCAAGGAGATTGGTTTAAGTCTTGTGTATAGATGTAATCGGTGTGAACAGCTACCGCTTTCTTCACAAGACATTCTTCTTCACTGTCTGAATCCTTGCACTCTATTACTCTATCTCCATCACCTTTACTGTTTCTTGATTCCTCCTAGATCCACCAAAAAAAAAAAACTAGAGAGATGCTGAAAGTAATAACTGAATACGTACATACAATAGTTCACAACTTAACATCATTCCAGCCCAAAACTATACAATTTTTCTCTTCCTTTTCGTTGTGAAACTAAACGTAATCTCTATCTCTTCACTAATCAGAATTGTATTCAAGGGAAGATAGATATTTGATTACTTTGATAGTTGACAGTCTCAGTTACATGAGAGTATACCATATAGTATCAAAACCCTTTAATTAACCCCATAGAGAAAAAGAGAAGAACAGATGATTGTATTCACGAACTTACATGTGCGGAGGGAGATGGTTTGGGAGGAGAAACACCATCTTCTCTTGAGATAACACGTGAAGCCATGCTTAGAAGCAATACTAGAGTGAATAAGAAGATCACCACTTCACTTTTCTTCTTCATCATTTCTTATCTTCTTTCTTCTTCTCTCTAATTAAGAGTTGAATAAAGTGTTCTTTTATACCCCATACATATTTTTTGTTTTGTTAAAAGGCCTTCTTATACTCCATACAGATAGCTTATTATGTATTGTACCCTATATACAGAGATATTTGACTTTAGTATATAACAGTTACTATAATATAGTAATAAAGATGCGGCTGGATAGATCATAAATGCTGTATAGAGAAATGGGCGTTTCATCATCATGAAGAAGGAGGAAAGATCGATGAAGCACAAAGAGAGAGAGAGAGGGAAGTCAAACTTTGGCATCTTGGTGTCAACGCTTTCATTTCTCCTTGGGAATGTCACCTCTTCTTCTTTCGATGTGACTTTCAATATATCGAAACATCATGCAACTTTTTTTTATACTATAGTTTAATATAGTTGTTTTGTACTATGTTTTTATATATCTTTCTTTTTCTTGTCTGATCGATTTTTTTTTTCTTTTTCTTGTCTTTTCTATTCTAATTTCAAGTTTTAAATTGTTTTCCAATGGTATGATATGATAATATAGTGTAACAAAAAAAACACTCGAACCTGCATTGTGACGATATGGCCACCAAAAACAAGGTTTTAAAGTAAAGTAGTATAATCACCGACTGAGTTAGGAGCATGTGTGGACAAAAAAGCTTTTAACGAGTGTGAAACACAATAATGAGCCGAATTAATTGAGATTCTCATACTACTATTCTTTTTTGAACGGGTGAAATTCTCATACTATATTCTAATCATCATCATCATCCTTAGTTATTTTCATTTTTTTTCATTATTCATAGATGATGATACCCAAACAAATATAGTTATATATATAAATATAGATATATCTAATTATGTTTGTAGTCAACATATTATTATATCAATCTCAGAAAAATAAACCAAAAACGAATCATTATTTTCACAAGGTGATTCCATGCAATAATGATCAATTGATTCAATTCTACTTTCAATTAACATAATTAGTATATCATCAATCTAGAAAAGAAAATAATAAACTTCATTATTGGCCAGCTAAAAAGAAACGAATTATTACATTACCAAAACTTTTTAAATATTTATTAACGCGTTGACAAATCAAAAAGTTGACAGTAGAGAAGACTCTAAACGTATCAGAAGGTTCAAGGAAGAAAGATTCATCTTTGAAAAAAAAACAGACTAGCACAAACTTTTCCTACTTGAGCAAAATTTGATTTACATAAGTTGGTAAGAATCAATCAATTTGGTAGAGGAGTTGGCGTAGTAGTAGTACTTGGAGTAGCATTACAACTCCCACCTGAATCAGAAATATAAAGGAGATCCCTTTTTCTCCGGAAGAAGTTTTCTGATTGATGTATCTCGACAAAATCGGGTTAAAGAGAGGAACTTTCGGAGATGGGTTTGTTCGAATCGGTGAAATCAATCAACTGGGAGCTCGAATCATCTCCGGTTTACCAGGATTTTCGTGTTCTTCCTCTTTTCGCTGTCTTCTTCCCTACGATTCGATTTCTCCTCGATAGATTCGTCTTCGAGGTAATAGTTAGATATCTTCTTTTACACTTGAGATCCGAGGCACTAATGAAGGTTTTGTGATAGTGTCTCTCTTTAAGATTGTTTTGTGATATCTCTCTTTTAGTTAGTGTCTTAAAAATGATTGCTTTGTTTCTGTAAGGCTTTTATGTGATTGTTGCTTCAGCTAAAAGTTTATAAAATAGCTTTACTAAGAAGAATGATTGTATCTGAAAGTGAAAGTGTATCTCTTTTTCGACTTTTGACAAATGTTCAGTGTATGTGAGGATGAATGTAGGTGTGTTAGTGATGTTGCTGACACTTGATTGTGTTGTATCCTCTCTTTTGTTCTGCATCATTCATGTGTGCCTTTTGGTTACTTTCAAGTAGTGATTTTTAGAAAGTTCCTTTTTTTTTTTGTGTGTGTGGGTTTCCTTTTTAACTTGAACTTTTGATGAATTGGTATTTGTAGAAATTGGCAAACCATTTGATCTATGGAAAACATAGGCAAGATATGGGAGATGACACAACCGAGAGAAAGAAGAAGATCAGAAAATTCAAAGAATCGGCATGGAAGTGTGTTTACTATCTATCAGCTGAGATTCTTGCTCTATCTGTGACTTACAATGAGCCTTGGTTTATGAACACTAAATACTTTTGGGTAGGTCCTGGAGATCAGACTTGGCCTGATCAACAAACGAAGTAAGAATGGTTCCCAAGGCCTTACTTTTTTATACCACAACTCTCTTTTTTGTGATTGCGTTTGGACATGATTGATATCTATTCTCATGCAGGTTAAAATTGAAGTTTTTGTATATGTTTGTGGCTGGTTTCTATACATATTCCATCTTTGCTCTGATTTTCTGGGAAACGAGGCGTTCTGATTTTGGAGTTTCAATGGGTCATCATATCGCCACTCTCATTCTTATTGTCCTCTCATACGTATGTAGGTATGCTTCCACTGTCACATCACTATGCGGAGAAACTAGATATAATTTCCTTTGGTCCACATTGTTTTGATCTTTCTTGTTTTGTATAGTTTCTCCCGTGTTGGTTCTGTTGTTCTGGCACTTCACGACGCTAGTGATGTGTTTCTTGAAGTGGGGAAAATGTCTAAATATAGTGGAGCAGAAAGCATTGCCAGCTTTTCATTCATTCTTTTTGTTTTGTCTTGGATCATTCTCCGCCTCATTTACTATCCCTTTTGGATCCTATGGAGCACAAGGTTTGTATATCTTGATATCCTTTTCATAGTTTTCCTCGAATTATATGTCCCCTTATGTATGTATTACATCTTTTTTTCAGCTATGAAGTAGTTTTGGAGCTTGATAAGGACAAGCACCCGATCGAAGGACCAATTTACTACTACATGTTCAACACTCTCCTTTATTGCTTGCTTGTTCTTCACATATATTGGTGGGTTTTGATGTATCGGATGCTTGTGAAACAAATACAAGATAGAGGCAAGCTTAGTGAAGATGTCAGATCTGGTAAGAATTGGATTACAGTAATAATACGGGTTTCTTTCGCGCCATCCAAATGAAGAATAAACCCTCAAAGTTGTATTTTCCTTACAGATTCTGAAGGCGAAGAAGAACACGAAGACTGATTTGATCACAAAGGTAGAAACTGGTTAATATGAAAAGTAAAAGCACGACGTTATCTCTTAACATGTTCAGATTCTTTTGTTCTGTTTCTGTGATTCTGATCACTAATGGAGGATAAGAGAGTACATAGACCGAGCAAGAGTCTCCAATCTCCAACATTGAACCAACTCATGGAACAGAATGGATTTAGGATCTCTCATTCTTAAAGATTTGGAAATCGGTTCGATGCGACCCTAATATTGTAGTTGTATTTACTTGTATGTATCCTGAACAAATTCCAAATCTTCCTTGATTGTATTTGTATTCATTTCTCGTTTTGTATCACTCACCGTTCATAATAGAATATCAAATTGATTCATGTTTCTTACAATGTTATCATTGGCTTCATGGCCCATTGCCATTTTTTATCTTCAACCTGAGTTTGTTCGCTAAGTATGGGATACTAAAATACTATATAATTATGTTATCGTCTAGGACAAAATAAATACATACATAAAATACTATATAATTATGTAATGTAACGCGCGGTCTTTGAGGCGAGATTAGAAAAATAACATATCGACCAAAACGGCAAACGCAACCTTTAATCGCGAAAGCAAGAAATGAAAATGTAGTAAAACGATGATGAGAGCAAAATCTGCGATCTTCTGCTAACTTGAACTCCACCGATCAAGTCAGTCACCCGCTCGACAAAACCAGATAAAGGAGACCCAAAAAGGTTGAGACTTTTTTCTCTTATTCTTTTTCTGGGTTATCAAAACTTGTAAATTTTGGTTTTGTTGCATTGCAAAATATCGCAATCTACAGTGTCCCTTTCATTGATCAAAGGTGGACTCTTTTTTTCCTATCTTATTGAGAAATGGTAAATTTTGAAAGATAGGTGATTAGGGTTTAGAGGTTTTGAAGGGTTTTTCTGGGGATTGGATTTGTTGAGGTTAATTTCTTCAATTTTCTGGGTTTGGAATCAAATGCAAGAACTTTTTTTGTTGTTCTGTTTTGCATGTAATGAGCATTGATGTGATTTTTTGTATGTGTTATCATGTTTTAGATGGGTGAATCACCAGATTTCATAAGCGATCTACCTCAAAGTATAATTGAGAATATCCTTACTCGTCTTTCTATTAGAGATGCGATAAGAACAAGTGTGTTGTCTAGCAAATGGAGATATAAATGGTCTACGGTCACTGATCTTGTCTTTGATGAGAAATGTGTTTCTCCTTCTAATGACCGTTGCGTTGTTGAGACCAATCTTGTCAGATTCGTAACTGGAGTGCTTCTCCTTCACCAAGGACCTATCCATAAGTTTCAGCTCTCTACTTCTTTCCTGCAATGCCGTCCGGATATTGATCAGTGGTTGCTTTTTCTTTCGAGGAATGGGATTAAGGAGCTTGTTCTTGAGTTAGGTGAAGGGGAATTCAGGGTTCCTTCGTGTCTCTTTAGCTGTTTGAAACTGACCCGTTTGGAGTTATGTCACTGCGAGTTCGATCCACCTCGGTATTTCAAAGGGTTTTCGTCTCTGAAGAGTTTGAACCTTCACCAAATCCTTGTTGCTCCTGAGGTGATTGAAAGTCTGATCTCGGGATGTCCGCTTCTGGAGTTCCTGTCTTTGTCTTACTTTGACAGTTTGGTTTTGAGTATATCAGCTCCGAATCTCATGTACTTGTATCTAGATGGTGAATTCAAAGACATTTTCCTTAGGAATACTCCCAAGCTAGTTGCAATATCTGTTTCAATGTACATGCATGAGGATGTTACTGATTTTGAGCAGAGTTCTGATTATAATCTCGTTAAGTTCCTTGGAGGTGTGCCCCTTCTTGAGAAGCTCGTTGGTTATATCTACTTTACAAAGGTAACTTCCCTTCATCTTAGTATTTTAAGACATTATCATTATCAAAAAATTTATGATTCTCCTTTCTTTGATTTCAGTACTTGAGCATAGGAGATGACCCGGGAAGGCTTCCAATTACTTACATTCATCTTAAGACTATAGAACTATACCAAGTAAGTTTTGAAGATGCTAACGAGGTACTAGTTCTTCTTCGTTTGGTGACTCACGCTCCCAACCTTAAAGAGCTCAAAATCTCGGTATGTTAATTCTCTTTCAGAGTTTCGTAATGTGGCCATAAATTGCTATTACCACCAATCCATCATCTTCTGTAATCTTTTCAGGCTTCACCCATCCAACTTTTTCCTCTTGAAGAAGAAGGTTTTGACCTTTTCGAAAGAGACTATTTCGACTACCAACTCCCAAGACTTGAAACTGTAAAGATGACGGATGTTTCTGGCATCAGAAATGAGTTGGAATTTATCAGATTCTTGCTGGGAACTTCTCCAGTTTTGGAGACAATCGTAGTATCATCGAGTTTAATAGACAAAGATGCGAAAATGGGTATGGTTGTCGAACTGCTCAGGTATCCGCGTGTTTCTCCTCGAGCCCAGTTCCTCTTCCTTCAAGATTGAATCAGACTCTCCTTCTCTCTCTCTTCCTATATGTTAATCATGTCAAACATGTTTTCGTGAGAATCTGTTGGCGAAAAATATATGATTGTGTGGATAAATGACAAAAACTGTTGGATCCACAAGAGTAACTTCAATGTAATTTGATCGAATATGGTAAATAAAGTTTGTAATAGTTTCGGAGACTTTGATATTACTTCTTTCTCATTTTTCATTTGCTCCAAAGATTACACAACTAACATTCAAGTTAGATGCGGGTTTAAAGGCGATAAACATCAACAACAACATTACATTGTCTGATACTCTGATCAATTTTTTGTATTATTATTTTGTTGTTGTCGGCTTTAGAAAGATATTTTTATTTGTAAATACTGAAATTGATAGTTAATAATCAAAATGGAAAAAGGAAATATCGTTAACACGTGTGGGAAACGCGGAAGAAACGCAAAGCCCTCTCCTTTGCTTCTGGTCCTCTCGTCCCGCTTCGCCGCTCTATAGGGCAATAGAGAGAGAGAGATTACGTCGCTCTCTTTGTCTCTTTCCACTCTCTTTTCAGACAACCGAGACGAGAAAGGCTCGTAATCTGATTTTGCCGCCAAGAACCGCCGGACCCGTCGTAAGTACTCTTCTCTGTAGCAAAAAGATCCTGAATTCAGATTCTACCCAAATCTCGAATGTACCGTCTCAGTTCGAGCAAAGTTTTGTTCTTTTGTAGATGGGTTATGCTCATTTTGTTGGTTTAGCGTTAGGGAATCTAAAAAAGTGCCAGTGAGACACTCGAGATCCATGCTTTAATAATGTCTTTTAGTTTGAATTTTGACAGTAAAATTTGATATCCATTTTGGGGATTAGAATTGAGGGAATCTTGTTTTATGAATCAGCAGTAGACAATAATGGGTTACATAGGAGCTCATGGTGTAGCAGCTCTTCATAGGTACAAATACAGTGGAGTGGATCACTCTTATCTTGCCAAGTACGTGCTTCAACCTTTTTGGACCCGATTTGTCAAAGTCTTCCCTCTATGGATGCCGTAAGTGTATCTCTTTGATGCTATTTCCTATATAAAAAGTCTCATTCCTTTTAGTTTTACTTATTGAGGTTATCTGCTGACTTGTGTTTTTACTATGCTTGTCTTTTCATGTGTGTTTCTCTGTTACTGCCTTTGAACCATATCCAGACCAAACATGGTAATAAGTAATTCCTTGTCTTCCCATTCTAGTTTATGTGGTATAGTCAGTATGTTCGAGTTAAGGACTTCTGACTTTTTGTTAATTTCTTTTTGTTGTTTCGCAGATAACGCTAATGGGGTTTATGTTTCTAGTCACATCTTCTCTGCTAGGCTATGTGAGTCATGGTTCTTTAGTCTCTTGAAGCGTTTGGTTGTTTTCTTGTTTGTAAACATTTCCTCCTTCTGCATATGGATATTGTTTTGAAGACTCTTTTCTTTATCTGTCTCAGATATATTCACCTCAGTTGGATTCTCCTCCTCCACGATGGGTTCACTTCGCACATGGTTTACTTCTTTTCCTGTATCAGGTCTGCGCCTCCCTCTTTTGAAAAGTCGAACTTGTTTTCTAGCTGCTTGTGAAGGTGGTTTAAGTTTTTTTCCTGGCACCTTTGGAGCTTTGATTAGACATTCGATGCGGTTGATGGGAAGCAAGCAAGAAGGACAAATTCCTCTAGCCCCCTAGGAGAGCTTTTCGATCATGGTGATTTATTTTTCCTATGTTCTTCCTTTGATTATCTGTCTTCAGTTTGTTTCTAGATTTTGCTGACATGTGTTCCAATATTGCAGGTTGTGATGCACTTGCTTGTGCGGTATGAAATTAACACTGCTGTTATCTTAATTATCCATATATTAGTCGTCTTGGAATCGTGCTGAAGGTTTTACAATGAAAACAGTTTGAAGCCATGGCATTTGGAAGCACCGCAATGTGTGGAAGAGATACTTTCTGGTTCTGGGTTATTTCAGCTATTCCGTTTTATGGAGCTACCTGGGAACAGTAAGTACTGCTTGCAACTTCCTGCTTATGTCTCCTAAAACATCTATATTCTGTGTAAATTTTTTTTTAGAGATTTCTTATACTTCTCCTTACCCTTCTCTAGCTATTTCACAAACACACTTATTCTTCCGGTTATCAATGGGCCTACAGAGGGTCTAGCACTTATATTTGTCAGCCACTTCTTCACAGCCATTGTTGGTATGCTTCTTTCTTGTCTGCAATCCTTAAAAGCTTCACCCCTATTGCAAATGCTTGGACAATCTTTGACCAAATTCTTTCTATACTTGGGTTTGGTCTTTCATCAACTTCATTCTTCTTCTTTTTTTTTCTGTCTTAAGGTGCTGAATGGTGGGCTCAGCAGCTGGGGCAGTCCATACCTTTGTTTGGTTGGGTGCCATTTGTGAATGGTAAGAAGATCTGTGGCATGCTTTCCCTACAACTTTTTTCCAGCGTTATTTCTTGATTTTGAGCTCTTCATTGTTCTATGTTTTAGAGATCCAAACTTCCCGAGCAGTGCTATACATGATGATCGCTTTTGCTGTTATACCGACCGTTGCGTTTAAGTGAGTCTTCCAAACTTAAAACAATATATATATAAAATTTTCCCTTTGCTAATGAAATAGATTCACAGACAATACATATATTATTTCACATGATCAGTATTTCTTTCTCAAAAGTGGCAGTAATAATATAACTGAAAAAGCATGAGTGTTCAACTAGAGTCGTTTCAAGTGGTGAATTTTGTGGTTACTAAGCTGTTTTATATGTGGTTGCGTTTGTCAGTGTGTCAAATGTTCGCAAAGTCGTTCAATCAAGAAACGGGAGCATGGTGTTGGCATTAGCTATGGTAATCTCCTATCTACCAGTTGATTTACAGTTACTTATTTATGAAACAAAATTAATGTCCTTTTGAATCTTGTTTTCAGTTGTATCCTTTTGTTGTCCTACTTGGAGGAGTTTTGATATGGTAAAGTCTTGTTTTCTTCTCTTTTGGAAAGACCACACAATCTTACTCTCTCATTTGTCATTGAAAATCACTTGGATCCTATTTCTTCCAGGGATTACTTGTCTCCAATAAATCTCATAGCAACATACCCTCACTTAGTTGTACTCGGAACTGGACTTGCATTTGGATTTCTAGTGGTATGTCTTGATCCAAACTCTTTAAATTAGATCAATATTACAATCATTACGAAAAAAGTTGTAATAGAACTTAAGTATCTGTATGTTATTCTTTTTCAGGGAAGAATGATTCTTGCTCACTTGTGTGATGAGCCAAAAGGACTGAAAACAAACATGTGCATGGTAAATCTGATAACTTTTCTCTCGCCAATTCTCCGTCTTATTTATTTCAGAAATGAAACCTTTTTTCTCAAAAATGCAGTCCCTACTCTATCTTCCTTTTGCGCTTGCAAATGCTCTAACCGCTAGATTGAATGCTGGGTATGTTTCTCTCTTTACATTTTCCCCACAAAGTTCATCTGTTTGTTGTCTTTGACATTCGAGAAACTTCATGTTACAGGGTTCCTCTAGTGGACGAATTATGGGTTCTTCTTGGCTACTGCATATTCACAGGTTTGCTCCTAAAAAGAAAAAACCTTCTTTAGCTATTGATTTTTCGCACTCATAAACCAACTTTGTATTGATGCGAAACAGTGGCTTTATACTTGCACTTTGCAACATCGGTCATTCATGAGATCACCGAGGCTCTTGGAATCTACTGCTTCAGGTGAAAATTTTGATGAAAAAGGTGAAAATTCTTGTTTGAAAACATAATGAATTAATATATCCATCTTGTCTTGCTAATCCACAGGATCACGCGTAAAGAAGCTTAAAAGAAACCTTAAGGGTAATGCGTTTTTTTGTGTGGACCGTTGGATCGATATGGACCAAGTTAGATCGGTGATGTATTTCTTCTTTATCAATTGTTGTCTTTGTTTGATCGGTGTTAGTTGAATTTATGTAGAACTTTTGTATAATGTTCTAGTTTTGGCTTTATGCATTGGGAAAATACGAAAACTATTTTTGAAATATTAAGTAAAGTATATTAGTTACTGAATTTGGTTTGCAAGCCCATGAGGAATTGGTTGACTTTTATGACTTTTGTAATACGACTACAACAAAGAGTTCTATAAGGCATATATGTGCTCGCAATTTAAAACCCTATAGAAATTACGCATTGAGTTCCTCCTCCTATTTCCTTTATTCAAAAACATTCTACTTAGGAATAGTCAGCGCATAGTTTTGACCAACCAAAAGTCAACATATTTCAGCAACCTATAATAATGTCCATTAATAATATATGTTTACACAAATCATAAAACACAACATCATGTATGTTACAAGGTGTTTATCGGAGTACCGGAAAAACCCGTCGGAACTTAAGAAGCCTCCACCGGAAGGTCCAAACTCTGGCATACTTGTGATTCAAGATGAAGAATCGTTGACCACTTGTTGCTTTGGTTTTTGCTACGAGACTTTCCTCAGAGGATTACCGTTTCCGCAGAACGCAGCGTTGACCGTGAGACGCGACGACGGTGGACAGAACAATACTGTTCATCGTGATCCGGTTGTGTTCATACCTGTTCTTGGTCAACCTCTATCTTCTAACCGTTATTACACATATGAACGGTGCGGGTATTACTCGAGGTATGACTATTTAGGATGGTTGCATGTGTAATTTGACAATCTTTCTTGATTTTCGTATTGAAACAAATATGCCAGATTAATATGCTTTGAAAATCTCAAAAAGCGCTTGTATTTTTTTTGCATGCAGAGAATCATCTAATAGTAATGAAAGAGAGGTGGAGAGAGTCACATGTTGCTTCTGCATTAGATTTAACCATGTTCATATGTATAAGAAGCCACAGCCAGATCCTTATGACATTCAACAGCAAGTCGTAATCACAACTACCTCATCGTATTTCCGTTGTTACTATTTCGCAAAGCCCGTTGATCCTAATGCGTTACTACCTGCGTTCCTAATGAGACAAGGCTGGGCAATAGAAAACTCGACTTCGACCCTACAAGACTTTGGTCTCATAGATGACGCAAAGGGTCTTGACGTAGAGCTTCGTTCTAAGCTCCCCGGTCTTGATATAAGCGTCGTCGTAGGGAAATGGTACGTGCCTTTCATATTTGTGAAGGAAGGAGACATAATAGAGCAAGTGAAGATATCAATGTATTACAACATGACGCTTCATCAAAGGTGGGAAGAGGTTTTCTTGTACGAGAATGTTGACAATGAAGATTGTGTTGAGGTTGTTGTCGACGTTGATGTCGAAGTTAAAGTGATTAACGTTGAGGGACAAAAGATCAATATAGAAACAACCAATGTGGATGGTAAAGGTTTAGTTTGGTTCCAAATTAAAGATCAAGAAGGACAAGACAAGAAGATAGGTTTAAGGTCAGTGGTTGTGGAGAGGATTGAAAGCTTAGAGGAGAGTTTTGGGTGGAAGAAGATAGACGGAAACAGAGCAAAGCTTAAGAGATTTGATCGGTTCGAATGCGGTTCATCGCATTGGAAGAGTTATAAATGTTATGTATTGGTTGAGAGATTTGAATTGAAGAGAATGGATGAGAGTTTGGTGTTGACGTATGAGTTTACACATGCTGATAAGTTGAGGACTATTCAATATTGACTTGAGCTTCATTTTTATTGTTTACACTTGCATTGAATTGATGAGATCGTAAAAGTGTAAACTCTATTTAAAACAAACATAAAAGAATTGAGTTTTATTTTTTGTAATAATTTTTTGGGTAGGAAATTGAGTGTTTTTAACACAAAACATAAAAAAAAGAGACCTTTATGGTTACACCCGCCGGAGGAGGTAACGATGTCTCTGCCGGAAGATTCATAGTTGAGCTCAATTGGCTCATGGGTTAGAGCCAGATTCGAAAACCCAAGGAACTGAAGAAGAATACAATGTCACTTCTCGCTCAGACGATACAAAAGCAAAAGCAGGCAGCTTTTGGTCCTAATTTGTCTTGGCAACTCGATGAAGAACGGTACAATCGATCTTGGATCTTAATTCTTCTTGGCTACTCTATCAAGAATGGTACTTTTATATAAATATGTTTTTTGAGTTCATGGATTGAGCAGCTGGTGAAAAATTGGATCGTTTTTAGTGATTTCAGAGTATGTTCTTGTAGGATTATTGCTGTTTCTGTCACAACGAGACTTTGCCACTTTTGTTATTCGTAACAGATGAAGGTTTGAGATGGTTGGGTTGCTTGACTTTTGGAACCCTTTGGTTTAAAAATTTATGGTTAATGCCTGGAATTGGCTACAATGGGAATTTAGTTAGAGTGATTGTAGTTTTGAATACTACTTGACTCCGGAAAGTTTTTGGTTTGAGTGATGATGCAAAAGGTGTGGACAGAATCTTCATGATGCAGAGTGGTGTCATGATACAGAGAGGCAAAGACCTTGCTTATCTTATTTTAAAGACACTTGATGAGGAGGTGACATTTAGGGTATGCCTAAGATCTTTATGATATCAAGTTAGTTTCCTTGAAGTTTCCTGCAACGAGCCATCATGAAAAGTCAAGTCATCTTGTCAAGTGCTGTTCGACAGAGTTGTTTTGTCTATAATATATGATCAAGTTTTCCTCTAAATCCCACAACTCGGTTTGGTTTACTTTTATACAGATAAGTGAAAATGTACATTACAAGGCGTTTGTCAGATTACCGGAGGAATCCAGCAGAGCTAACACGGCCCCCTCCTGAGGGTCCTAACTCTGGAATTTTGGTAATCCAAGACCAAGACTCATATATACAGGCTTCATGCTGCTTCAACTCGTGGTTGGTGGTGGACTCTCATCTAAATGGTTTGCCATTGCCGCAAAATCTTAAGCTAGCAGTCACATTTAATACCGGAGGGGATGACAGTACTCGTGACCCTGTTGTGTTCATTCCTGTTCTTGATAAGCCAATATCTTCAAATTGTTTTTATGCAATTAAACGACATGGGAAGCATTCAGGGTAAGAAAATTTGAATCCACAAAATCTAAAATTCTGGAATCTTTCCTTCTTATATATAACCTACAAAGTTTATAATTCTTTGGTTGCTTTGCAGTGAAGCGGCTGGTAGTGCGAAAGAGGAAGATATAGTTACCTCCTGCTTTTGTATTAAGGAAGTTGCTGAAGCTAAACATAAACAGCTTGATCCTTTTGACATATACCAACAATTTGAGATCCATCAAACGGATCCATCTTCACGTCCGCGTTATTACTACGCAACATCTGTTGCTCCTGACGGGGTCCCACCATGGTTTCTCAGGAAAAGAGAGTGGATGGCTGAATGCTTGAGGTCCCCAGAATTTAAACTGACAGATGATGCAAAAGGACTCAACACAGAGCTTCGTGCCGAGCTTCCGAAACTTGGTATGAGCATTGTGGTTGGGAAGTGGTATGTCCCTTTCATATTCGTGAAAGAAAGAGATGCTAAGGATCAGATCAAGAATTCGATATATTACAGCATGACTCTTGAACAAAGATGGGAAGAAGTTTTTTCTTGTGATAACGACAAAAGCGGGAAGCATGATGTTGTATTTGAAGTAGAAGGAGAAACAGAAGTTGTTAAGCTTGAGGGACAAGAGTTTGAAAGAGGTGTGGAGACAAACGGGTTTGTCTGGTTTGGGGTTGGAGACGAAAAGATTGGTTTAGGATCAGTTGTTGTTGAGAGGATGAAATGGGAAGAAGAGAGATTTGGGTGGACAAGCAAAGGTGACCAGGAGCCAGCAATGGCGGGTAAGAGATTGAAGAAATCAAAAGATGGTAGCTTTTGGACGAGTTATCAGTGTTATGTTCTGATAGAGAGCTTTGTGTTGAAGAGGATGGATGGAAGTTTGGTCTTAACATATGAGTTTACTCACGTCGATAAGGTCAAAACCAAATGGGATTCAGTTTCTCAAGCAACGAATCTCCCAAAGGTTTTGTAATCTCAATGACGTGAACTTCAATTGGTCAGTGTGGTTATTGTATTTGGTTATTATCTTAAGCTTTTCCAATAAAATATTGAGTTTTCTCTATGTTCTTAGTACTCATCCACAGGAGATTCTGACAAATGTTAAGTCAAACTTCAGATTGGGTCAAAGATCAGATTATATTTGTAAACAATAGCTTAGTAAACTTCCTTGCACGTTCTTAAGTTCCTTTGTTTTATATAAACTATGGCAGGTTAGATCTTAAGTAACAAAGAATCAAGGAGAAAATGTATGTGACAAAGCGTTTGTCTGAATACCAAAGAAACCCGTCAGAACTCACTTTGCTTCCAACGGATGGTCCAAACTCCGGCGTATTGGTGATTCAAGACGAAGAATCACAGCCTACGTGCTGTTTTGGCAAATGCTTTGATTGTGATCTGAATGGTTTGCCGTTTCCTCAGAACGCAAGAGTCAGTGTCAAATACCAAATTGGAAGTTAGTTTTCTGTTTAATTAAATATTTTTGCAAACTTCTTCCTTAACTCTGTTTCTATTTCTTCTCTGTTTATTATCTGAGCTTTGATTATAATATAGGTGGAGATGACAGAATTGTGTTGCTTGACTCGGTTGCCTTCATCCCTGTTCTTCATCAGCCTCCTTCCTCCAATCTTTACTACGTTATAAGGCGAAGAGGGAAACATGCAGGGTATGATTTTATTAGATAAATGTGCAAGTTTAAAGTTCTATAGATACTAATGTTATCACTTTAGTTTTAGTTAAGCTAGAAGTTCGGCGGCCTGCATTCATATAAGCTTAAATTCTTACACTTTTTTATACTTTGATTGGTATTGCAGAGAAGCATGTGTTAGTGCAAAGGAAGGGGACAGAGTTTCTTGTTGCCTTTGCTTTACTTATGTCTCTAATGCAACGCCAAGGCCTCTCGATCCTTTTGACATATACCAACAATTTGAGATTCATCAAAGAGGATCATCAACCCGAAAGTTTTTGGCTACATCTGTTGCTTCAGACGGAATACCACCTCGGTTCCTGAGGAGAAAAGGTTGGACGGTTCCTTTTTCGTCTTCCGAAGACTATGGTTTGAATGATGATGCAAAGGGCGTAGTTGATGCAAAGCTACGCTATGAGCTTCCTGATTTTGATAAGAGAGTTGTAGTTGGTAAATGGTATGTTCCATTCTTATTTGTAAAGGAAGGAGATGCAAAAAGTCAGATGATGAAATCAATGTATTACAGCATGACCCTTCACCAAAGATTTGAAGAGGTTTTCTTCTGCGAAAACGTCGGCAATAAACTTTGTGACGTTGTAGTTGATGTGGAGGTAGAAACAGAAGTGGTTAAGCTTGAAGGAGGGAAGATTGCAAGAGAGACAAAAGGTGTGGATTCAGATGGAGTTGTCTGGTTTAGTGTCTCAGGGACTGAGAAGATAGGTCTTGGTTCCGTAGTCTTGGAGAGAATGAAATGGGAAGAGGAGAGGTTCGGGTGGTCTAACAAAACCGATCAGATGAGGTCTAGCATTAAGAGATCTGAGAAATTTGAAGGCGGTGGACCACATTGGAAGAGTTATAGATGCTATGTACTGGTAGAGACCTTTGAATTGAAGAGAACTGATGAGAGTTTGGTATTGACGTATGAGTTTAGACATGTTGAGAAGTTGAAGAGCAAGTGGGATTGAGTTTATATAAGCTTCTAAGTGTGTTATGTGTGCAACTTATGGTTTGTTCATTTTAATGAACGGTTTATGCAACTTTTGTGTGTTATGTATGCAACTTATGGTGTGGTGTGGTGTGATCATTTAATGAAAGCTTTCTGCAAGTTCATGTGTTTGATTCTAGAACATCAATACCCCAATCATGTATGTCTTACCTAATATCGAATCTATAAATTGTTTGAATGATTCTCCATTATAGGTTTTCAAAACCAGGTCAAGGTCATAACTTTGGAATTCTAACTTGTAAAAGTCTTTAAACAATAACTTGTAAAATTTACTTACGACTTAATCCTCAAGACATGGTGCTATATATAAACATATCACATCTCTATATTTCTAATCAATTACCTTACCTTAAAGATTCTGAATTCAAGATGTATGTTACAAGGCATCTCTCGGAATACCAGAGAAACTCGACACAATCGTCCCCGGAAGGTCCAAACTCCGGCGTACTTGTGATTCAAGATGAAGAGTCAAAGCCGACTTGTTGCTTCGGTAATTGCTACGATGGTAAACTCAAAGGCCTACCGTTCCCACAGAACGCGAAGCTGACTGTGATTTACAGAACTGGAGCTGGTAACGACAGACGCAGTTACCATGATCCGGTTCTGTTCATTCCGGTTCTTGATCAGCCTTATTATTCGAACCGTTATTATGTCATTCATCGACGCGGGAAGCACTTAGGGTATGACCATAAATTTTCTAACTGAAATACCTAACTTGCCTAAAAAGGTGAATTCATAAAAGGAAACTAACATTTTTCTTGTGATGTTTGAATTGCAGAGGAGCTTCAGCAAGTGCAAAAGAGGAAGACAGAGCCCCTTGCTGCTTTTGCTTTAGCTATGTTCCTGAAGTTAAGCCACAAGAAGCAGATCCTTATGACATGTATCAGCAATTCCAGATCCATCAACGCCAAGGATCATCTCGGTATTACACTGCCACTTCTGTTGCTCCTGATGGGATACCACCAGAGTTCCTTAAGAGAAAGTATTGGACCGCTGGGTACTCTAATTCCCAAGACTTTGGTTTGACAGATGATGCCAAGGGGATTAACACTACGCTTCGTTCCGAGCTTCCCAACGATGTGAATACAAGCGTTGTGGTAGGGAAATGGTATGTCCCTTTCATATTCGTGAAAGAAAAGCAAAGGATCAGGTTAAGAGCTCCACTTATTACAGCATGACGCTTAAACAAAGATGGGAAGAGGTTTACTCATGTGAAAACGTTAACTACAACGAGAAAGGGGCAGAGGTTGTACTTGATGTTAATGTAGAAACAGAAGTGGTGAAGCTTGAGGGACAAGAAACTCATTTGAGAGAGAACAGAGGTGATGGAGTTGTTTGGTTTAGTGTCTTAGGGGATGAGATAGAATACAAGAAGATAGGTCTTGGGTCTGTTGTAGTGGAGAGGATGAAATGGGAAGAGGAAAGGTTTGGGTGGTTAAACAAAGGTGGAAGATCCAACATTAAGAGATCAGAGATATATGAAGATGGTTCATCGCATTGGAAGAATTATCGATGTTACGTATTGACAGAGAGCTTTGAATTGAAGAGAATGGATGGGAGTTTGGTGTTGACGTATGAGTTTAAACATGTTGACAAGGTAAAGAGCAAGTGGGATTGAGTTTCATTCATCTTTTGTTCTGTTTCATTGTTTGTCATCTAATCTTGTTTCAATAATTAATTTGGTAATTAAGTTTATGTAAGTTTATGCAATAATAATCTCAAGGTCGCATTTAATATCATGTATAAACTACATATAACTAAATATAAGTTTGGTTTGCTTGATACTACTCTTCATGATGGATTTGTTGACCTTCTTAGCAAAGAAAATATCACAAGTTCGAGAATCAGTCAAAACCTAAATCCTATAACATATCAAGTTTCGTAAACTATGTGATTAAAACCGGTACAAAACCTTGTCAATGAAGTTATCGTCACATACTCTGCATTACAGATTCTTGCATAAAGTCAAATCAAATACAAAGACTTCTGTTCATTTTAGTTTTATGCTATTGTATAAAGACACTAGATGAAATAACAACCTTCCAAGAAATTTGCCTGCAACGTGATTAGATTCTATCATCAAAAAGTCAAATCTATTCTACAAAGAAGTAGCTTAAGTATAAGCTTATATATATATCTATGATCTTTCTCCAAGTATCAGCATCACAAGAATTAAATTTAAATAATGTATGTAACAAGGCGTTTATCGGAATACCAGAGAAACCCATCGGAGCTGAAACTGCTTCCACCAGAAGGTCCAAACTCGGGCATAATGGTGATTCAAGATGAAGAATCACAACCAACTTGCTGCTTTGGTTCTTGCTACGAAGGTAGGCTTAAAGGCTTGCCGTTTCCACAAAACGTGAAGCTTGCAGCAACGTATAGCAGTGGAGGAGGAGGTGGAGCAGGATCAGGAGGAGGAAGCCAGACACATCATACCCCAGTTGTGTTCATCCCTGTTCTTGATCAGCCATTGTCTTCCAACCTTTACTATGTTATACAAAGACGTGGGAAGCATACTGGGTAATTATTACTTGTAATTTCAATATTTTCACTCTTTTTTATATGTTTTCTTCAAAATTTAGTAATGCTTAAGGTTTACATTTTTACACTTCTTAAATGTTTACTTAAAAAGACCAGACATTTTTTGTGATTTGCATAAGATAAAACACCATTTATCTAAGTTTTGCTTAACTGTGATCACAGGAAAGCATCTGCAAGTGCAAAAGAGGAAGAGAGAGTTTCAAGCTGCTGTTTCTCTAGCTATGTTCCTGAAGCTAAGCCACAACAAGCAGATCCGTATGATATATACCAACAATTCGAGATTCATTCAAGCCGACCATCATCTCTCTATTACTCTGCCACTTCAGTTGCTTCTGATGGTGTGCCACCATATTACCTGAAGAGAAAACATTGGTCGGTCAGTTACTCGACTTCACAAGACTTTGGTCTAGTAGATGATGCAAAAGGGATTATCACAAAGCTTCGCTTAGACTCAGACCTTACTAGTATAGGTAAGAGTGTTGTAGTAGGGAAATGGTATGTTCCTTTCATGTTTGTTATGGAAGGAGATGTAAAAGATCAAATGAAGAAATCAACGTTTTACAGCGTGACGCTTCAACAAAAGTGGGAAGAAGTTTTCTTCTGCGAAAACATCCGCGATGAACGTTTTGAGGTTGTAGTTGATGTTGATGTAGAAACAGAAGTGGTGAAGGTTGACGGACAAGAAACTCATTTGAGAGAGAACAAAGGTGATGGAGTTGTTTGGTTTAGTGTCTTAAGGGATGAGAAACAAGACAAGAAGATAGGTCTTGGGTCTGTGGTCGTGGAGAGGATGAAATGGGAAGAAGAAAAGTTTGGGTGGTTAAACAGAGGAGAAAGGTCTAAAATTAAGAGATCAGAGAGATTTGAAGGCGGTTCATCGCATTGGAAGAGTTATCGATGTTATGTATTGATAGAGAGCTTTGAATTGAAGAGGATGGATGGGAGTTTGGTGTTGACGTATGAGTTTAAACATGTTGATAAGGTAAACAGCAAGTGGGATTGAGTTTCATTCTGTGTTAGGTTTTTTATGTGTGTAATCTTTTGTGCAAATTTAAGAATAAGTTTTGTGCAAGTTCATGTAATAATAAACTTATGGTCTCATTTTATTTTATTTTCCTATCCATAATTTATATTAACGTGACTATTGGGTCACACAAGTCACAACGTTGTTCTCAATGAAGTATAAAGATAATAATACAACGTGAAGAGACTGACTTTTTAAATAATTGTGATGTTACTTAGAAACTGCCAGAAAATACAAGACTTCCCAAGTCAAGATCGTAGAATAGTCGTTAAAGTTTCATTTCTTTTTTCTTATTTGATTATATTTCGTTTTTGGGGTTGCAAAATTCTGTTTCTTCTTCTTATCCTACTATAAAGACCCAATCACACGACCTCACACGAATCACAAAAACCACTGAAATATCTCTACCGATTATAACAAAAAAACATGTACGTTACAAGGCGCTTGTCGGAATGCCAAAGAAACAGATCGGAGTTGTTGGAAAGTCCAAACTCCGGTGTGCTTGTGATTCAAGATGAAGAGTCAAGACCAACTTGTTGCTTCGGATCTTGCTACGAGGGTGGACTCAAAGGCTTACCATTCCCACAGAACGCTAAGCTGACTGTGAAATATACCACCGTAAGTGATCAATCTCCCGTCGTCGTTATAACTGATCGTGATCCGGTCATTTTCATTCCGGTACTTGATCAGCCGTTATCTTCAAACCGTTACTACACCATTATGCGAAGCGGGAAACACTCAGGGTATGACTTATAGATAATTTAAGCAATATTTTTCAACTTTCTTGATTTTTGATGTAATTCACAAGAAATTGCATACGAGGGTGTCTATTAGAAAATCTAAAGAAAAAATGTTTTGTGTTGTAGAGAAGCTTCCGCAAATGCGAAAGAGGAAGACAGAGTCCCAAGCTGCTTTTGCCTCAGCTATGTTCCTGAAGCTAAGCCACAACAACCAGATCCTAATGATATATACCAACAATTTGAGATCCATCAAAAGAAATCAGTGTCTGGAAAGTACTTTGCCACATCCGTTGCACCTGACGGGATACCACCAGAGTTTCTTAAGAGGAAGAATTGGACTGTTAAGTACTCAACATCAGAAGACTTTGGTCTAAGAGATGATGCGAAAGGTATTTACACTAATATTCGTTCTGAGCTACCAGGTGATTTTAGTGCAAGCGTTGTGGTAGGGAAATGGTATGTCCCTTTCATATTTGTCAAGGAAAGAGATGCAAAGCATCAGTTTAAGAATTCAACTTACTATAGCATGATTCTTATCCAAAGATGGGAAGAGGTTTACTCTTGCCAAAATGACGAAAAGCGCGAGGTTGTTGTTGATGTTGAAGTGGAAACACAAGTCGTGAAGCTTGAGGGACAAGATATTGGAAACAGGGCAAGAAGTGTGGACGACAATGGGGTTGTTTGGTTTGAGGTTGCTGACAAGAGGATTGGTTTGAGATCTGCGGTTACCGAGAAGATGAAATGGGAAGAGGAGAGATTCGGGTGGAAGAGTGAACCGAGAAGAGCAGTGGTTAAGAAATCTGAGAGAATTGATGGAAGCGGTTCGAATTGGAAAAGTTATAGATGTTATGTGTTGGTGGAGAGCTTTGAGTTGAGGAGAACGGCTGGGAGTTTAGTGTTGACATTTGAGTTTAAACATGTTGATAAGCTGAGAGCCAAGTGGGAATCATGAGAGATTGATTCTTATGTTAAACTATGTGTGTTAGTAATGATTTTCGTCAATTGTTCTTTGTGTGATAAGCTATTAAAAAAGTTTGAAGTTTAATTTCTTTCGTTTGCAAAAAATAATAATTAGCTGAATCTTGACGAATTACGCCACTAAGACATTGTAAGTTTGTAACTATGAAAAGAGGGAACCATCTTATTACATATTTCCGTAACATAATTAAGAAATTTATAATTTGTGCAAAATTATTTATTATTTTAATTAGAATTTAAATGAAATATGAATCAAAAACTATATGAAAAAGCTTAGCTTATATACTGTAATATGAATATAAAAGAATATTACATACGTACCATTCTTATTTAACAATACTTTTATATTTTAAAAAAAAGGTAAATGCTAAGATAAAAATAAGTAAAACATAAGGAAAACATAAGAATATAGGTGGAAAAAAATAACAAATGACAAAAAAATAAATAAGGTTTACGCTAAATAAAAGAAGAACGTATTACCGTCTTTGAATCTAGTGTATATGTCGTTATGCATGCATATGGCTTACTAGGAAAAACTTGTGCTATTAGGGCTGTGGCTTTCTTCCACACACCGTAATTAATCTATACCTAATTTAGAATTACGTGTATATATTAAAGTTTTCCATCGATATTGTGACTACTGACTAGGATTCTGTTATACTGTGACCTATTTCGATCATATACATTAACCAAGGTTTTAAAACTTTTTTCTTTTTAATCAACGAGTAAGCAATGCTACCATTGGGTTATAGTTTTTATTTGGTTTTTGGGATTTAATTTGGGTTTTAGTTTTTGGTTTTGGATTTTCGTATTTTTTCTAAAACTAAACAAACAATATAAATGGGTGAAATAATATTATCATGTCAATAAACTGTTTAGGAAAAGTGAAAACTCAAATAAGATGATGGTTTTCACATTGTCACTCAATTGTTTTTTCTAATTGGCAAACTGATCAATGGTTAAAATCTTCCAAATTTGGTTTTAGAGAAACCACTTGAGTTGGTACAAATGAGGTTTCTTTTCCAAAAACTAAAGCCAAAATTTTTTTACAATGTCTGGTAAAACATTCAAGGTCTTAAAATTGTTTGTGTTAAAATTTCCAGAAATGGTTAAAATTTCCAGAAATTGTCATATATATTTTATTTTTTTTTAATTTATAGGGGCTGGTGTAAGAAAACTGTCTGGACTGGGCTCTAGGTGAGATTTAGCTTTAATATCTGGGCCCAAATGGTCATTCATTTATATATGCTTTGAAAATATAGAATTTTTTTATATATTATAACTAGATTTAACAATTAATATATTTTAGTTATCTCATTCTATCTAAATTGTTGAAAAATAACAGTAAAAATATATGATGTGGATACAATATTGGGAATACCAAACTCTAATTCTATTTGACATGTGTTTTATAAAATCTAACTAAAATTTTAGTTTACTAATAATTTTCTGTATTTATTAATATATTTAGATATTATTCTCTATTTGGGTTCTTAATGAAATATATATATAAAGATGAGAAGGCATTCTCTTCATTGATTATCATAACAAGAAGTCAAGAATGGAGAAAGACAAGAGAGTTAATCACGATCAAGGAGTATGCGTACTACCATACGACGTCCTTGAGGAGATCCTCTTGAGGCTTCCGGTCAAATCAAACATTCGATTCAAAGTCGTTTCAAAACAATGGAAATCAACTATTGAGTCTCGATGTTTCGCGGAGAAACACTTAAGGCTCGTTGAACAATCCAAACATGATCATCCGAAATTCCTATTTGCCTCCACAAATGAACAATATAACGTGTTTAAGACACTTTGCTTGGAATCAAATCCTGTTCGAGTCTTCAATCTTCTCAACATCCCTCGACGACATTTAATCAAAATTTCTGAAAGCTGCAATGGTCTTGTTTGTATATACGCGGACAGGGAAGCCTATATATACGTAGTTAACCCGACAACTAGTTGGTTCCGCCAAATTCCTGAAGCTAGGTTTCAGATATTAATGCAAAAGGCAACATACACTCGGGAAACTATCACAGACGTTAAGCCAATCCCTTTACTAGCGTTTGCAAAGGCCATGCTGAGTGGTTATAAATTGGTGTGGTTATATAATTCCGATATATACAATTCTGACGCTATGAGTTTAAACGAAGGATTTACCAAGTGTGAGGTTTTCAGTTTTAGGGCAAATGTTTGGAGATACTTGACTTGCACTCCAAGGTACCGGATATTTAACGATCAATCGCCAGTGTCCACAAACGGATTAGTGTATTGGCTCACAGAACGATACAATGGCGAAACCAAAGTTATAGTTTTTGATCTTGAAAGTGAAACTTTTCGATTGTTGCCTAAGAATCCGGTTTCTCGCTCACATCCAGACCATATCGACCTTTGCATTTTGGATAATCGTCTGTGCATGTCCAAGAGAAAGCGCCGTACTATGATGCAAGAGATTTGGAGCTTGCAATTATCATCAGAAGAGACATGGATTAAGATTTATACTATAGATCTTCGATCTTGTTCTTCATGGTCCGTATCTGGAAGGGTTTGTTTTGCTTGGACCCGCATGAATGTGATTCGGCCATGCACACCGGCGGCGATATTGAAGAACAAGGAGATCCTACTGAGACATCGTTTTGGTAATGGTTTGGTGAAGTATGATCCACAAACAAAATCTTACTCCCTAATGTACGATCATCTTTCTTGTTATAGAGTTGTTCCTTATTTCCAGAGTTTAATATCTCATATCTAAAACCTTGCTTAATTACTCTCTTTGTTGTATTTGGAACTGGTGCATTTCTTAAGACTAAGTTTAAGACCATATTTAATTCACATTTGTCTTCAACATTACTGTTACATAGTTTTGCTATATCGGTAGTGACTACGTTTTATATGTTATGAATCAAAGTGGTCTCGAGAATAAATAGATTGGACAATGTTGTGATCGAGAACCCATTAGCAAGCTTTAACAAACAAAGAAAAAAGATCTTACATCTTCGCAGTCTCTTCAAAGAAGACGAATCTGAAACCTTTTCTCACTAAGTTGTCCGGAGAGAAAAAAACAAAAAAAAACAAAACAAATATTCCAATGTAATAAAAACGAGAAAAATACAGAACAAAAACCTCTCTCTCTACAACTAAAACATCTTACAACGAACTCTTTTGCTTTTGGTTCCCAATTTCTTCCAACCGTTTCCATGTGGCTTCACGTTTTGCCCCAATTTCAGCTTCTTTTGATTCATCTTCTCTAAACTTGCCAAGACAATCCTTAAACAACTCTGCATCAATGTCATTAAATATCTTCTGCACGTTCAGCGTTAAGCTATGAACAGCTTGGTTCCAATGCTTCTGAGTGTTTCTTTCCAATGCAGGGAAAATGATAGGAAGAATAACTTTACGGTTCTGCATTATTAGATTCTCGATATGATCGTTATTCCATAGAAACAAAGCTCTTTCTGCAACCTGCAAAAAAAATCAAAAAAGACTCAACCTTTTTGTTCTTTCTTGTATAAAGACTTGAGCTCTCATTACAACATTGACAATGAGCACGCAGGTACTAATTGATCTGTGCCTAACAGAAATAGTCACAAAGCTACTACGCTATCAAATATCACACAATTCAATCTTATGATGAAACTGTTCTCATCATTCTACTTTCTCGGAATTAGAAAACTGTAAATGCAATCCGGAAATATATGAAACATTATAAAGAAAATTACCTGAAAGTGCAGACTGTTCAAACACCGAGCAACTTGGCGAAACAATGGAACCATACACCGTTGGAATTCAGGTGGCTGAGTTGCTTCTAATACTTCCTCTAGCTCGTTTAGAAACATGACTTCTTTGGAACTATTAGTGACAGGCCAAGACTTCAGTAATCCCCTTATAACTGTATCAGCAAGTTTGCAATCTTTTTCCACAAACTGTGTGATACAATAAGACAATTGCTGATGATACATTTGTAAGCATTTCGGTTTGTGGAGAGGTACCAAAGCTCGAACAAGAAACACTTTATGCTCTTCTTTAAGCGGCAGAGCAAATCCATTGATGATACTTCCCAAAATCTCTAGAAACTCAGCAATCCCATTGTGTTTCTCAGTCTCGAAAACAAACCGATAGAAAATGTTGTTAATGGATTTCCTTATGAAAGGACGATGAACCATGAATTTACCATAGATGCGATGTAGAACGGTTTTAAGACAGTCTCTTTCTCTAGGATCCTCGGAATCAAATAAATCCAGTAACCGTGAGACAAAAGATTGGTCGATGTATTTCTTAGCCAGCTTTGTATCTGTCTCAGGTGAAGCAATAAGCCTCAGGAGGATCTCATAGACAAGTTGCAAGTGAGGCCAAGCAGGATCCATAGAAGGCTCCTCTTCCTCCAAATCTAAGGCATCAATAACCTTATTCTCTCGCGGTTGAGGATTCAAGGTTCTGAAAATGTTAACAGAAACCATTTTAACCACTTCTTGGATAGCCATTTCGCTAAACTTCCCACCCGGAGAAGCAACATAATCCACAAGATCAAGCAATGTCTGCCGCTTGATCTCCTTTTCCTTCACATTCTTAGTTGGATCCGAGAAATCAAACACTAGACAGCACAAGTTGAGTTTTCTCAAACACAAGTTCTGCTTCTCTGCATTTGGAACATCTTTAAAACTAGGCAAAGCTTCATACGGCGAGAAACCAGTCCCGTTTCCTTTCAAATTCCCGTCTTTAAACCCCGAATCAGCAGCAGCAGGTTTAACAGCAGGAGCGTTCTTGGCGTGAGAATTACCCGATTTCCCAGCGCCATTATCACTAGTTTTGGAAGTAGAAGCACTGGGAGTAGATGAAGAATGGTTCTTAGAAGAAGACTTCTTAGGAAGCTTACTTATAATCTGTTTCCACATAGTTTACAATACTCAGATTCTTCTCTGATCATTCCCCAAAACAAACAATCCCCTAGAAGAACAGATTCATCTGAAATAAAAATCACAATCCAGTAAAACTCAAGATATCCAAATAGTATACTATAAACACAATCAAGAAGCTGAAAAGGAGAAAAATCCCTAAATTTATTACAGGAAAAAACCATATTTTGTTCATTCTTCTTTACTCACTCTCCAAACACAGGAAATATAAAAATCGTCACTCCCCAAAACATTAAAAATCTAAACTTTCGATTCTAATCCTGAAACAATCGCAATCTAAAAACCCAAAATCAAATTTTAAAAACATACATTTACAACCAGAGATCAGAAACAAGATTACGAATTTATGGGGGAAGAAAAAAACCAACAAAATTCACCGATTGCAACAATTAAAAGGTCAACAAGAGATATAACGATGAATAAGAGAACAACAAACTTACCCAAAAAAAATAAAGAAAAATCACATTCAAGTTCTTCCAAAACCTCTCTTCGTTGTCGTTGTTGGTTTATTGACTTTCCCAGATATAAAAATAAAAGAATCGAGCTTTAGGATTTGGCTCAATACGAATTGTTAATTCTTCTTCTTAATTTTTGTTTTCTTTCTTCTTCTTTGTGATTTGTGTCTTCTCGTGATCCAGTTATCTATCATTCTCTCTTCTCTCCGATGCCTGATCAATCTTTTTTTTTTTTTTTTCTCAATTCTTTTTATTTTATTTTATTTTATTTTTATTCCCTTATTTTAATATTGTTTTCTTATAATGTGTTCGGTCTGGCCAGCCAGGTCCTCTCACTTGTATTATTAAATTTATTATACTTCAAAATGCGTTTAAAAATCCAAACTTTATCGCCGACCGTAACTCTATTATACGACACAGTTTGATGATGTCTGTAATAAAACCGGTTCATTATTTTCCTTTGGTTTTCCGGTTTTTTGGTTTGATCAACGATGATTTTAATTCCGGTTTAGAGTTTCGTCATTGTTTCGTTTCATACTCCTTTGATGAGGAAGCAAGTTACACCAAATACCAAGATGAGAAACTTTGATGCATCAAGATACATTTTATGTGAAACTTTATTTGTCAATGTTTTGGTTCTTCTAGTGACTGATGGACTGGAGAGTATTGGACTAAGAGGAAGACTCTCGTAATGTCGAGTGGTGCTCCTTCGGTCATAGAACATAAGGGTCCTAACGATGTAGTCAAATCTCATTTTCTTGCTTGGACTCTCTATCGAAAAGAGTAGTGCCATTTCCAAAAATTGTAGGTAGAATAAGAATTTCTAGCAAATTTGTTCATAAATTTAAAATTTTATTAAATACGGATTTTAAATTATGAATATGACGAGTTCACAGAATAATTTATTAATATTCGAACAATTTTTTCGGTAAAACATCAATTTATTATTTACTAATTATTATAAGGTAAAAAATGATTCGTTAATTTTGTATAATTATATCTTGTTATCATTTTTGAATAATTTTTTATATAATTTAAAGTTAATTTTGAGCTTATTATAATTGTTTTTTTTATCAATACCATTTTATATCACAGGGAACCCAAACATTTGTAATTTATCTTATCCAAAACTGGAAACCAAATCTTTAGACTAAAACAAAAACCTAAAAACTAAAATAAAAGTAAAAGCCTCTTTGGCTCCCCACATTTCATATTGTGCTCGGGGGCTGTGTTGTTGGCGGTGGTGGGAACAAAGGAACATCATATCCTATTGTCTCTCCGGAGACGCAGCAATGTTCATTTCGGACAAGTCTCGTCCTACTGATTTCTACAAAGACGACAATCCCAATTCTTCAACCGCCGCTACACGCGACATGATGATCGATGTCACCACTCCCAATGAAGCAGTAGTAGATCTACAGCCTCACCACCACCACCACCACCACCACCACAATCACAATCACCATCTCAACCAATCTCAGCCTCAACAGATTCTCCTTGGAGATAGCAGTAGTGAGGATCACGAAGTGAAAGCTCCGAAGAAACGAGCAGAGACATGGGTTCAAGACGAGACTCGTAGCTTAATCATGTTCCGTAGAGGTATGGATGGTTTGTTCAATACATCGAAATCGAATAAACATCTTTGGGAACAGATTTCGGCTAAGATGAGAGAGAAAGGGTTTGATCGATCTCCGACTATGTGTACTGATAAGTGGAGGAATCTATTGAAAGAGTTTAAGAAAGCCAAGTATCATGATAGAGGCAATGGATCGGCTAAGATGTCGTATTACAAGGAGATTGAAGATATTCTTAGAGAGAGGAGCAAGAAAGTGACCACCACCCAGTATAACAAGAGCCCTAGTACACCACCACCTACAACTGCTAAAGTTGATTCCTTTATGCAATTTAGTGATAAAGGTATAAACTTTGGCCATGAATTTGCAGGTTTCTTGATTTGGTTTGAGGAAATTTAACTGTGATTTAGTGTTTGTGTTGATGAGATATCTTTTTGTTACAATTTGGGAATTTCGTATCTGTAGGTTAGGCTGAGAAGAGATACTAGTTGAACTACAGTTTTAAAGTAGGTTTCTTAATGGGTTGTGCATTAATGTTTTAAGGAGATGATAGTTTTGGTAATGAATCTGGTTTTGTGGATTTTGTGCTTTTAGTTTCTTTTGCTTAAGTGGTAAGTGACTTTTACTTTTCATTGTAGGATTTGATGATACCAGCATTTCTTTTGGATCCGTTGAAGGTACTGATCTATATCACTTTTGTGTGTTTATTATACGTTGCTATCTATATATGAGGAGTCAATATTTGTTCGTCGATTGCCTCTTGTAGCTTGTCTTTAAGTCGTTGTAAATTTACTCCTTGAGTGAGCAATAGTAGAGGTGTTAACTTGCTACGTGAGCATTTGGTACTGGAAACAAAGAGTTTCATTTGCGAGGGGAAAGTTAGCTGTAATGTGATATCTCTGTAGTTGAAACAAAGTGGTGAACATGACTGCTGTGGAGTTCAGACAGTCCCTCTGTTAGAAGGTTTAGTTAAGTTTCTTAGAGGATGTGTGTGTTTTGATAAGTGTTTATATTTATGGTCCAGCTAATGGCAGGCCAGCCTTAAACCTTGAAAGGCGTCTTGATCATGATGGCCATCCTCTTGCAATCACTACAGTGGATGCTGTTGCTGCAAATGGAGTTACTCCTTGGAATTGGAGAGAGACTCCTGGAAACGGCAAGTCTCAGAAAAGCTTAGATAACTTGAGCCTCAAAGATATTTTTTTGTAACTTTGTGTTATATGCATGGTGTGTCTATGAATCAATGTTTTCTAATTATTGAGAACCAAAATCACTTTCATTTTGTGGTTGCTTCACAGCCTATGTTCCCTGCTTGATTGATTTTGGCTCTCTCTTATAACTGATTGGAGCTTTTTAATATTTATGACCAGGTGGTGACGGTCATGGTCAGCCTTTTGGTGGGAGGGTCATAACAGTGAAATTTGGGGACTATACAAGAAGAATCGGTATTGATGGTAGCTGTGAAGCAATCAAAGAGGCAATCAGATCTGCTTTTGGGTTAAGAACTCGGAGGGCTTTTTGGTTAGAAGATGAAGATCAGATTGTTCGTTCTCTTGACCGAGAGATGCCTTTAGGGAACTATCTACTCCATCTCGATGATGGTAAGATCAAACTAAATATCGTTTGGATTGTTTGACCCCAAATACAGAGTTTACTGAATCCTCAATATTCAAAACCCATCTTGCAGGACTAGCCATTAGGGTTTGCCATTATGACGAATCCAACCAGTTACCAGTCCATTCAGAAGAGAAAATCTTCTACACAGAAGAAGATTACCGCGATTTTCTGGCCCGACGGGGATGGACATGCCTGCAAGTTGATGGTTTTAGGAACATAGAAAACATGGATGATCTTCAACCTGGTGCTGTGTACCGAGGAGTGAGGTGAGAGCATGGGGATCGCAAAACTTCTTCTTCAAATTCATCAACAGCTTATCTAATCAGAAAACAGTCCCCTGTGAATATAAGCTCAGTCCCTTTGTACATTTCTTTCTTTTCTCCTTAGAGAAGAACAAAGAAAGTATTTGCTCAAACATGTATGACACCAATTTGCATTCACAGTACAGACCAATAAAACCTCAAAATAGTTTCTTTGGTCTCTTACGTTTGTAAGAACAGAACATAGGAGAAGAGAAGTGATCAATAAAGGATTCACATGTCATTCAGACAAGAGCGAGAATATGGTGTCACTGTGTCGGTTACTCCTCGTTGCATTCGTTGTTCTTGTAAGGAACGAGTGTGCCGACCTTGTGAATCTGCAAAGACAGAAAAATTCTGAGGTTTTACTACTGAGAAAATCCTAGAATGATTTGAGTTAATCGAGAATCAAGACAGCATAAACACCACAAACATAGAAATAAAAGAGTTTTTATTGATTTTTGTTGTGTGTGTATAAATAAACCAACTTATCAAAATCTAAAACCATCACGTAAGTGGACTAAAATTGGTTATAAGCATATCTCCATGGATAAGAAGATTCCATTCGTTAAAGTTGGCATCAATAAGTATTTTTGTCAAGAGGGTTTGCATTGCATGCATCACAATAATTACTTTCTTTCTCTAAGAATCGAAATTCTTATCATGTACTTTGATAATGATATATTTTGGTTCTTTTCCCTTCACGATTACTTAGAATATTGTTGAATCATTCAAAAAAAAAAAAGTTGTTTTTGAATCATTCTACATATCAGTTGAAGACAGTAGCTTGACACACTTGACGGGTCGATTAGAACTGTTGGTCTCTTGGATATGATCATGAGTTATAAAAAGGAGATCACAACTTCAAGTCTTCAATGTATGATGGATTTTAGTTAATTATTAGAAATAAATATCCATATGAATACGGAATGCCAAAATAAGTAGTTCTACTTCTATATGCATTCACCTAACACACATGAAAAAGAGAATGAATACAAAAAATGAAATAAAAAATAAGAGGAGGAGAAGAAGGAGACTTTTGGCAAAGCCAAGAGTCATACCTATAAACTATTAGGTTTTACCTATTACATAAGGTGTGATGTTTTTTTTTTTTGCTGTCACATTCATCTGACCTACCAAAGCTCTCAAAGTGGAGCATCTATGTGTGTCTTGGTATGAAGTCACGATTGGATTAATATATAACAACACCATATATGTTTTATCAATTTATAAATATTTTGATCGAGTAAGCAAAAATTATTCTGATTAAGACATCTACAAGAAGCTTCATATATGATGAATACAAAATTACAAATACACTCTAGTACTGTTTTTCACCTTGGTTATTCTGAAACAATGGTTGAAGTTAAAATTGGTTACTACACAAAGATTATGGAATAAACCAAAAAGGGGTTTAATTCAACCATAACAACATCCTACGTGGCATATGTTCATTGGCTATGGGAAAGAATATTTTCAGATCAGCCCATAGGATCTGAGTATAAACCTCGAATATTCCCACAAACCGGCACGTGAAGTGCAAGCGCCATTAGTTTCCTCTAATCGGTTCTTAATTAGTTAATCCTACTATAAACTGTGGGTAAAAAACAGTGGCAATAATGGTAAAAAAATGAAAAAGTAAAGTGCGATCTTGTAATAATAAATACTGAATCTAATCTTTCCCAAGAAATAATCTGAGCCACTCGATCATAAAATATTTGCTCATCATCATCACGTTCATCTTCTCTTTTAAATAACCCTAAAGCCTCACCAAACCCAAACCCCTCACTCACTATTTTCACATTTCTCATCTGTACACCTCTCTCGATCTCAATTTCTGCAATGGGTGAGCTCTTCGCTCCTTGATGATCATCTCCGTTTCTTTCTTCGATTTATTGTTTTCGTCGTTGATGCTCTTTTTTTTGAATCTGATCGTGATTTTGATTTTTTCCTTTTGTTTTTTTGTAGCTGACAAGAAGATTAAGATCGGAATCAACGGTGAGTGTTACCTTAATCGTGTTTCGTATGCTTCTCTGAATTGGATCTGTTGATTCTGAGTTTTTGATCTTTCCGTGATGAAGGTTTCGGAAGAATCGGTCGTTTGGTTGCTAGAGTTGTTCTTCAGAGGGATGATGTTGAACTCGTCGCTGTTAACGATCCGTTCATCACCACCGAGTACATGGTTCGTTTTTCGTTTCCCTTCGCTACTGGTTCGATCTGGATTGGTTTAGTATCGTTTTGATCTGGATATGACGCCAAGTCGTTTCAGATTTATTTGAACTGGAATATCGAATCAATTAAATTTTCAAGTAGTATACATAGATCTGACTCCGGTTTGATCCATACCTCGTCTATGCATGTTCATGTGTGACTTAGTTCGATAAGTTCGAGGATTAATTATGTATCGATAAGCGTTTCTAATTGATTATGTTTGTGGTATCGAATTTGGTTGCAGACATACATGTTTAAGTATGACAGTGTTCACGGTCAGTGGAAGCACCATGAACTTAAGATCAAGGATGACAAGACTCTTCTCTTTGGTGAGAAGCCAGTCACTGTTTTCGGCATCAGGTACATAATCATTGTCGATTTTTATATCCTGTGTGTGTGTGTCTGTTTTAGTATTGAAACTTGTGAAATTCCTATTGCTGATGTTTTACTTTTGAAGGAACCCTGAGGAGATCCCATGGGGTGAGGCTGGAGCTGACTTTGTTGTTGAGTCTACTGGTGTCTTCACTGACAAGGACAAGGCTGCTGCTCACTTGAAGGTTTGACTTTGGATTTTGTTCACCATATTATAAATTATTTGAGCACTTGTTTATGAGATCTTATATCATCATATTGTTCATTTTTACTCAGGGTGGTGCCAAGAAGGTTGTCATCTCTGCCCCAAGCAAAGATGCTCCCATGTTTGTTGTTGGTGTCAACGAGCATGAGTACAAGTCTGATCTTGACATTGTTTCCAACGCTAGTTGCACCACTAACTGCCTTGCTCCACTTGCCAAGGTTGCTTTTTCTCCTTTAACCTGTGAAATTATGAAATATGTTCTGACTTAAGTTAATTTATGCCTCGCACTGTATTGAAATTTGCAATTTTGTTTGTGTAGGTTATCAATGACAGGTTTGGAATTGTTGAGGGACTCATGACCACTGTCCACTCTATCACTGGTACGTATACATTACTTTGTTTCCATTTGGTTGGATCTTGAAAATGTATTGCCTTTTACTGTAACTTTGTCGCAATAACAACTGTTTGGTTTGGTTATTTAGCTACACAGAAGACTGTTGATGGTCCATCGATGAAGGACTGGAGAGGTGGAAGAGCTGCTTCCTTCAACATTATTCCTAGCAGCACTGGTGCCGCCAAGGTAAATTTCATCTTATGCTCTTGTGTGTGTTTACAAACAGTTTTTTTTTTTTTTTGTTAATTTTGACTGAAAAGTTGTTCTGAATCTAATTTGTATTGTGGTTGTTGTTAGGCTGTTGGCAAAGTGTTGCCATCCCTCAATGGAAAATTGACTGGAATGTCTTTCCGTGTTCCAACCGTTGATGTCTCAGTTGTTGATCTCACCGTTAGACTTGAGAAAGCTGCAACATACGACGAAATCAAGAAGGCCATCAAGTAAGAACCGTTGACTGACACTCACTCTAAGCAACATTTTATAAGTTGATTCAAGTACTTACTATGTTTCTGGTTAAATATTCTCAGGGAAGAATCTGAAGGCAAAATGAAGGGAATTTTGGGATACACTGAAGATGATGTTGTGTCTACCGACTTTGTCGGTGACAACAGGTAATGATTATCTACAGATTGATACAGTTTCACAGGGGTCTTGTAAATAGCAAGAGCAAAAAACATTGAACATTTTGGTTTGTGCGTTTAGGTCAAGCATATTCGATGCCAAGGCAGGGATTGCATTGAGCGACAAGTTTGTCAAGTTGGTGTCATGGTACGACAACGAGTGGGGTTACAGTTCTCGTGTGGTGGACCTTATCGTTCACATGTCGAAAGCCTAAGTTGACGCCAGAGAAGAGTTCGTGTGTGTTGAGTCGTTTCTAAATAAAAATGGGAAAAGGGAAAAAAACACTCTGGATTGTCCAAAAAGAGTTTGGTTTAATGTTCCTATGTTTTTTCACTGATTTCATGCTCAGTCATGAGAATTTGTAGCATCTTTTTTTGCTTTCTCTTAATGTTTCTTGCTTTTTAGCCAAATGGGTTTCTTCACTGAAAATACTGTTCTGGTTATTATGTTAGTTTGCGTTTAGTTATGGTTTCTTTTTTCCTGGTTTTATTCAATGTTACACTAGCTAATGCAATCGGCATTGGCAAATCAACACCTATTGGACTCGCTTATTGGAACATAAAACACCAAAGGCACACCAAATAATGGATAACTACGAAATTGGAAACAAATAATGTTTTCGCTTATGACATTTAGAATTCGATTGAACCCATAAAATTTGGGGAAAAAAATATTCCGTTGCCGGGCTTTGAACCCGGAAATTCGGCAATGAAGACGAAATTAACCATCGTAGTACAACGGATCTTTTGTTAAACCATAAACTTATATTATACAAAACCACCGAATTGGTAGGCTTTAAACTTAGAAGTTGATCAGTCCTCAATATAAATTTAACCGTGCAACAATTTTTTTTGTAAAATTTATATTTGCAAAAGGATAGTTTTCATATTTAGATATGGTTGCAGATTACAGGGTTGACACAAAAAGGTTAATAGATGGAACCACGTTAAAAGTATTAATTTCAGATTACATTCAAAATAGTAAAATACAAAGACTTTAAATCATACATCAAAATAACAATATAAGAATAACAATATAACTTTTATTCTTGAGTAATGCATTTAAGAGATACACAAACCAAACATAATTCTAGAAATTCAGACCGGAACCTTTGAGTTTCTCCTCGGTGATCATATCGATCTTGTTCTCCATTTCAGGAGTCACATAACTCTTCCAGCTACCTACTTCTCCTTTACGAAAATAAGTCTTGTAATCAACTCCACCCGACGCTCCGGTTTTGTTGATCTCCAAACTGCTTAGATTACTTAGAGAGCAAAGTTCCAAGATCTTGTCTACAGATCCGCTATCTTCCTCTTCCTTAGTGAATGGACAATCCAAGAAATCTGCTAGCCTCTTCAGCTGAGTACGAGGCTCCGCTTTCAGATCCTCGTACATCAGGAAAAGAACATGCTTAGGATCTTCCAAGCTGCCTCGCCAATAGCTCAGGGCATGGTCCCAAAAGGGGCCGTATAGGGTAACCCCATTACAGACTGACTCAAACATAGCCTCGAAAGAGTAATCCTCCACTCGAACGATCTTTTCCTTTTGGCTAAAATCATTCCATTCTACTCCCTTGTTGGCGTTGAGGAAATGCCAAAGAGACACCAGCACGTCTTTCAAGTTCCTGCACACGTACACGATCTTGCAAGGAGACTCTTTCAAGGGTACTTGAAGCACATGCAAAGGCATGTGAGTTGAGAACAATCTTGGAGATGATGATGATGATAAGAACTTGGTCAAGTCCGGTTTTGAGGTTTTGAGATACAGATCGAGCTCGAGATAAGGCATTACCTCATGAGGATTATGAGATAGCAGAGGATGATGATGATGATCTCCCAAAGGGTGTTTTGATCGTTGAACTAGTGCAAATGTGAGTGCCTTGAGCCAAGTCGTGCCACACTTGGGGAAAGAAGCGACAATTACATCGGTTTCTTGTGGCTTAAACCCGGTGTTGAGATTGGGGATTGATTGGAGAATGTCTTCGTAGTACCAATGTCCTTCGTATTTGAACAGCTTGTTCCCAATGTAATCTATCTCCCAAGAAAGTGAAGAGATCAAATCTTTGGTTTCTTCTTCTTCTTCCCTCAAGTTTCTTGGATTGTCTTTCTCATCCATTTTTTTTGCTGTCGTTTATTTATTTGGTCTTGCTTCGTATATTTTTGATATATTGCAACCGCAAAGTCATTATTTATAGTTGTGCTTGTGGCTTGAAAACTCCATTATAACGTTAATGATGGAAATAAATGGTTGGATTATTATATACTAATACATACGTATCTAACACTCCTAATATGCCTTTTCGTACATAAAAAAAGCCACAACGTCCATTTCAATGGTTGATCAGTTACGTTGGAAATTAATATCACTTCCCTTAATTATAGGAAAAAAAAAAAACATTTGTTGATCTATCATTAAGAAACTTTGGATTGATCATAATTATTTAAAAGTGTTCTTGGAGTTTAGCCCAAAATGAAAAACAAAGACTTATAATATTTAAAGGCTTTCTTACTACTAGTAGAAGTATATATATATCTATACCATAATTTATACAAACTAGTTTTTTTATATAGAGCTTTTTTGGGTGGTGTTTCACTCTTCATTACAATATGCACGATGCAAAGACAAGAAAAACATTTTTATGGTTGATCAGTTAGTTACGTAGGAAATTAATATCACTTCCCTTAATTATAGGGGAAAAAAACATTTGTTGACCTATCATCAAGAAACTTTGGAATCCAAAGTTTGGATTATCAATCATAATTATACAGATATCGATTAGAATACAATCCCACATCGGTTGGGATTGTGAATCCTTGGGTAATATATATGTGATGTAGCAATCATTTTCCCTTGAGCTAGCTTTTGAGATTAGTTAGCCACATTACTAATAATATCACCATTTTTTTAGTAGAAGAAGGGTAAAGAAGTACGTGCTACTCTAACTTATCCCAACAATGCTCATTGCTTCTCGGGGTTTTAGTAGACTCCTTTGAATCATCCACCCCCTCTAACTTAATGCATTGAGATTGATTCAGATAAACGATACGTTGTTGGCTCCTCTAATTTTAGTTTTCTTTTGTCCTGTGAGATGTTAAAAGGAAAACAAGACAATAGTTTCAGAGATTTGGCTTCGAAAACATTGCAAAATTTCAATACTTTCAAATAAATGGGAAAGAGAGAAATGCAACTTTTTTTTAATACTATTTATCAAAATACTTCGTCGTGGATGATGGACATATCAAATATCAAAAGCCTCCAGCTAAAAGAATCTCTAAAAACTCTATCATGTTATCTTCTATGGATTCCATGTTTGTTAGTGTTTTAAACGCAAGCTTTTCGCAGACTTTCTATGTGGACCTTTTGTTTTCTATCCAAGATATTATTATATAGATGAAATCAAGATGTTTTTCTTATTTTTCTCTTTGTTGTGTAAAACCTGGTCTACTTTTCCTTACTACGTACACAGGAAATATATTTTGATTGCGGTAAACCCTTTTAAACAACTATCGGATCTTTACAATGACACAATATAAAGGCTGAGCAGCCTTGGGAGAATTGAGTCCCCATCCATTTGCAGTTGCAGATGAAAGCTTACAGGTATCTGCTGCTATTCAGGTTTCAAGGTTGTTGAATTTTTTTCATCTTCCATTCATCATTGGTTGTTACCTGCTTGCACATTTTGTGGAGCAGGGAAGACTGAGACTGCTAAAATGCTTCTGAAATATCTGACCTTGTGGATTACTAATGGGTTGCTTTCTGATGTGGATTACTAACTATACAAACGATCTTTTTTATATGACCTGCTTTCTGTTGCCAAGCTTTTGAATCCGGAGTTACAGCAAAGAGACACCAACACTCAACATTGTCTTTCAAGTTCCTATAAAAGTACACAACCTTGCAAGGACAATTCTTGAGACTCTCTTGCACTTTGCAGTATATGCAATGGCATGCGGGAGAGGATAGCCTCGGATATTAATATGAAAACTAGGTTAAATAGTCCAATCTGGACAAAATCGCTTTCTATAAGATTATATAAACTGTTCTTGAAGTTCGTCTTCGTCATCAACAAGGATGTTGAAGCTCTTCAGGTCTCTCAAGATCATCTGTAGTTCCTCTGTTCGAGGATGCTTTTCTCCCGAAGAATAAAACTTCACTAAACCATCATCAGTCTCAATCCAGCTTACACCTGCTTCTTTCTTAAAGCCTGTGTCTCTCATTGCAACTTTTAGCCTTGCAACATCGTCAAATCTTCCTAGTTCTCCATATATGTTTGAGAGCATCACAAAATTAGCTGGGTTTCTTGGTTCAAGCTTGATCAACTCTACAAGAGCAAGTTCCCCAATGTCCACCTTCTTATAAACCTTTGAAGCTCCAAGTAGAGTAGCCCATATAACAGCATCAGCTTTTACCGGCATCTTGTTAATAAACTCAACAGCTTGTGTTAAAAATCCAGCCCGAGATAGTAAATCCACTACACAACCACAATGCTCAATCTGAGGCGTGACTGAGAAATCAGTAATCATGGAATTGAAATAAGCCAAGCCATCTTCAACCAAACCCATGTGTTTACAGGCACATAAAACACCGACGAATGTGACCTTGTCAGGTCTAATTCCGCAGTTTTTCATCTCATGGAATAAATCTAAGGCCTCCGTTCCATGTCCATGTGCAGCTAAACCATTGATCATCGTATTCCAGCTTATCAAATCTCTTCTCTTTATGCTTTTGAAGACTTCCATACCTAGCTCTATAGCTCCACATTTTGCATACATATCAATCAAAGCATTCTTAACGTTTACATCTACCTTATTATACCCAAGACTCTCTCCATGCTGATGTACCCATTTCCCGAAATCAAGAGCTCCTAACTTTGCACAAGCTGACAGTACTAAAGTCAATGTTGCGTCGTTAGGGACAACATCCTCTTCATCTACCATTCTCTTAAAATAATCCAACACTTCAGAAACCCTCCCATTTTGAGCCAGACCCTTGATCAAACCGTTCCAAGAGAACACATTTCTCTCTGGCATTTCATAAAAAACCCTTCCACATGCTTCCATATCTCCAATATTTGCATAACCCTCTAAAATCGTATTCCACGACATGACATCCCTACAGGGCATTTGATCAAAAAGACTCCTAGCGTCCACTATATTCCCCATTTCAATGTAACCAGATACCATAGTGTTCCACAACACAATGTCTCTCTCAGGCGACAAATCAAAAAAGCGTCGAGCAGAGACTAAGTCCTTCTTCAAAAGATATCCATTGATCATCAAAGTCCAAGTAACCACATTTTTCTCAACCATCTCACAAAACACCTTATTCGCCAATGCTATCACACCTGCACAGGAGTACATCTCAATCAACTTAGTTCCTAAATAAGCATTCGACCTAAACCCTGTTTTGATCGAAAAGCACTGTAACTCCTCTCCCTGTCTAAGATCCCTAACCATCACGCAAGCTTTTAAAACTACAGGGAGAGTAAAGCAATTGGGCATCACATCCAAGCTTCTCATTCTCTTGTACAACAGCAAAACTTCTTTGGACAAATCTCTTTGCGCATACCCATTGAACATAGCGTTCCAAACAGAAACATTCGGTTGAGAGATTCCGTCGAACACCTGGCGTGCGTAACCAATCCTCGTGATTCGGCAACAAGCGGCAACGATTCTCGGACCGACGTAATCATTATGTGCTAACTCGTGACTTACAGTTTGTGACTGGATTTGAAGAAGCTGTTTCTGGGTTTTACATGACTCCAAGAAAGATATGAGCTTCTCTTCCAAAAGCCTCTTTGGTGATTTATAAGCTGAAACTAGAGAAACCCTCGCAATTTTCGATATTTCAAGAACAGATTCTTCACGACTGAAATAATAAAGTATGAGTCTTTCTTGAGAAAGCTGAAACTGTTCCGATTTAGCGCCTTGAGTTCATCATCATAATCAGATTCCCAAAGCGGAGGACTTTAAGACAAAAGTCAATACCTTCTCAACGACTTCGAAGGTTAGATAACTAACTATGACTTATTTGTGTCGGCTGTACCGGTCATAACCGGATTTTATTTGATTTCAATTTTGTAAACCGCTCCTTAATTTCCGGTTCTGGTTAGTTAATATAATATATATATTTTTTCTTTTAAACAAAGAGATTTGCTAATAATAGTTTCGCGTATCTATGATCGCTCTTAATTATCGTAAACCAAAACTACGCAGCCTAAAATATTAGGAACGATGTAGCTATGAATGAACCTGCGTTGCATTACTTAATGAAAACATACCTAAAATAAACAAGCCTATATGATATCTATAACAGGTTAAAAGCAAAGTAAAGGCTTATAGAAATGTGTAAAGTAGAGATGGGCGGTGTCATTGTTTAGGAACAGAAGATGCATGCAGCAGCCGTATTCTAATATTGCAATCGGTAATTGAACCCTAGCTAGCTATATATGTTATGTATTCTAACTTTTGTATAATTTGCATAAATAGATAAAAGTTTTGCTTTCCATTTGGAAGCACTTCTGATTTTGTTTTCCCCAACTTACCATTTCCCTCTCAATTAATTATACAAGTCTCATGTTTTTTTTTCCCTTTTTTGTCATCTTTTCATGTAATTCTGAGTTTTAATATGAGTTGAGTTTGTACTCTATATAGATATATGTAGACGCCCACCTATCATCTAATGTTATGTCACTACTTCGAAAAGAAATATATATAAAATATATCTTTATGTGTACGTATGTAGATCTACAACCATGTATGCATATAAAGATGATCTACAACAAGAAACTTGCTAGAAATTACAGTGCACAACCTTGCTAGATATGGATGATTCGGTTTAGGAAGAAAAATGCACATTTACATGCATGTTAATTTAAATAGTTTTTTTCTCAAAAAGGAGACATTATGAGTGGTTCACAATATATGTGTGAATACACTTGTATATAGGAGTAGGGTAGAGTTGAAATTGAGGAGCAAAGCTATGAAATGGGTAAAAAGCTGATTTAAGGGAACGGGTTTGTAATCGACAGACTGAAACAAAAGAAACTTAACTGCATCAATGAGTCCTTCCACAGTTGTGTCTATGTCTCAGACCAACTAATAATTTTTTAATAAGCCTAACTTATTCGCATACACATATCTATATTGATCCACTCAATCTCTCTCCTTTCGCTTTCTCATTATATGTTTATTCTAAAGTATACATATACATACATAGATGCCTTTTGGGAAGACTGTAAATACAAATTTAGGGTTTTAGCCCTTCTTTCACAAATCCATGATATATTTCTTCTTTTCATGTGTACATAGCTCTTTTTCTCCTTTTATCATACAAACATGCTTGACCTTCAGATCATATGTTCTCTCTCTATCTCTTATTGATCACTACTTTTGACTGAGTTTTTAACAAGATACAAAATTTTACTTTTTATTTTCTAGACTTTCTTATTTTTGCAATGTAAGTTAATTTATACAAACTGTACCCTAGAGTAGCCGTATATATATGTACATACTGTAATGTTTGGAAAAAAACAAATCTGTCTACATGTCACTATTGAAGTATATAAGACAATGAATTATTCATCCCGAAGGTGGTAGATAAATTGAGTTAATAGCATTATCATCGGAGATGAGGTTTCATCGAGTCTGTTTGGTCATTGCAGTGTTGCAAAATAAAATAACGTAACTAATTACGAGTAGTCTAAAATATGTTATTGGTCACCGACAAGTAAAATAAGTACCGATTATTCTAAATTTCATTTAGAGAGATGTTCCAATAACGTTACTAATGAGAAAAAAGTAGCAAAAGAAGAAAAAATGATTAATTCAAATAATTTTCAGAAGACATATATACGTGTAGTCTATCGATAAATTGGCTAAGCGTGCAGACAAATAATTCAACTGTAAGAGAATAGAAGAAGAACAAAATTGCTTAACCAGAGGACGAATATTAGTTACAATTCAACTAGATGAGTTCCAAATCTAACTTATTTCATCTCTCCTCTCTCTCTCTCTCTCTCTCTCTCTAGCTAGTCACTCCAGTTCTGTTTCTTTTTTTGGTTCCTCCAGAAAGAAATATATATATATATATATATATATAACGATAAAACACCCGATGTGGTGTGGTCTCACAAAACAGCTCCAAGACAAGAGTAGATGATAAGGAAAAAAACAAAATGAAAATAGATAAAAGCTGCTCATTCATACAAAATACAATCTTCTTACATAACCCCAAACAACACTCCCGCTCCAATTTGCATTGCACTTTTTGTCGTTTTCATTTACTTTGTCACGTCTCTTTCAATATTCCAACAAAAACTATAGATAAAAATTTAAACACTTGATGGAGAGAGTTTAACATTCAATAAAAATCCAAATTTAGAAAAGGGAAAAACTAGAAAAAAAGGAATTACATTTGTTTTCATATTTAATATTAATATATCATAGACCATGATGTGGAGGTAGAGGTAGAGGTAGAGGTAGATGAAGTGAAGGAGCAACTCTAGAACCATTAGCCAATGGTGCACCCATGAAGGTGTAGCTCGAATCAGCTAGTGCACGACCACTGCAAACACTATTTGTTAGGGTTTGCTGACGCGTAGTGTTGTTGCTTAGGTAGTAGTCGTTAGTGTTATGTTGAGAAAACGATGAAGATGGTGGCGGAGGAGGATAAAGATATGGTGGCTGCAGCTGCCGAGACGGTAGGGCGGAGGAGGAGAGTGAGAAATGTCTTGGTGGATACATCATTGGTCTGAATGGTGTTATTACGTCTCCTATATGCACATCTCCTTGATGATAACTATATATAACAAATCAAACTGTGACACAACGCTGTTTCTAGTGAGGTAAAATGTAAAATGAGCTAAGACTTGTTCAAGAAAAGAGAAACTTAAAGTACCTAAACGATGAAGGTCCTTGGTGAGGAGGAAAGCTATCGTTGCGAAGAACAAGTTCACGAGCTTTGTTTAGTGACTCAGTCTCTCTTTCTAATTAATTATCCAAACACAAATCAATAAAATGGGAAATTTTATGAGTAGAGATATATGCAAACACATACATATACTTTTACTCTTTAGATAAGAATGGGATCTTGCCTTGACGGTGGCGGTTCATATGGCCACCGAGAGCTTGAGATTTGAAGAACTTGAGTGAACAAAATCTACATTCATACTCTTTCCCATCTTTGGTTTGCTTCTCCCTAAAACCTCCTACTCAATAATAAAATCGAATTCTGTAATTAGATTTTTACTGATTAACTAATATAGCCAATTATACTTCTAATGATTATAAGAACAAAACATTTTTGGTTTCCAAACCTTAATTAGTTGTTATTGTTTTTACTTACTCTAGCTAGTATCCATTATTACAAGAAAATCACCCAAGGCTAAAAGTGAAGAGATTACTTAGAAAATTATAGAAAAATCTAGAGTAATGTGTACCAGAAGAGGAAGAGGAAGATGAGCCTTCTTCAAAAAATGGGAAGCTGTCTCTACAAGGATCATTAGGTAAGTTATTGAGATCTAAAGTGTTATTATCTTCAGCCCTCCTGCAATTTTTTCACATTAGAAACTTTTTAGAATACCTATTTAGTTGGATAGAGATAATAAGAGAGATATAGAGAGAATGAAGCAAGGAGAGAGAGAGAGAGAACATACATGTTTAACAAGAAGACAGGAGAGAAGAAACTATCTAAGGATAAAGACCTGAGAGAGCGAAGATGGAGATAAAGAGAGCTTTGTCAAAAAAAAAGTTTATCACTTAATTTCCCTTTCTCTTTTTTTTTTCTCTCTCTCTCTCTTTAGAAATGAGAAAATTGAGCATGGAACTCAAAGTGGAGGGCTTTGTGACTTTTATGCAAGAGGACTATAGCTTGAGGGGACATTATGGGTCAAGGTATCCCTTACTATATATATATGTATATAACAACAAGATGTCCAATTTTAGATAAAATGATTGCTATCAATTTTGTGTTACTATTATATAGATTGATTTTTCATATTTAATTTATTTACCATCCTTTTTTAACTTTAACTATTTCTGCATTCTTCTAATTAAACAACTAATTAAACAATAATTACTAGGACCAAGAGTTTGGTTTGTTATAAGTTTCTTGACTAATTTTGAAACATAACGTATCTGTCATATAGGTTTTCGTGCAGATTTATTAACAAACAAAAAAATAACATATACGAAGACTAAATATAGGTACATGAACAAAACTAAAATATGCTAAGCATCATGAAATTGATATGTTAGTGAAAAGACCAGTTCCAAAACCTATTTTTTCTCAAGTCACTTTCGAATTTACATATCGTAACTGTAGAGTCAGTACGAGTTTGAATCAAAATCTCACAGTTCCAAAAAAAGAACAAAAGAAGCTTTTATTTTGATTAAACACTTTCAATTTTAGCAATTTTCTCCAAGTAATTTGGAAATATATATATAGTGCTGAAACACACCTTTTGTCTAGTACGAAAATTCATATTTCATTCAAAATATTATAATTAGGTTGATGTTGAAAACAATAGTCACGAAGGAACCTCTTTCCTAGAGGTTGACCGAAACATATATGATACGTAATATACTAGTAACATATCAACACACTGATGGCAAGTAGGAAACGAAAGAAGAGTGTGTACATACTCCAAAACTAGTTTTGATAGTAAATTCTTATTTTCTCTTCTGCTATTCAGAAAATAATTGGCCAAGATAGATATACCAAATTAGGCATTTTTTTTTTTGCAATATACTTCTACACAAATGAATTCACATTTATACCAAGAAAAGAAATATTCCTATATATAAATTCTCACTCCTTTAAATGCCGAAAAGAAGTTACAGAGAAATTTAAGAGAAGCCCTGAAATTTAGAGATGAGGCTGAAGGCAGCAGTCATTACTCTTATTCATTATGATCTCTGATCTGTAGGTAGCTGTTACATTGGTCCCCCTCAGAACATATTAAAACTTTACTAATTACAAGTATCAGCTTTGTAAATCGTATACATATCAATTACTATATTAGTATAAGTTGTAGAATTTCTTAGGTTTCGCTTATATAAGAAATTTAAGGATAAATACAAAGTTTAAGAACCAAAAAACATTTGCCTAACCAAAAGAATCAATTAAGAACATCACTCATCTTTGGATTCAGCTGAAAGTAGCAGGGAGAAAAGAAGCTATAAGTAAACTTGACTTATCGCTTCTTTTAGATTGTGCCGATACATCAAAGCTTCTTGTTGATATTTGGAACTTTTTTTTGTCTCCAAATTGCTTCAACGTAACGTTGGGATATATAAAATATACAATGTTCTACAAAGCCCATTGGCCCATAGCTACGTAGTCCCCAAAGTTAATTAATCTAGATCTAGTAGAACCAGAATACGACTCAAATTGAACAAGAGAACTAAGACCATGCAAACATCAGATTGGTCAAACAAACGAAGTAGAGTTAGAGGATCAATGTGCAGCCAAAGATTTGAATATTTCATATTTGAGAGAGGGACTTTTAGCTATAGAGTGATTACTTTTATTTCCTCAAAAGCAATTAATCCTACACACTGAAACGCACAATCCACAGATCAAAATTGCTAGACAACTCAAAATTACACAAACCTAACATTATGAGTTTACGGATTCATTACGGATTCCATAATTTTTACGCCCAGCCCGCCATCCTTTTATAAATCTAGTAAATATTGTCTATCGTTATTTTCACAAAAATTTTTAGTTATATGCCACCGTTGTTTTTTGTAAATCTAATAACTATTGTCATTGTTATTTTCTTAAATTTGTATCACGTACCATTGTCATCTTTATAATTTTAAGTTTCCTTTTATTTCATTTTTAATGTTTATAATTTTGTTTTTTCTTACTATCACCACTTTTATTAAATCTAATAAAGTCCCGCAATAAGCGGAAACAATTTATTTCCATAATTTTTAAATTTCTCACCGCCGTCATTTTTTAGCACGTGCTGCCTTCATTTTTATCATTTAAGTTGTTTTATATTATTTTATTTCCGTAATTCTGTCATTTTTCAACGCCGTCATCTTTATTACGCGCCGCCATCATCTTTATCATTTTATTTCAGTAATTTTGTCATTTCTCAACGATGTCATCTTTATTACGCGCCGCCATTATCTCATCTTTATCATTTTATTTCCATCATTTCTCACCGCTGCTATTTTTATTAAATTTTGTAATAAAAGTAATCCCGTGTTTAGTTGCCACTATTGGGGTTTGCAACCCTAATATTATCATTATTATTTCTCTAGTTTTTTAATTACACACCAAACAAATTTTACCATTGTTAATTTCACACCGATGTGAGTTTTATAACAATAAAACCTAAAATCTAAAGAATGTAAGGTATAATTTCCGAAAGTTTTTCAAAAAAAAGTGTTAGTTAACTTGCTAACCCTTGTAGTCAGATACTTAGAACACAAATATAGTTCAGTTATAAAACTAAATGTATCATGTAAGTTATTTCATAATACTTTTCTAAAGACATGATTGAAGATAAGTAGAAAACTTCATCTATAGTTAAGAAAAAATATATATAATATTGATAGGATACACTAAAAATTGATTATTGATGTAAATTCATGGTAAAGCTTGCAATATAATCCTGATTTTATTTCTATGCATAGAATAGAACAACTGTAAATATGTAATGTGTTTTTAGAAAGCTAAACTTTTCCAAAATACTTCATAAATTTCACAAGACAAATGGCGACATGCGGTAAACTAAAAAGAAGAAGAATCCATCTTTCTGTAAGAAAGATATCATCAATTTTTGTTAGAAAATAAAATCTAGAAATTTAATATTTTCAAGTATTCAACCATTTTACCCATTTTAAGGAAAATAAACAAGTTGTATGAAACCGTCTGTGGCTTATCTTTTTCATCAAAAACTCTCCAAATGTTGATTAGAGATTAGTGTAATAAAGTAAAAGAGATTTGTAAGTAAAAAAAATAAAAATTTGATATAATCTCGTCGGTGACATTAATAACCCCAATTGAAAGATATTTACGAGGACAGAGTCTGGTTAGGCACCGCCTTTTGTACCCAAAAAAAAAAAAGCCAAAATCTAAAATGAAACTGAAAGCTTTGTTGTAATCTTGTACAAATAAAACATAAGTGTATATGGTTTCATTAAATGTTTTTAAATAAAATTAAAGTAGTGAATTAAATGTTTTAAACTAAAACAAGCGTTTTGCTCTAAACACAAGACAATTTATTAATTGACACATACACAGACACACAAAAAGAAAGAAAGAAAATAAATATTATTTGCCTTGTAAGAAAATCAGGAAAATAAATAAATAAATACATGATTCCATAGCTTTGTTGTCTGCAGGTTTCTCTCTTTCATCTCTTCTCAGATCTCTCTCTCTCTCTTTGCTTCTTCTTCTTCTTCTGCTCAAGCTTCAAGCTTTCGAACGATCTCTCTTCTCTTTTCACCTCCAGGTATCTTTCTTGATTCGTTTTCATTTCGGATCAAGAATTGACCTAGATCTTGGATCTCTAACAATTCTTGATTCTTTTTGTTGTTCTTGTGTTTTGATCGTAAAACAAAACATCAAGTTTAGTTTCTGTTTCTTCTCGATCTATGCTAATTTTTGTCTAAATTTTCATAATTAATGAATTAATGAACGTATCACTGTTATAATTTAGACTTTTTCTCATGAATACTTTCTTTTTGTTTGTTTGAGTTTTACTTATTCTTAAAAAATTACAAAAAATCTGTCTCTCCACTATGATCTTGACATCATTCACTATAATGGCAAAAAAAATTAAAATAATATGGAATATTAGTCAAGTGGCTTATTCCTTCTTACCTTACCATTCTCTCTTTAATTAAATTTAATCAAACCTTAATTAAATCTGCTTATGACCAGATCTCCATAAAAAACACGTTACCATTTGACCACCTCTTCTCTTCTCTCTTCCCTTATCTTTTTTTCTTTTTTCCATTTATATATATCATTTTTTCTCAATCTTTCAATCTCTTTTTATTCTCCTTTGGTGTGTGTGTGGTTTTTGATTGATTCTTGTGAAAGCAGCAAGAAAAAGGAAAAGATGATGAACAGCTGTGGAGTCCAACAAAACGCTTTTGAAGAGATGAGGAGAAACGCCGCCGTGAATGATCGCAGAGACGCCGTGATTTGTCCCAAACCTCGCCGTGTCGGTGTTCTTAACCACCACTCTTCTCGATCTCTCCGTTGGCAACTCAAGTAAGAGACTTTTTTCTATGATAAAGTTCATCACTTTGTTTTCTATTATAAAGTTCATAACTTTTGGTTGAGAAAACATTTCAAAGTTCTGATTTTTATTTTGGGTTTGTGTTTTTGGTTTAGTCATCAGATGGAGTTATGTGAATCGAATTCAGGAAGCGAGATTTTGGATTTCATCCTCGCAAAGGTATATAATTCAATAACGATCCTTTTGCTTTTGTAGCTCTGTTGATTAATATCTAAAGTTTGGATTTTTATTCCTCTGTTTATGTGATGATGTGTTTTGCAGGGTGGTTGTGGTGATCAAGATCAGACGATGACGTCTCCTTTGTTCTTCACAGGGTCACCACCAAGTAGAGTTTCTAACCCACTAACAAAAGACTCACTTTTTCGACAAGAGCTTCTCGCGGTGGCTCCTCAGGCTCCGTCGACTCCTCGGGGTACCCAACCGCAGCCGCCGTCTTCTCCAAGGAACGGAAGCTGTGTCAGGGCAGCGGCGAGCTTCGGGAACAATCCACAGGTTCGTGTCGTGGGATTCGACTGTGACAGACGCAGCCGCAACCGTAGCATTTCGACTCTTGCATAAAGAGCAAGTCCAAGTATATATATATATATAACAACAGAGAAGGCTTAAAAAGAAAAGGATTAGGAATTGATTATGGATATTAATAATATATGATGGGATGGGTTTTTGTTGATTAAAATGTGTAAATATCTTGGATAAACAAAAGTTGGGGGAGGGATTGTTATAAAAAATTAGGGTTTTTGGGTGTCAAATTTCTAAGGAATTTTGTAATTAAGATAAAAAAGTTGGGTGGAGAGAAGAGAGAGTGGTTTAGTTTGGGTGTCTTTATTATTAGTGAAAAAAATAAGAGCATAGTGTTTCTTCCTTATTGTAACAAAAAGGAAAAAGCTCGAAAGAGTTTTGAAATGTGAAGATATCATTTCTACCCTCTCTTTTTTTTTTGTGTATCTTTGTCTCTCTCTCTTTTTTACAGATAGATGTGTAAATTTCCAAAGGAGTTGATCATTTTGCTAGGAGTATCTCTCTATGGACTACTAGTTCTTGTTTTGTGACAAACATTAAGGTGATGATGAAATTGTATATTATGGTTTCTTTACGTTCTTAGAGTTTCAATGTATGTGTTATCGATCGTGATCTCACTATCTTTTTACCATAAACGCTACGTTACTTACAAGTTTAAAGTTATCTTCATACTTTACCATATAAGCTATGTTACTTCAAGTTTTAAATATTCATTATACTTTACCTTTATACACGATGTTATTTAAAGTTAAAATGTTCTTTATACTTTACCACATACGCGATGAATTGTAAACTTATCGTTTTCACGTACTTAGAGTGTCAATGTATGTATTACCGTCATACTGTGTGATTTCACTAATTTCTACCATATACGAGATGTTACTTAGGTTTAAATCTTTTTATATACTTTACCACATACGCGATGTTACTTAAATCTATACACAATGTAAAATGATTCACTCAATGCTATATTGTTGAATCCAAAAGAATTGTACTTGTAATAGAGTTAAACTATTTTAGATAACGAAACAAAATACAAGTCAGCAACATTGTCCACAGTTCAACAGTTTTCTCTTCATGATTAATGTATTACTATATGTAAACGGAGTACTCACAATTGTTCAAGATTTGCATTAATTAGTGTATAAACATACTTTGTTCAACATATGTATTGAAAGTATTTTGGGAAGTTATTAAGTCGGGAAATGTTACTTAATTTCTCCTTCTGGTCATAGAGTTTTGCATCAATCAATAAACTATACAATCTCCTTTGGTCATACAATTTGCTTCAAATATATAGCGAATATAAGTCTATAAACTAAGCTGCCTTGCAAGAAACAAAAAGGAACATCAAATAAAATAAAATCAAATAAACGAAACTTTAGAAGAGAAAAATGTAAAGATACATGGGCAGTTGTTAGAGGTACGGACCAGCCAAGTGACATGAGGACAAGTCTTTTATTTTTCCTTGTCTCCTCACCCCACCCGGATGATCTATTTCGATTCCTTTGTTTACATTTCATTACAGCTTGCACAAATTATCCAATTATTATACTATTTTCTTTTGTTTCGCTTTTTAAATGTGTCAATCGAAAAACAAAAACAAAATTACAAAATAAAAAGATGTGTCAATCAAACCCGAAAGATTCGTCAAACTTTGTGGCCGGAAATCTCGCTTGCTTTATTTCAAAACTTCACTGATTTATTCTAAGTAGCGTATCAAAAATATAAAAAAAACTAGTAAAGACAAAAAAAAAAAAAAAAAAAAAAACTGATTAAAACTCAATTAAACATGACACATATGTAACTTTCACCTGAAGTAGACAAAAGATGTACTATGCCTAGATTGTATCAATCACAATTTAGCAAATATGAAACATGTTTTTTTCATTATTCATATTCATACAATGCATATGTCTAAGGCAAACTTAGCGTTTGGATTTAAACTCAATGCATAAATTTTATTTAAAGTATACTAAAAGAATTTATGAATTTATTTCAAATTTTGTATAAGTAAACCTAAACATAAACAAGAATTAAGTTTTTTACATATGATTTTCCAAAAATGGAAACTCACTTCTCCTAACCTTTCTTCCTACCACACTCTGAAATTTAGACGACCCTCTTATAACCCAAATATATCAGGCTTTACCGTAACTTAAAATTGGCAAGATTCGGGCTTTTTAGCCCATTAAGCCCAGCTTCTTATAAAAATACCTTTACCCTTTTTTCTAACTTTTCCAAAAAGGAGAAAACACAAATTTCAAAAAAGCTTCCTCACGCGTCTCACACTATACGTGAAGCTTTTATACAAATCAACGCTTCAACGTGACAAACACGCGCTGTCTCGATCGTGTTCTTCGTTTCAACGACACTCACAGCTCGTGTTTTTTTTTTTTTTTTTTTTCCACTTTACTTACTCGTACCCAGCTCTCTCTCACACTTCTCTCCTCCACACTTGGTTCGTCGCCGGAGATAATGGGAGAAGGGAAGGCCTCGACTCTTGTTTTTATCCTCGTCGTCGCTCTTAGTTTAGTCGCCTTCGGCTTCTCCATAGCCGCCGAACGCCGCCGCAGCATCGTAAGAATCACTCTTCTCTCTCCCTCCGCTAGGGTTTTTAGTTCTCTGAGCTTCGATTTCTTAAATAATAATAATCATTAGGATGGTGCAGCTGAATATTTCTATATCTGGATTAGTTTCGTGGTTACTTGCAATTTAGCTAACATGTCTTAGATTTAGTAATGATGCCTATAATTTGAGTTCTTGATTTTTCAAGAATCAATTCAGAATCAAGAGATTGGAGAAATCTTCTCAGAAAATAACCATTTCTGAAAGCTATGTTCATGTTCTTGTAGACTGAGACTAGAGAAACATCTTTGTAACGAAGCAAACATATATAAAACTGAGTTTATGCTCTGTTGTGGCACTTCTTTAAGGTCTCCTCTTTTCTCTGTTTTTGTGTGGCAGGGAAAATCTATCCAAGACCCAATAACAAACATAACGTTCTGCGTATATGACTCTGATGTAGCCACTGGATATGGCGTTGGAGCTTTTCTTTTCCTCCTCTCTAGTGAATCATTGCTTATGGGTGTTACCAAATGCATGTGTTTTGGTAGACCTTTATCCCCTGGAAGTGACCGTGCTTGGTCTATTATCTATTTTATCTCTTCTTGGTAAGTCCCCATTACCTTAAAGACTATTGAATCAATGTATCTTCAAATTTAGCTTTAGATTTATTTCTAGTTTTGAAGCTTTGAAATATCAATAGATCAGTAATGTTAATATAGAAAACCCCCATTGTTTAATAGTCCCAATTTGACAAGTGTAGGATGACATTTCTGGTAGCAGAAGCTTGTGTAATAGCAGGAGCGACCAAGAACGCATACCACACTAAGTACTTAAGCTCGCAAACTTTCTCGTGTGCATCGTTGCGTAAAGGAATTTTCATTGCAGGGGCAGTGTTTATAGTTGCTACCATGGTCCTTAATGTCTACTACTACATGTATTTTACCAAGTCAGTCTCTTCACCACCTGCTCACAAAGCAAACCGTTCTGGTTCCTCCCATATCGGTATGGCGGGTTATGCATAGATGTCAAAAAAAGAAAACTGGTTAGTCATTTGTAGATTTAAGAAAAGAAAAGAGGCTGTTGCATTGTTACAATACTATATAATTATTTCTGCTTAGTTATGAAAATTTCCTGTTATTCCTTTCAACTTATGAGGTAATTTTCATTCGTGAGTAATGCATGTTTGTAATCATATTCATTACTATTTTAACTACCATATATATTTGATTGAAGGTAGTTAAATTTTTGTTCTAATGTACCGTCAATCTAAAAATGATCAATTGTCTCATGCCTGTACTGTGCACGAGTCTAAAGGGCTTCATAGAAAGGCATTTTCATAATCAAGCCCACTTAGACGGCGTTGACGAGTGTCAAAGTATTGGAATGAGGTTTTTTGGTTGAACTTGAACCTCTTTGTATAGTCTTCGATTTGATGTCCTAGTTTTAAAGGATTAGACAAAAAAGGACAAACAAAAAAAAAAGTAATAGAGGAAAAATATTCTCAAATGACGTGTCTTATACATTTTCGATGTAAAAATTAAATTGCATCTTCTAAAATTAGATAAAATACATGTTCAAGATCATTTACTTCTTTGTCTACATTTTAGGCCTCTCAATGTGTCTTGATTGTTTTTGTCAAAAAAAGAAAAGAAAAGGGTTGTCTCTATTGTGGGGAAATTAAAAATAGATTGAAATAAAGTCAACATATCTTAATTCCTAATCTACAGTATTTATATTCATATGGAGTATAATATGGTGTAGTATGTTAAAATTTCCATTAAGCATATATATATGATGATGATGATGATGATAGTAAGGAAAAAACAAAACAAAAGAGAAATGATTTACGCGCTTTCAATGGAGGAGTAAATAAAACAATACGTGCCGTTTTGGTTAAACCTGCACTAATCAAAAACCCAAAAAAATAAAAGCTGATTACAGAAATAAAAATAGGTCTCTCGATAGGTTTAGTTGTGAAAGCAACATAATCCAATTTAATAGGCTTACGAAAACAATAACGTTGGGTGCCTTGCTGAGTTAGGTGTTAGGTCATGACATTTCTTACATATCCTTTATTTAAAGTAATAGTTCTTACAATCCATCCAAAAATATATATACCCCAGCACTGAAACATTAGATTTTTAAAACAAAATATATATGATTGCTTGGTATTAAAATTGCTTTACATGTGATAAAAGAGAATTCGTAAAAAATTAAGGAAAAAACTAATATTTTAATTAAGGGATAAGTAAGTTGATCAAAAAAAAAAAAAAAAAAAAAATTAAGGGATAAGTAAATGGGACCTTTCTCTGTGAATTGTTCTCTACTTTTCCAAATTGGATACAACCTCTTCCTCTTTATTTTTCCATATTTCCGTGAAAGCTAAAGCATCGATAGAGGCATAGAGAGCCTTATAAGTCAATATCGTATAATAAAACACGATAATTTATAACTATTTTGTGTATTCAATTTTCTCTTTTATCTTTAAACAATTTCCAGCCTAATCATGCAATCACTTTTGTATTAACGAGTTATATGTAATTACGTAAACATATTCGATTATATTATAATATCATGTATGATGTATATCACGTACGTAAAAAATGACTTTTTCTTCTTTTTTTCTGAAAAAAGCATGAAATAACTTCTTTGTTATATATTTTGCCGTTTTAGCTATTAAATTTTATATTTGATGTGAGACCATCTATGATCTATATAAGCAATTAATCAATATTTGGTTATAGTACGTGGATCCAACGGCGACTGTTACGATGACGTGGTTTGGCCGAGACAACTTAACGGTCAAGATTACTCTATAAGATGTTAGATGTGGTACACGTGGACGTTCATGTACACGTCGTCTGCCTCACGCTGTCGGCTTTGAACTTTACTACACAATTTCATTATTATTTTTTAATCAAAAATATCCTACAAAGCTGAATGAAAAATATCAAGAAAACGAATGTTAGAGTTGAGAAACTTGAAACTACATAATATACAATTTTTTTGGTTCTTGAAATAAATATTTTTTCTTTATAATTGTTTTGTGTTATCGGTACGAGAAAACTCATGAAAAATGTTTAATCAAAAAGAAACTTTTGGAAATTTTTGCAGACGAGAAAATCTGAAAATTTTATTTATCAATTTATACTATATGGTGTATGTGGAAAAAAAATTAATGGATACGGACACATAATTTTCTTTAAAAAAACATAAGTTTCATTGTTTTCCATGGTACCAATATTATTATTAAGTGAATAATCAAAAATTTGAAGAGAATATTATAAAACTGTAAGGTGGAGAAGCAGAGGATGACTCCTCAATAGACAATAATCGTGGCGCTGACTGAAGAAGACACATAACATTGAAAGGGACGCGCACCTTGTTAACTTAAACCGTCCTCCTTCTACCAAATTCTCTTATTAGAAAATTTTATTTCCAACATGGCTCCATGATAATATATTTATTACTATATATCTTTTCATAATTTTGATGATTCTTTTTTTTGCTGACACGATTGCGCAATTAGGGGGCTCACCAATATATTTATCAGCTTCAAAATATATATATATATATATGTAAATTCGAACGAGAGTAAAGTGGTAAATAATTTATTTACTATGCCATTTAGGCCGATTGGTTAGGAGTATACAAACATTATGCCCCTTGCATCGCATCTATGGTCCCTTGTTTAACTATTTATTTTTGTTCCCACCTTTTTTTAATGTCGACGATACATACGCTCGAATCTATATATTTAGGCTGTTGACACGAAAAAAGAAAAACAATAATCAATATATTCTTTTTATATTCATGTCTTATCTTATAATTTTATTTTTTACTATTTTCATATAACTAAAGAAACATTAATATGCCGATTTGATAAAGTTTAGAAAAACCTATGATAAAATAACTTAGTTTTTTTGACAAAAAAAATAACTTACTTTTTATAAAATAAGTATTCTGATTGTTTTCTTAATGCTATTTAAATTTGAGTTTCTAGGATATTTTATGTTCTATAAATTTTAAGTTATTCTGAATTAATTTGTGGTCACCAATATAGTTAGGTGATAACGTTTTTTTATAAAGAAAACACAACTTTAAAAATAGAATGAGAGGAGGCAGATTCTCAACATTTTATCCAAAATCTTTGAAAAGGGAACACTAAATAAACTCATATGCGCATTAAAAGAAAAAAAGAAACAAACTCGAAAGAAATGTCAAATACATACGGCGTAAATTTAAAGAAGCTGATAAATTTTGAAAGATAACATTTTTGTATAAATAAAATCTAAATAAAAGACCACAAAAGAATGAACTATACTTTTAGTGACTTCGCTTTTGATAACACGAAATCCTATTTTTATCAAACAGAGACCACTAATATATAAAGTTGCGCATATAGTATGTTTTAGACTCTACCATTAGACGAAGGGACTTTCACTTTATTTAGCAGCATATATATGCGTTTGTATAATATAATTGTTATGAGAAAATATATAACCATTTCCATATACATCTAAATTGTTATAAGATATATATAACTATGCGTTCTACCACACACACAAAATATATATATATATATATATATATATATATATTTTTTTTTTTATGCTATATATATATATATATATATATATATTTTATGCTAACTATGTCACATATGTGCACATGGTTTTAGAGATCGAATCGTGTCATGTGTTGCACTCGTTCTCTGAATCTCCTATAAACCACATAATAATATGAGCGTTTATTTTGTTGAATTGATTACCATAATCCATATCCATACTGATGTTACCTAAAACCAATGGCCAGAAATGAAAAATGCCAAATCGTTCTAAAACTTTCTTTGTGTGGTCACCCATAAAAAATATGGGACATTAATTTACCCATTAATCCATCTATATATAGTCACCCCATAAATCAATAAATTAGAAAACTATCTTTTTCTGTAGATTTTTATGGACCGAACATATTAGCAAACAATCTTTTTGTGTAGATCTTTATGGATCGAACATACATATATATATATATACTTAGCTATCATGTATTAGTAGTTTTAGTTGAAATATATCATGATAATAGTTCGTGTACAGCTGATTACTCTTTTATATCTCGCTAAAAGCATAAAACGAATTATTGAGAACGATAAGATCATCAGAACTGTTTAGATTAGAACTATAATAATAAGCTCGTTGAACACAAAGGGAAAAAAAGACTCTTATTTCGGATATGTCATATGATGGACTAAATTGGGTTTAGCTCAATCATTTAACAGAAGATTTTAATTAATACTATTTGATATGTAAAAATCCGCAATACTTCTATTATTATTATTATGATTACCCTATAAACATATCTACTTTTTTCCCAATTAATTAAAAACGAATACTTTAATATTGTGTTGGACAAACCTGTTTATGAGAAAGAGACATGTACTAGTAATAAGAAAGAAGAGAAAGGAGTATCAATGAGGAGAGGAAGAGATGTTGGGTAAGAGAGTAGCGTAATTCGACTTTTAAGCTTTGACGAGAACTAAAACGTCGTACGAGTTTAAGATTCTGTTAATAAGATTCGACGATGTTTTAAGATGATAGTTTATTACTTAGTTAGAGTTTTAGGATATTGGAAACGCATATCATCATGCTAATAACAACGCACAGCTAGGGCTAGCTAGTTTTCCTTAGTAGCATTTTTTAGTAGAGTCGTCCAATAATATAAGATCATAAATAAGTTACCCATATATAGTAAGTTTTTAAGATGCAGCTCTATACACAACGTACTGAATTTGGTGCGCACATGGAAATTTACCAACCACCACTCTTTTTATTTTCATTACTTTCTAAGTTTACCTAAATGCAAAATAAACCATTCAAATCCCTAATAGATTAAAGTCCACTTGAATTCGCACCCTTGAAATATGTAGTTATGTGCATCAACATATAATTCCCCCAATAAATAAAATATCCGGGGGAAAAAATAATGTCAATCCATAAAAAATTGAATGGGTTTATTTTGTTTTTGACTAAATACGACTCTAATAAAAAAATAATGTCGAATTCCAGAAAAGAAAAAGAAAAATAGAGAGAATAGATTGGGAAAGGGGACCACGTAATTTCACATTGTGCGGTTTGTGTACTTGATTGCTTTCTACTCACGTGATGCGTTGTTAATGGAACTTAGTACACTTTGTTTTTTATTTTTTATTTTTTTTGATAAGAAAATATATAAATCAAAATATACATCTATCTACTCGCCTGCTTTTTATATATTTATTTAAAAGATTAGAGAAAAAAATAAAAAATTAGAAAACCTTAGTATATGCTTTGGTATAATAGTTGGTATTGAAAAAACAAACATACGATAGATTTGAAACTGTCCCCAGTTTGATATCTGCGCATTACCCACTCACAAAACACAATTATGCTCCATCTCTACTTTTTAATTAGTTTTTTTTATAATTTTAATATATCTTCTCTTTTTTACAATTCACTAAGGTCATGCTGGGTGATCTATGCTGTATTAGAGAATTTTAGCTATTGACAAAATAATTCATTTTATAATCTGTCAAAATAATACATTAATTAATGAATGTTCACATAGTTTTTTTTTTTAAAGACACATAGTTTTAGTTTAGCGTTGACATTCAGTTTTATAGTTTTGAAACTAAATACTATATTCGGAAATCGTTTTGTATCGCATCCCCCTTCGATTTAAATGTCATTACATAGAAACACTAATTATATTTCAAGAAACAACAACACTTTTATTTTAAAAAAACAATCTGGACTACCAAACTCATGATAGTTATTAGTTTATCACATTACATATATACTATTATTATATACAAAAATCAAGTTCCTATACATACATGATATACATAATAGCAGAACAGTGTCATTCACGTGTATCCCATCCGTACGTCTACGCAAACGCCACCGAACAAACAAATTATAGACATATATAATTAAAATAGAAGATCAGTGTACCAATAATTGTTTCATTTTTACTTGTCTTTTTTTTTTTTTTTGTAAACTTCATTTGTACTTGTCAATTGTAATAAATTGAACAAAGAAACCATTGTACAAAAAAAAACTTTATGGTGGTTTTTAGTTGACAATTAAAAGCTTTTTTATATAATAAGTTTGAGAGAGATATGTAAATAAATACGTGTAGTGGACGTTCAATTTATTTTTATTTTAGTTAATTTTGTGAGAAAATGCCTTTGGTTTATTGAGATTTATTTTATCTTGATACGTGTATGATTTGCACGACGATGAGGCGAAACACCATGTAGGCCTACGTATACGCATACTTATTAATTTGATATATAGATTGGCGAGTAAATATAAATATAAATAAAATAGTAATTTTGAATAAAATAATTTAAAACCATCCAAATATCCGAAGAGGTACATTTTGTCTTTTGTACCTACTTTTGTTGTCATCTAACTTTTTTCTCAAAGCTAAAAACATTCAAATTCTTGAGCCTTTTTATTATAAGTATATAATCAGTACGTTTCCTTCAAAACAAAATCTATGCGCCTAAGTATGATGTATTTGATAAAAACAGTCAAATTTAAAGATTAGGATAGATTCGCTGCGCATTTGCTATCGTACTTCAATAGATAAGCTCGTTTTATAATCATAATATATATATATATATATATATATATATGTGTGTGTAATGAGTGCGATCATTCTAGAGTAAAAAGAAAAGTGTTAGAGGTAAAAAATATAAATTGATCTCAGTTTTGTTGTTATTGTCAAACTTACACGATTTTTCGAATGATTCAAAGTAACTTTTCCTTTTTAGCATTTAGAGTGATTGACACGATCATATATACAAATTTGATTCTTTTAAGTTAATTTCTTAGGTTAAGAAAATAATTTGGCGTTTCTAGAAATTATAAGTCGTATCCACATATACTTTAATGGGGATATAAACATTTTAGATAGGATAATCATATTAATTAAAAATACGAAAGTATTAGACATTCGAAAACATATAGAACTGACAAAATGATTTAATTATAAGGTATGAAACTCGAATTAAAACATAGTTCGTCGTGTGAATTCTGGCAACTCCTTAAAAGAGAAAGAAAAAACTATAGTGCGATTGAGATTCAATATAATGTTTACATGTTCTCGTTTGTATTGTAGATCTAGCAAATAATTATTGATTTTTAGGTCACTCACCACCAAATATCGTACCAATATGTTTTGATATGGACTACTCGAAATGTCATACCAATTTTTTTTATTTTAAAAAGAGAGAAGAAGAGGAGAAACGTGCATTTTTGATAATACAAATCGTATTCTTTTAAAAAAAAAGGAATGGTTCGATTAGAAAAGAAGAAGAAAGTAATGGATCGACAAAAATATGTAATGAAATAACCCAAAGAATCACAACTTTGCTTAAACCACGTATGTTGGCAACACTGAGATGCCTATTGTCCACCAAATCACCTTTTGTCTAAATCCACACCTTATTCCAAAAACTTATATATTTCTCAACATCACCTTACCTATATTTTTTTTTTTAGTAGAGAGGTTTCCTATAGAAATTAATATACTAATCTCGCAGGATGGTTAAACAATTAGCAAAACACAGTAGATTAAGGTTATTTTTAAACTTGGAAGTATATATGTTTACTATGGTATTATTATTGAATTAAAAATGGACCAATGAGATTATGAGACAATGGGAAACTCGTAGTGGAAATGTTGTCTGGATGCTATCATATCTAACTAAACATAAACATGGAAAAAAAAGTAAGTAAATTTGATTAATGCCCCAGAAAAGCTCTTTTTACGTTTACGTGTTAAATTTATCAAAAAGCATAGTACTAGACACATAGTAACTATATTGTAAGTATATATTCTCTCTTTTTTTGCCGTCGGGTACCAATGGTCGATGAAGTTGAATATAGACATTAAGATAGGGTGCTAAAAAAAGCCTAAAGGACCACCCTCAAAGTCTATGAGTTGACCACTGGACAAATACTAATCACTAAACATTATGCTGATGATAATCAAAAACATTTTCTTACGTGTTTACAGTGCTAATAAAGCTAATATGAATATATATGGATTTGCACCCATACAATGTGGTTACTGGTTAGCGAATAATGGACCTTTTAGCTCACAGAACAAGCAAATACAGCAGAGGGGAGTAGTTGAAAAAAAATTGTCTTCAGAAACGTTACTTCTAGTTCCTTCCTTCCATAAATTTTGTTTTCATTACATGACATACCAGTTTTGTCTATTGTTATTAAAATAATCAAAATATCACATATATTTTTTTGTCGCTATAATAAAATCAATGTTGTATGGTTTGTTATACATTAGATAATATGTTTTTATTCTAGAAAAAATCCAGTTTCTAAAAAAGGTGTTTTGAAAAAATCTAGAGGAGCCTCTTGTTTAATAAAAAAATAAAAGAAAAAGAAATATCCAGAGAGAGAGAGAGGGCGTAATTGACTCGGCATGTGCATCTGCAACGTGACCGGACTTCAACTCCCAATTCAAATCCATTTATTTTTTTTTATTTTTTATTTTTTTGCTTTTAAATTTAGATAGCGACTTCTTTTTTTTCTTTCTTTTCTAAAGATTAAATACTTTTCTTTTTCTTTCCTACAAACCAGAAAAACAAAAACAAAATAGAAAAAAGGCAAGGGATCCGTGATTCCAAAGGATTCGCTCTCCCCACGCGCCTCAGTATCCGTCACATCTCACGCGTTCCTTCTCTTTCTCTCCCCCTCTCTTCTTCTCTCCCCTACTATATAATCTCGTGTTCCCTTCTTCCCATTCTGCACCTCTATCTCCCACTAATTTCGATTTTGCCACTGAATTACAAAAAAAAAAAAACCCCACGAAACAAACCATAACAAAAACGTAATCGTTAAGCTATGGTGGAAGAAGACTTGTTGGCTACTAATTCCGATAAGCTAACTCCGGCTGACTCCTTTGATAAAAAACGTGTCAGAGACGAGTCTTCCAACGACGTTGTTCTTGACTCGCCGGAGGTTAAGAGGCTGAGAGATGATTTATTCGATGTTCTCGATGACTCGGATCCTGAACCGGTGAGTCAAGATCTCGACTCGGTTATGAAAAGTTTCGAAGACGAGTTATCGACGGTCACCACGACGGCGGCGCTAGGCGGAGGAGCCGGTGAAACTCAACCGGATCTCGGTTATCTTCTCGAAGCTTCTGATGACGAGCTCGGTTTACCACCGCCTCCGTCGGTTTCTCCCGTTCCCGTCTCGAAGGAGGAAGAGACGACGGAGACGCTAACGGATTTGGTGCGTGCTTCGTCTGATTCTTCTGGGATCGATGAGATTTGGGGATTTGAAGACCACGTTTCCAATTATGCTGATTTAGATTTTGGTTCCGTCGTCGGAGATTGTGGTGGAGATTACGTTGCGGTTGAAGGACTTTTCGAGTTTTCCGATGATTGTTTTGATTCCGGCGATCTATTTTCGTGGCGGTCGGAGTCGTTACCGGCGGAATGAATAACAAACTGTTTCGGAGTCTTTTTTTAATTAGGTGGGAAATGGAAACGATGCCGTTTTGTAAAGCGTTTTGGCTCTCTCCCTACCATTTCTTTTTTCTTTTACCGTATCAGTTTATGGTAGATAGTTAATATCTCCCTATTAATTAATTAAAATTATTAGGATGTAGGAAAAGTTAAATATTTTGTTAGTTGGGGTTAATCTGCTAGACTATTAATATAAACAAATTCGTTTGTTTGTTCTTCTCTGATCTTTCTTTCTTTTTTCTCATAGCTTTTGTTAATGTGAAATTTCAGTATGAAAAATACCTCTTTGGCTCTTTGTCAATTTCAATTTATATATGAAACGTCGGTAAGTCTGATATCACTCTCATTCAGACATAGGCCTATAATATGGCCCGTTAAGTATGTTGTGATAAGCCCCAAAGGCCCAAAACAAACAGCAACTACTACATTATCATCATGATGATACAGAACTACAGAAGAGTCTGGTTTACATTTCATCATGATGCTACATAAACTACATTTATCATCATGAAGAATCTCTATTTGTACCAGTACCCATCACTAATGTTTTAAAAATCGAACCATATATTATATCAAAGGAGTTGAACAATTGGACTAAAGGATTGGTCAAGTTGACTATCTAATCTGGTTCTTAGGTTCCTAACCAGGTAGGTGCCATATTAAGGTCATTAAAGTCTTGATAACCGGTCGAGTCAACTGGAAATAAGAGTAGACCGGGTATTTGTTACAAATTTATTTCCTCTCTTCTCTATCAATGCTTCCCCTCTCTTTGCTCCTACCATGGTCAGACTCGTATCTTTTCCTTTTTCCAGACAATAAAGAGAATGGTGGTACTCATAAAGATTTTGGTTCGGTAATTAGACGATAAGGATGACGATGCCAAGGAGGTGTTAGTTCATTTCAAGAATCTTTTGCACAAAATATAGTAACAAAAGTGTTAATGATCATGTTCTCAGTTACACAGTGATTTAGTCTTGACTATAGTTTGGTTGGTGGATTTCACATAATATCATTTTCATGTATGAGAGGAGGACTTGTGCAATGTACAAAAGATTAGGTAACATTAGAAGTTTGTTTTTTGCAAATCTATTATTACAAAAGATTTGTAATGTGTTTGGTTTACCTGAGATGAGTGTGGGGAAGTATGTCTAGAAGAAATAATCAGCTCTTTCCATTTTTTCGTACCTAACATAAGTAAAAAAAAGCTATAAAGTCTCTCTTTTATCATAATAACAACAACATTGTTGTTTCTATGTTTTTAAACGTGGAAAGTTGCGTGCAGGTGAGTTGAAGTAGTCTTTTGATCCTCTGCTGTTGAAATTTATACGTAGTCCACACCTAATAAAGAGGAAAATGGTGTGTGTTTTCTAATAATTCCTCTAAACCTGTCATTCTTAAATTAATTGCAATATTTAAGAGCCGTAACATTGACAGTTCTCTCTCCCGTATATCAATTTCACGACTCTGTCATGAGTGTTCCGTCCATAGCTTCGATGGAAAGTTGGAAAAAGCAAAAGGAATAAAGAAACCATGGAAGTTGGAAACTACACGAGATTTGATTTGACGAAGACGTTTTTTTCTTTCTGTTGTAAAAAGTAGAACAGCACGAACGTTCGTCCTTATGAATCAATAACTATGGGGTCTATAGTTCGTACCAAAATTAAAGACTGCAATTTATACGGGAAACCTGAGAATCTTCCATGCATTTTCATGTTTGAACACTGGTACAAGTAATGTCCTGTTCAGATGTGGATACAAGTATAGTAACGATGACTATTTATTCATTCAATCAAGTGTTGTATGTTTGAGACTGATTCAATCAACTTTTTCTAGGTAATATATTAAGAGAAAGAGAGTTATATTCACACGATTTTCTATACTAACTTTATGTAGACATAAAGACAATTCGAAAATAATACAGAGCAAGTAGTAACAATATATAAGATTTACTAATAACATCTCTTTAAATTGATATTGTTTATTAAAAAATGTCCAAAACATTTAATTAGGATAGCGTATTTGGATATGCTACCAATTTTTTTCAGCAACAATTCAAATTTGGTTTATCGTTTGGTCTTTAAATTTAATCCTCGCGCGTGATATTTCAAAGCGGTCCATTTTGGTTTTATTATTTGGTAATTGGTACCACATTTTCTTCCTAAAAAGGTCGTTTTTTCAAACTTCTGAAAACTTAGTTGCTAAGAAGTCTTTGTATGTCGTAACGCGTCATCTTCTTCGTCCTCTTATAACTCTTCCATTCAAAGAAAGACAACATAAACCCTATTCTCCATCTCCTCTTTCTCTCTCGCCATGGGGAAGAAGCTTGACGCTTTACTTGGTCGGACCTTCAAGACCAACAAGTTCAAGTCTCTTCTCAACTTAGCTCTCACTAGGCTCTCTATCCTCAAGAGCCAACGTCAAGTCAGGCTCTCTCAGGGCATCTCTGATGTCACTGAGCTTCTTAAGCTCGGCCACCACGAGCACGCTTACCATAGAGTCGACCAAGTTGTCAAAGAGCAAAACACCCTCGACGTTCTCTTCTTCATCCACGGCTACTTCACTATATGTCTCGACCGTATTCACCTTTTCGAACACAACAGAGACTGCCCTGAAGAGCTTCTAGAAGCTGTTTCTGGTTTGCTTTTTGCAGCTTCTAGAATAGGTGAATTTCCTGAGCTTCAAGAGATTCGTAATGTTTTGATTTCGCGTTTTGGCAAAGATCTCGCGGCTCGGTCTATTGAGTTGCGCAGTAATAGTGGGGTCGATCCCAAAGTAAGCAACTTTGATTCATCCCATACTATATATTATTCAATACATTATATTATATATATCTCTCTTCATAGAACAAAATACTTACCGAGTTTCATGTTTCTTTTGTGTTACTACTAATAGATAATTCAGAAGTTGTCGACAAGACATCCACTGAGAGAAGTTAGAATGAAGGCTTTGAAGGAGATTGCTGCGGAGAATAACATTGTTCTGAAACTAGAAGAAGCTTCTACGTCCACTGAGGTATGGAAATCTGCAATTAAACACACAGACGACAGAAAGTGAAAAATCATGTTCTAACCAAATCAAATGTATGGTATATGCAGGGAACAACAAGTATGCAGGGAACATCAGATGTTTCTAAGGTTAAGCTAGCTAGTGAAGATGGAGATGAAGAGATAGGAGAAGGCTATGGTTTATCAGATTCGGTCAAGAGAGGAAAGAAGAAGTACAAAGATGTGGCTGATGCTGCACAAGCAGCGTTTGAGTCAGCGGCTCTTGCAGCAGAGGCTGCACGAGCGGCTGTGGAGCTTTCTCAGTTTTCTCCTCGTCGACCAGACACTCCACGTAACATTGGAGGGGAAAATTCAATTAACTGTTCTGAAAACAAGGAACCAGAACAAGAACATGAAGGTAATGCTGATTATTCAGAACGTAAAGGGTATGTGAGGTCAGAATCTAAGAGTTCGATGTCGGATTCAGATGAAATTATTAATGAAGTCCCAGTGATGTCATTTAGAGAAGACCCTGTGAAGCTATTGGAGAAGGATACTGTTATCTACTATAGTGAAGAAGAAACCCAACATAGTGTTAAGAGTAATACTACAACTAAGGTTAAAGATGAGCCAAGTTGCATGGATGGTTCAAATAGAGCGGATACAGGACATGTGGATCAAATGCTTCATTCAATCAACGATCCTATTCTGCGTAAAGTAGGTTTGAAGAGTCCGATTTCAGTCAGGACCAGAGGAGTTCGTGGATACTAATAAGTATAAATATTTTATTTTTCAGATGCAGTCATGGTTTAGTGGCTGAGTTTTGTACAATCTTTCTATGTTCTCTGTTTTTTCAGTAATGGTGTAAGTTACTATATTTTTTTTTATGGATATAAGCTTTAAATATGTATGAACAGTTGTATATGCATGTGTTTTATTTAAGAATTGAAGCAATTTTGAAGAACTTACCTGGAAATTACTGTCCTCGACCCCTCTTCTTACCATGTTGAATTAGATCAGAATATGCCTGGAAACTAAGACCCACATCTTCATCATATTCAATTCCAAGCTCCTCCTGCCAAGTAACAGTAGTAAAACATTATGGCTAAGCTGAAGCAATCTGTAAAAAGAAACTTGAGCAAGATGTATGATTCTGCACCTTAAATTCCTTAATATCTCTGGGAAAATTCTCTGTTACAGTATCCCAAATGTCTCTGAACATCCTCTTACGCTTGCGCCACTGATTAATCTTATCCGAGTACATATCTTCAACAGCCTTTTTGTCTTCCGGCCTCACCAATGTAATTCCTTCACGTAGTTTGATCAGTTTCTCTTCCATTTCCTTAACCTGGTACACAGTTGAAATCACTTTTCAGTGCTATTTCCTATTACAAGCTTACTTAAGGAAAGACACAAGTCAAAAAGTAAGAAAGAACGCATACCTCTTTCCTTAGTTTGGTATCTTTCTCTTGTATCTCTTCTAGTGTTAAGTTGGACTGCAAGCTCTTGATTTCTGCGATAATATCACAGAAGATAAATGTTATCCAAGATGCTGTATCACAACATCAAATGACTAGCTATACTTCTTCAAAACTATGAACTGAGAAAAAATTAAGCTTCACACCTGACTCCACTTCACTGATTGTTTTCTTCTTCTCTTGGAGCTGTTCTTGAAGTTTGGCATTTTCTTCTTTCATTTGAGCAAGTTCTTCATTGTTCGGGATCTCATACTGGTCTTGTCTAGCAATGTATACCTTCTGCTTACCATACTCTTTGAATGTGATTTTCCCAGCATCAGCAAGGCTATCAAGTGCCTTTTGAACTGCAGTCTTCTTAAGGTTAAACTTTTGCAGAGCATCAGCTGCATTTTGTGTGTTCAAAGGTCGGTTTTGCTGCACCACAATGTAACAACAACAACAACAAAAGACTCATCAAAATCTATGATTAAGATAGCAAAAACAGATTAATATAGAAACCTGTATCTACCAATTTTGAAAAACCGAGTTGATCTCAATAGCTTCAATCGTATAGCAAGAGGAAAAGAAAAAAAAAAAAGCACAAGTGGTTGATTCCCAGATTCAAAATGATGTAAATTATCACTGAATGCCTTAACCTAGCCACAATTTCAAATTCACAGTCGTATCTGTTCTTGGTCCGTTTTAAAATTGGGTTTCCGATAAGAAAATAGTGAATCGAATAGAAGTGCTCACCTCATTCACAAAGTTGAGTACGATAGCTGCAGAATCGAAAAATCACAGGGAAAACAAGCAAATAAGTGAGAAATCAAAATGAGGAAGAAGAAACAAAAC